AAGTGCTGATGAAAATAAAGAAGAAGGTCCACAGGTTAGAGTTCATGTGGAGAACCTCCCTGCAGAATCTGAACCATTCTGGTGTAATCAGAATCTGTGGAACTTAGTACATTACTTGTATTGACCGTAGAAATCCTTCTCTGTAAGGTACAAATCTGGGGCAGGAGTGATAGTATAGTGGGTTGGGCATTTGCCATGCAAGAGGCTGACCTGGGTTTGATCCCCGGAATCCCATATAGGTCCCCTGAGCTTTCCTGCGTGTGGCCCCACCACACCCCCCACCCTCAATACAAATAACTTAATCAGATGAGTTTTTAAGTAAGTCGCTTTAGGAATAGTCTTGAAGAAAGAGTCAGTGGGACTTCCAGGAATCCCTGGGGCAGCATTAAGAGACTAGGGTTGGTGTGAAGTCAAAGCAGAGGAGTGGAAGATAACTGGCTCTGGGAGAAAGGCAGCGAAGCCAGAAGACACACAGTTCTTAGCAAAGAACCGTGGCCGCTTTCCTGCACTGTGTCCCCAATTCCTTTAAATTCACTGACCCAACTCTTCCGTTTTCTTTCTCCTGGACTCTGATGGACCCACACTTAGCTCTCTGCCTCTCCCAGGGCATAGAGGGGCCAGGGGAGGATAAAGGTTTCAGCATAATTCTTTCCAGGGTGATAATGATCATTTCTAATACCAGAAAGGCCAAAGCAAATATTAAGAGAACTTCAATGGCAGAGGAGATAGAAGAGATAAGACTGTAGAAAAGGCATTTGCCTTTGCCTTGAACGCATGCAACCAACCTGGGTTCAACCCCCCAGCATCCCATATGCTCCTCTGAGCACCACCGGAGTGATCCCTGGGTGCAGAGTCAGGTGTGGCCAAAAAACATGAGAGAGAGAGAGAGAGAGAGAGAGAGAGAGAGAGAGAGAGAGAATTCAAATGACCTGTGGTCACATGCAAATTGTAATAAAAGTTCTTGAGGATTTTACCTGATACAAACCATTTTTTTTTTCACTGTCTTTGAATCCAAGAAAAACTTGGGTTTTATTCTTAAGAACACACCCACTCCCCACCTTACCTATTTAAGAAAAAGAGGAGGAAAGAAAATGATTCACTGTGTAGTTTTTATTTTATTGGTAGTGTTTAATTCATTTCATGTGACACTGAAAGTTTTTTTGGAAAAGTTGGATTTGAAAACTGCTAGCAGATTATTTACCAAAACTAAATACCTCCACTGCCCCTCCAACCCCATTTTGCCAGCCCTAAGAATTTCTTGGAGACTTTTGCAAAGTTCTAGAACCCAAGCCATAGTCTATATTAATCACATCAGAATGTTGGAGACATCATCTAGATCACCCTTGACCCCAGTGTTTAGAGAGGAGGAGGACAGAGAAGGGAAAAAAATCAAGGGGGAAGAAAAGAACCTGAAGTAATGGGTGAGCGGGCATTAGGGCTTCAGTTATACTGGTGACATGGGTGAGTGGTATGGCCATATAGCCAAACACTGACTCAACAACAGCGCAACCATGAGAGCTAAGCTGCAACCATGGAAACTTTGTAATGTGCCATCAAGTTGACAGGTGGGGGTGGGGAGAGAACATGGGAACACTGCTGGAGGGCAGTTGACACTGATGGAGGGATTGGTGTTGAAATATTATATGCCTAAAACTCAACTCTCGACATCATTGTAAATCACAGTTCCATTTTCAAAAAAGGAAAGAAAGAAAGAAAGAAAGGAAGGAAGAAAGAAAGATAGATGTTGGAGGGATCAGTCATTGAAAGGCTGATCCTCCCAATAAGAATAAAAGATAGTGGAGTTCATGCCCAATTCAATCAGCTTAATCAATGGCTGAATAAATAGCAGTACTCCTACATTATACAAAAAAAAAAGGAATAAAAGGTCTCTTTTTTTTTTCTTCTATGACAAGACATTCATGGAGTCAAAAAATATTTCAAATTCTTTTGTCTTTTCCTATGGTCAAAGAGTTCCCAGGTGCAGTAGACCTACTGAACGATGATGATGTACAAAAGGCCAAACAGTACTAATAACGTTTGCCACTGTAGCACTGTAACACTGTCATCTCATTGTTCATCGATTTGCTTGAGCGAGCACCAGTAACGTCTCCATTGTGAGACTTGTTGTTACTGTGTTTGGCATATCAAATACATCACGGGGAGCTTGCCAGGCTCTGCCGTGTGGGTGGGATACTCCCGGTACCTTGCTGGGCTCTCTGAGAGGGACGGAGGGATCAAACCTGGGTCGGCTGCATGCAAGGCAAACGCCCTACCCGCTCCAGCCAAGAATATGTAATAAAATATGCATTTATCGTCATAGCAAAGGGCAGTTCCACTGGCATGAGAATCTTGCTGCGGAAATGGACACCATCTATGCATTGGATGAGACAAACTCAACCCAACCAGCAACTCGGGGCAGAAGTTGTGAGCTTTGCATGTCCTGAGCTTCTCAAGACTGTGGTTTGGAGGAAGCAACAAGCACATACCCGATTCACCCCTCAGAACGTGTCCTCTCTCTCGGTTCTGTAGTGTCACACGCTGGAGCCATCCCACTTAGCTTTTCACTCAGAGATGGAGAGAGCTAAGAGAAATTCCCCACCTGGAAGCCCCGCATTACTGGCAGCTGCGTGTTCTACTTTACCATGTGTGGTAACCTTTGCCAAGCTGAGATTATTTTGTTGTGGTGGAGGAATCACGCCCAGAGCCACATCTGCAAGGCCTTTCCACTGAACCACACCTAAGGTCATTTGTCACAGGAGGTGCCCAACCCGCTTAGTCTTGGAAGCCAAGCAGGGTTACGACGCGAGACGTTAGGGTGACTTGTTGATGACAAAATCACCGAGTTGAGAAAGAACTCAGACACCGCCATGATTTCTTGCTACTGACTCTAGTTTGGTGTCACACAGAGATAACAGACATGCTCAGACAGTCGAGAAAGGGGGTTTTGCTACATTTGTTGCTTATTTATTTATTTTTGGTTGGGGAAAAGCCCACCTGAAAGTGCTCAGGGGCTACTCCTGGCTCGGTGCTTGCCTGGATGTTGAATCCGGCTATGGTTGGAGGATGCCGCAGTGCCAGGGATCGAACCCAGGCCCCCTGCGTGTGAAATATGCACTCTGCCTGTGGAGTTCCACCTTTTATTTTTTTTTTCCCGCTTCTTGCATCACACCCAGCAATGCTCAAGGGTTACTCTTGGCTCTGCACTCAGGAATCACTCCTGGCAATGCTGGGGGACCATATGGGATGCTGGGAATCGAACCCAGGTCAGCCGCATGTGAGGCAAACGCCCTACCCACTATACTATCGCTCTGGCCCGGAGTCCCACCTTTAACCGAGGGTCGGAGAGATAACCCAACGGAAAGGTACCTGCCTTGCAGGTATCCAACCTGGTTGCTGAGATGCTCCAGTGAGAAAGTGCTTGCCTGGCACGCAGCGATTTGATGCCTGGCACCACACATTCTCCCCGGGGCACCTCCAGGACTGATCCCTGAGTGCCGCCAGGTGTGGCCCAAAAACCAACAGAACAAACAAACCGAAGGAAGGTCCCTAACTTAGTGAGACAGACAGCCGGCTCCGGCCCACTGAGTCAGCAGCCAAGCGTGCTCAGAGGCACCTCCGTCCTACCCTTGGTGAATCATGCTCATTTTGGAGCCCAGGGGGCGGAGAGAGGTGAAGCTAGAGAGAAAGTCTTGTTTGCACCCGCTTGTCCTCCCGTCCACTCCCGCGCACCAATGGAAGGCCCCAGCCACCCGCCTTCCCTTTCATTACTTTCAAAATGCCAGGAAGGGTCTCAAATTTGAGCAGCGCGCCTCACAGCTGGGCCTGGTGGGCGTCCCTCCCACGGGGCCCCCTTGGACCGGAGAGGGGGGCCTTGCATGGTCCAGTGAGTCAGCACCTGGACACAAGAATGCAGGAGAAAAGCGGCCCAAACTAGGGGAAATGCCAGAGCTGCTTTGTCCTGAGGAGGGAGTGAGGGGGCGGCGGCCGGCCGAGGGGCCTTAAAACCCCTGGAGGAGGTTGTTTGTCCTCTCTTGGGGCGCTGAGCTGGAGGGGACAGGCAGGGAGGAGTCTGCAGGGTTAGTCGGGTGCCCACTGCATCCCGCAGCTTGTCCCTGTGTCTGCTGGGGGTCTTCAGGGGCAAACGCTGTTTTGGGAACCAGCAGGTTTGCTCTGGGCACTCACCACCTCCTGCTGCCCGCTCCGTCGGGACTCAGGTGACCGCTAAGACAAGGGAAGGTGCTGGCGCTGCTCCTGGCACCCAGGCCCCAGGATCAGCCTCTGGGTTCCAGGGCAGCCCTTTGGGGACTCCAGGTTGGGCCACTGTGCAGCGCAGGGCGGCTAACCTCGGTCCTGCCGGCTGGGAGGGTCTCAGGGTCCTGCTCCTCTTCTCTCATTGCCTTGGTGCTCTCATATGCTGGTTCCCTCTCTCCTCCCCTCCCCTGCCCTCCTCTCCTCTCCTTCCTCTCCTCTCTTCTCTCTCCCTCTCTCACCCTCCTTCCCTCCCTTCCCCCTTCCCTCCCTCCTCCCCTCCCTCCTACCAGAATAGGCTTAACTCAGTTCTCTAAGCCACATCAGGCTTCCAGTAAAACTGCCTGATTTCCAGGGTCCAGCCAGCGGGGCCCCCAGCTGGGGTTGGAGGGAGGCAGGGACAGGCCTGGCGGGGACTTGCCCTTGGCCTGTTTATGTGTGTCCTACTGTGGCCTTGTGGGGCCCGGCAGCAAATGTCCTGCGGTTCTGAGGTGTTGGTTGAATTCTACTGTGTAAAAGGAAAAAAGAAGAAAACCAATCCCTGGAGGAACCCTAAGGTGACTGGGACTTGTGTGTCATCTCGGGGCCCTTTAGTCTTGTCCAAGACCTGCCGCTCGGGCCTAGCCGCTGTGTCCATGGGTAGCCTGCCAGCCGAGCGCCCCTAACACAGCTCCTGCCACCCCCCAGCCCCCCACCCCCACCCACGCCTCCCTGTTGATTCATCTGCTCCCTGTCTTCCAGGACTCCCGGCCACGCTCCCGGACATGATGTCAGTGGGGTCGCAGTCCTTCTCGCCCGGAGGGCCCAATGGGATCATCCGGAGCCAGTCCTTCGCAGGCTTCAGCGGCCTGCAGGAGAGGCGCTCCAGGCAAGTGCTCTGGGGGGCTCCTGGGAGGCAACCCTGTACGTACACACATGTATACACAGACATGCGCACACGCACATACACATGCACACACATACACATGCATGCACACAATGCTCACACACATGCTCACACAGATGCACACATGTGCACATACACGCACACACATGCATGCACAGACATGCACACGCACATACATGCACACAAGCTTGCACACATGAGCACATACACACTCATATACACATGCATGCACAGGCATGCGCACATGCACACACACATACATACACACAAGCTTGCACATACACACTCATACACACACATGCACACACATGCACAGATGCACACATGTGCACATACACACTCATATACACATGCATGCACAGGCATGCGCACATGCACACACACATACATGCACACAAGCTTGCACATGCACACACATACACACACATGCACACACATGCACAGATGCACACATGTGCACATACACAGACACACACACACAGGCATGCACATCACACACAAACAGGCACGCACACACATACATGCGTGCACACACATGCATATACACATGCACACATGCACACACACGCACACACACGCACATACACACACACATGCTGTTTTCATCCCCTACATGAAAAGACACATGAGCCCAGAATGAAATGTCCTTCCTCTTCCATGGCTGTTTCTCCTGCCAAGAAGACGCCCTCGGACTTGGCGCTTGCTCTGCTCCACCCCCTCGGCGTGCAGCCTGATTCCCATTCACGCGGACGGCAGAGACCGATTGGGAGAAAGCAGGCCTATAACTCGGGCTACTCTGAGCACGGTGATGGGAGCCTAGCGGTCCGAGGGAAGAAAGTTCCATCTTCAGGCTCCCGGGAAGGCCCGGATCTAACCATGACTTGGGGGAGCCCAGGAGGAGAATGACAGGGAGCGAGCTGCCCTGGTGATGACAGTCTGACCCTCCGAAGGCCCTTGCCCTTTGACCTGTAGGAACCCCGTGGCCACACCTGCTTGTGGAGGCCTCCAGTGGGCCCCGCTGTAAGGGAACAGGCCCTTGTCCCTCCGCATGCCCTCGCGCTCACCGTCTCTTCTTTTCTTTCGTAGATGTAACTCGTTCATTGAGAATCCCGTGGCTCTCAAGAAACCTCAGGCCAAACTGAAGAAGATGCACAACTTAGGGCACAAGAACAGCAACCCCCCCAAAGAGCCCCAGCCCAAGAGGCTGGAAGAGGTCTACCGGGCCTTGAAAAACGGACTGGAGTAAGAGCAGCACCGTTCTCAGACCTTTTGCTTTCTCCGGGGCTGGCGGGCTAGAGGGGTGGAGAAGAGTCTTACCGTTTCAGTTTTTAATGTCCAGTTTCTATCGCTTATTCTTGCACCGTAATCAAGGAGGGAGTCAGGTTGCTGAGGCCTAAGGTTTAAAGTACGTTCATGGTTTTGGGGGGATGGAGGGGGTGGAGGGTTGTGTTTGGTGCACACCTGGCAGTGCTCAGGGCTGACTCCTGGCTCTGCCCTCAGGGATCACTCCAGGTGGGCTCAGGGAACCATATGGGGTGCCAAGCATCGAACCTGGGTCATCCATGTGCAAGGCAAGCGCCCTACCAACTATCTTATCTCTAGCCTCGCATGCTCCACCCCCCCCCCCACACACACACACACTCATTGTCACTGTATCCCGCAGTCCTGCTGACTTTCAGTTAGCAGACAGGCATTCGACTTTTTTTTTGCTTTTTGAATCACACCCGGCGATGCACGGGGGTCATTCCTGGTTCTGCACTCAGGAATCACCCCTGGCGGTGCTCAGGGGACCTTATGGGATGCTGGGAATCGAACCTGGATCAGCCACGTGCAAGGCAAATGCCTACCCGCTGTGCTATTGCTCCAGCCCCGCATTCGACTTTTCGGGGGTTCTGGAGCCGTCATCCTGGAGGAGATAACAGGGATTGTTGGCCTGAGTAACACGTGCCCAGGGTGTGTGGAAACATATACTCTCCATGTCATACTCCATTAGATCCCAGAAGTCCAGCTCCAGGGCTGACCCACAGGGCCCTCCTCCGTCCTTCCCCACCTGTTCCTCTCTGTGCCCTGAGCATCACCAGGCTCTTCCCATTGGCCCATCTTGACAGCACCAGATGCAAAGCTACAGCTTCTGTGATGTCAGAGACGCCGGAGGGATAGGTCGTGGGTCATGGGTTTGCCTTGCATGCAGCCGACCACAGTTCAACCCCGGCACCAGATATAGTCCTCTGAGCCCTGCCAGGAGTGATCCCTGAGCACAGGGCCAGGAGTAGCCAAGCCATAAAATTAAAATAAATAAATAGTTTTGAGAGATTGGGAAAATACAGCCTCTCCTCACCAGCTCTGCCGACTTCCCGAGTTTCAGTTTTCCTATTTGCTTGGGGGTTTTTGTTGGGGGGAAGGGTTTGTTTTGGATTTGGTCCTAGTCAAGGCTCACTCTTGGCCCTGCACTCAGGAATCATTCCTGACAGTGCTCAGGAGACCATATGTGGTACCAGGGATTGAACGAGGGTTGACCATATACAAATGCTGTGCCCAAGTTTCCAATCCCCAATTGCAGAGACCAAAAGCAAAGGAACTTTATTGCTAGCCTGAGCTAGGGTCCAAGTCTCATTCCAATGCAGTGGAGTCTTGACAAGGACCCCAACTCCAAGTCACAAGCGGTTTATGTAGGGTTCAGGTTAAGAGCAGTTTATAGACTGGTGTATTTTTAGCATGGCCCTATTACAACAGTGGCCGGCCATTAGACAATGGTTAAGTAACAGTTTCTATGGAGGGTACAGTGACCCCCTCATAACCGGCCAGACCCAACTGCCCAATTCCTTATCTCGGCACATTACTCAACTGGGAGTTTACCAGAAACTGCAAGTCCTGCTTCAGGGAAATAGAAACTGAGGCCTAGTTGAGACAGTGTTAGGTGCAGCTTGTCATGGCATCAGTTTCTCCCTCAAACAGGGCAAGTGCCCTCCCCGCTGTACAATCTGTAGACACTCAGATTTTTTTTTTGTGTGTGTGTGTGTGTGTGTGTGTGTGTGTTTGGATTTGGGGCCATACCCAGCTGATGCTGACAAGGTGCTCCTGGCTCAGTGCTTGGGAATTGCTCCTGGCAGTGCTCAGGGGAACTTGTGGTCCCAGACACTGATCCTAGGCCTCCTCCAGGAAGTTCTCTTCTTAGCCATTGAGAGCTTTCTCCAGCTCATCTACCCTCAGAAGCCCAGCGCCAGCCCCCCTCTGGACAGTTCACGATGTTTTTCTTCTCTCTACAGTTTCTTCCAGAATTCACGATGTTTCTTCTCTCTACAGTGAGTATCTGGAGGTTCACCAGACAGAGTTGGACAAATTGACAGCTCAGTTAAAAGATATGAAAAGAAACTCTCGCCTGGTAGGTGCATCCAGTCATTAGCATGTTAGCAAGATCTCTCTCTCTCTCTCTCTCTCTCTCTCTCTCTCTCTCTCTCTCCCCCTCCCCTTCTTTTTTCTAAATATCTCTTTTTCACTGGATGGGGTTGGTAGCAGCAAAGAACCTCAAAGAAAAGCAAATCCAAGGGTAGAAGTAATATCTGCTTCCTGATGTGTATTTTATAAGGTTAAATATTTTGCTTTTTTCTTTGTGGGGGGTGGGTCGTACCAGTGATGCTCAGGGGTTACTCCTGACTCTGCACTCAGAAATTAGTCCTGGAGGTGCTCAGGGGACCATATGGGATGCTGGGGATCGAACCTGGGTCAGCCTCGTGCAAGGAAAATGCCCTATTCACTGTGCTGTTGCTCCGGCCCAGGTTAAATTTCTTATTCATGCTTTGTTCTTACTATTTTCCAATGTTTTCCATTCATGTTTATGCAGATAAACTTGATAATCAGGAAAACTGTACATAGGAGAGGATAATTCTGGGATTATACCCAGGACTGCCCACATTCAAGGCATGTGCTGTACCACTCACCACATTTCTAGCCCTTCAAAAATTCTTTCTAAACAAGCTCCCTATACTTCCACCCCCATCTCCCATAAATAATATAAGGTAAAGGTAAAGGCCCTCCCGTTGATCGTCGATTTGCTCGAGCGGGCCCAGTAACGTCTCCATTGGAGACTTTGTTGTTACTGTGTCTGGCATATTGAATACTCTCGGTAGCTTGCCGGGCTCTCCGAGAGGGGCGGAGGAATCGAACTCGGGTCGGCCATGTTAGCCGCTTGTAAGGCGAACGCCCTACCCGCTGTGCTAGGAACTGAAAAGCTGACATTCCCTGAGTTTCACGGGACAGCATTTGAAACCCAGAACTCTTGCTTCATTTCCAGTATTTTCCTTTTTTAACTTAATTAAGTCCATGTTTTCAGCGCCATGGGGCCTGCTTTTTTTTTTTTTTTTTTTTTTTTTTTTTGCCTTTTGGGTCACACCCAGCAATGCACAGGAGTTACTCCTGGTTCATACACTCAGGATTCACTCCTGGCGGTGCTCGGGGGACCATATGGGATGCTGGGAATCGAACTCAGGTTGGCCGCGTGCAAGGCAAATGCCCTACCTGCTGTGCTATTGCTCCAGCCCCCCTTTTTCTTTCTTTTCATATCTTAGAAACTTGTGAAATTCTTGGGGGAAATTGGTAACTGCTTATTGAATTGGTACATGAATCAATAAAAATACAATAGCTGGGTTTTCAAGAGGCATTTCACAAAAAAGGAAAAAAACCAAAGAAAAAAGAAAGTGTTAATGATGGTTGAGTAGAAATAGGTCCCTGGGGAAGGCCTTGGGGAGTGGCCTTCCAAGCTGTGAATACCCTTGACCATCCTCAGTGGCACCCTTGAAACACGGGTGACTGGAAAGGAGGGCCTGGCCAGGAGCTCCTGAGTCCCATAAGCACACTCTCAACGGGAGCAGGTAGGGTGAGGGAGGGCCGGTTCTCCTGGGCCCCTCTGCGTGCCCAGGCTGGGAACTCACATGAAAAACAGGGGTGGAAAAGCATATCCCTGCCCTGAAGGATTCTTCCTAAATCCCAGGTTCACATGTTGAAACAGGAAGTGTGTTTTTGAGTTCAGGTAGCGTGTTGCTACATTTTATGTGGCTAGTGTTTTGGGTTTTTTTTTTAATTTTTGTTTTTGGGCCACACCCTGTCATGCTCAGCCACTCTTCCTGGTTCTGTGCTCAGGAGTAACCCCCAGCAGTGCTCATATTTGCAGAAATCCAACTGGAGTTGGCTGTGTTCCAGGCAAGTGCCTTACCTGCTCTCCTGGGCCATGGGAGTACTTATTTAGTCAAAAAGATAAGTAATAAGTGATGTGAGTTTCTCAATATTTTAGTGAGAAGATATCAGAGCAAGGGAAACTTTAAAGCTTCTGGAATCCAGAGACTCAAAGCATAGGCAGTTTCTGTTCTTAAAAGTATTTGTACTAGTATTTCCCCCCATACACACACACACACGGGGTTTTATTTTATTTTTTAACTTTTTTATTGAATCACTGCGAGATAGACCCTTACAAAGCTGCTAATGATTAGGTTTTCAGTCATACAGTATGGCAACATCCATCCCTCCACCAGTGTATATTTCCCAGCACCAGTGTCCCCAGGTTCCCTCCCATAACCCCCTATCCTCGCCCCCCCCTCCCCCAATCCCTTCTGATCATTCCAGCTATTATTGTCATAGCAGTCTCTTCTCTATCTTACCTGCCCTCAGCCACACACACACTTACGGTTGTTTCCAACTACTGACCAATCCTCCTAACCCCTGTTTTCCCTGGTCATGGATATTATTCTTCTACTATGTGTATTTTTATATTTGTACTATTATTAAACCACAGTTTTTTACTTTTTATTATTTGTGGGCCACACCCAGTGATGCTCAGGCCTTATGTCTGACTCTGTGCTCAGGATCACTCAAAAAATTCATGGTGCCTAATTAGATGAACAACACTTTGATAATGTGTTTTGGGGCAAGGGACCAGATATGGTGCCAGGGATTGAACCCAGGTTGGTCATGTGCCAGGCAAGCACCTCACCTGCTGTGTACCATTTCTCTGCCCCAATTTTTTACTTCTCTGAAGTGAATGTCAAAAACTCTAGCAATGCTTTGTAGAATCCATCATTTTTCCACTGGGAATGCAAACACCACTCCCCCGAACCTCTTTAGGAGTCAGAGTGAGTGCTGAGGTGACTGTGTTTTAATCCAGATATTTCTTTCCATTCTAGGGTGTGCTGTATGAACTAGACAAGGTAAGTGATCATTCAGTGTCGGAATATTGCAGAAAATAAAGTCACCTTTCAGTAGAGGTCAGGGATTTTTTTCCCCTTACTTATGGTCAAATCATAGAGAACTGGTTTTTTTTCTGTTCTTAGAGAAATTCATACATTGCCCAGTGAGATGACCCTCACTCCAATAGTGTGTTGTGGGTCACTTCCAGGGACATGCTACCTGGTTGTAGCATTTCTTAGTCTCTTGGTTTCCCAAATGCTTGGAAAATCTTAGTCAATAGATTTCCCAAGTCCTTACCTGTATTCGGTCTAAATAAACCTATAGCTTATAAAATTAAAGACACCTGTGATTAGAAAATACCACTGTTTGGCATGCCACCAAGGGAAAAAAAATTCAAGTTAAACTTTGAACCAGTTCTCTTCTTTCGCCCTTGAAATTTGTGTTCTATGGAATTTTCCATATATTCTCCCCCACAAAAAAAAAATTGTATTAGTGACAAAGCATATAGCCCTGTTTTCAGTGTGGATTTGTTTTATAAACATTGCTGCTCTCTTTCCAAATGTACGAGCACATCAGTGCTGAGTCATAGTGTCATCTTTCTTGAAGCTATTTCAAGGGCTCATTAAGTGTGGTACATGTAATAGCACCATAACTCCATGAAGAGATGACGCACGGGCCACTAGGATTACCTTGGGGCATGCACAGGCAGTAGCAGTTATAAGACTCACCTACATTTCAGAGACACTAAGATGTGGGGAGAAAAATGGTTCCTCTGAAGACTGGAAAAATGCCAGATAAATGATGTTGGGCTATAAGTTTACTCCAAATGTTCTGTTCTATTTTGTTAGCAATCCAACAAGTTTCTTTTTTTTAATTTTGTTTTTGTTTTTTAGTTTTTTGACTTTTTGGGTCACAGGTTACTCCTGGCTTTGAACTCAGGAATTACTCAGGGGACCATTTGGGAGGCCGGGGATTGAACCCAGGTTATCTCTGTGCAAGACAAACACCCTAACCGCTGTACTATCGCTCTGGCCCAGCAATCCAATAAATTCTATTTTATTGCTCTCCCTTGATTGGATACACAAGGATTCCAGTAACACTGAAGCTCATGACAGAATATCTATTCAATATTTTTAAAAGAATCCTTTCCAAACTGATATTAGGGAAACTCTGAGCTGGTAACAGAGATAGAAGAGAAAATATTTAGCTTTTTATGCTACTTTTGGGGGTATGAGATACTCAGAAAAGAAACCGTTGTGGTGGTGGAGGACGTCAACTCTGAACGGCTATACTTAAATGAACTTCTTTTAATTCCAGCAAATCAAAACCATCGAAAGGTACATGAGGCGCCTGGAGTTCCACATCAGTAAGGTAACCGCCTCCTGTCATCTTCGTGTCCATACACGTTGGCCTGAGCATGGCACCGAGGCCGTGGAGAATTTCCTATCCCATTGGCTCCTAAGAGATTAGCGGTTCAGTCCTCCAACAGGCAGTAAAGAGGGGGGAAAGGCGAGGCTGGTGAGTCGAATGATCAGAGTAGCTACTGCTCCACTACACCGACACAGACTAGGTTCTTGTCATGTTAGTAGGCGCTGTGGCTCCGGTCTCCCTCTCATCCGGTTAGACCTTGCAGTCTACGGCCAGGGAAAATAGGGGTTAGGAGGATTGGTCATGGGTTGGAATCAACCACAAGTGAGTGAGTGTGTGGTGGTGGTGGGTGGGGGAGGGGAGAAAGGGTAGGTAAGATAGAGAAGGGACCAGGATGACAATCACGGTCACGGTCCTCCCGTTGTTCATCGATTTGCTCAAGCGAGCCCAGTAACGTCTCCATTGGAGACTTCGTTGTTACTGCATTTGGCATATTGAATACATCACGGGTAGCTTGCCAGGCTCTGCTGTGCAGGCGAGGTACTCTTGGTAGCTTGCCGGAATCTCCGAGAGGGACGGAGGAATCCAACTCCGGTCGGCCATGTTGGCTGCGTGCAAGGCAAACGCCCTACTGCTGTGCTATCGCTCCAGCCCCAGGATGACAATAATAGCTGGAAATGATCACACCGGACAAGAACTGAGTGTTAAAAGTTGGTAAAGGGATATACCAGATATACAGTATCTATATTGCAAAACACGATGCCCCAAAGGAGAGAGAGACAGAGGGGAAGAGAGAGAGAGACAGAGACAGAGACAGAGAGACAGAGAGAGAGAACGTGCCTGCCATAGAGGCAGGCGGGGGTGGGGGCAGGGGAGTGATGGGAGGGAGATTGGGGACACTGGTGCTGGGAAATGTACACTGGTGGAGGGATAGGTATTGGAACACAGTATGACTGAAATCCAATCATAAACAGCTTCGTAAGGGTCAATCTCACAGTGATTCAATTAAGAAAAAAACAACCTAAATTAATTAATTAATTAATTAATTAAATCGGCCCTGCAGAAGTCCCACATCCACCCTGACACCTGCTGAACTCCTTTATGAAGGGCAACAAAGCAGTTCAGGATCACCAGCATGGGCCTCCCTAAGTCTTTCTCATGCTCTTCCTTCCGCCTGCTCTTCCTCACAGGTCCCCTCTCCTCTCCACCTTTGTTAGGTTCAGGGACCATGATGGTTAGCTGAGGGCAGTGGTACTCTATCCATCCATCCTCAGGATGCCTAACAAATGAGGTGTAATCAGATGCGTCAGTTCTGTTCCTTTGAGGGGAGCCTCTGCTGACTTCACTGTCACTGTCCTCCCGTTGTTCATCAGTTTGCTCGAGCAGGCCCAGTAACATCTCCATTGTAAGACTTCTTGTTACTGTGTTTGGCATATTGAATACTCTCGGTAACTTGCCAGGCTCTCCTAGAGGGATGGAGGAATCGAACCCAGTTCGGCCGGGCTGGCTGCGAGCAAGGCAAACGCCCTACTGCTGAACTATTGCTCCAGCCCGCTGACTTAGGGACAACTTGCCTGTCTGTTGGCCTGTAGCTGGAGAGATAGTGCAGGGGTTAGAGCCCTTGCCTTGTAGTGCAAATGACCCCAGTTCAATCCCCAGTACCACACATGGTCCTCCAAAGCACTGCCAGAGGTCACTCCTGAGCACAGAGCCAGGAATAGCCTCTGAGCATCACAATGCCCGCCTGCCAAAAATTTTAAAAAATGATGGGCAGATTTCTTCTCCAGGGAGCACACACATTAACCTTTGTCCTGTAAGCTAATTCCATTGGCTGACGTCAGGCTGAAAACCAAGAATAACTTGTCTCCAAATGAAAGTAATCGCTTCTCGGCCTTTGGGCTTAGATCAAGTGTCCAAATGGAAGTAAGAGACTAAGTAGTTAAGGCCTCGCCGAGAAAATTACAGCGTTGCAGGTACGATCCTTCTTACTCTGTCTCTAATTTTGGGCATTATGATTTGCAATACAGATACTCAGAGGTCATCGAATTTGGTCCTTGGTCTACTTTCAGTGCACATCTCCCATCGTGGGCAGGCAGTCAGTTTAAACCAGAATCATCAACCAAACTCCAAGAATCATGTGCATCGTGTGTGTGTGTGTGTGTGTGTGTGTATGTGTGTGTGTGTGTGTGTGTGTGTGTGTGTGTGTGTTTTGCTGGGAATCAAACCCAGGGCCTCACGCATATGCGACATGAGCCACATCCTCAGCCCTCTAAAGTCTTGGATCATGTTCTATGTGTGACTGTCTCTTAACACAGCATTCTTTGAGGCTCTGATTTTGTCTATGGTGTAACACGGTACCAGTTCCCCAATCTTTGCTCTTCTCTCCATTTTCTGACACAGCAAATCCACACAGTGTGGAATTCATTTCCTTTGGTGCAATTCCAAAAGCAGTCCTGGCCTTTTGAAACAGAACAGGGATCACAGTGACTCAAACAAATATAACTGCTGTCGGGTCCGGGGTGGGGGTGGGGGTGACACTTCCCCAAGATTCTCCTAGTGGAGATCAGAAATAGACTGTGGGTTCAGCCTCTTGACAGTAACGAGGCAGTTCCCTTCCCGGCCCTCGTTGCATGCCTCCTGTTTCTTACTTTGGGTCCCGACAGGTAGATGAACTCTACGAAGCTTATTGTATCCAAAGGCGCCTCCAAGACGGTGCCAGCAAAATGAAGCAAGCCTTCGCGTCCTCGCCCGCCAGCAAGGCTGCCCGTGGGAGTCTGTCGGAGATCAGCCGGAGCTACAAAGAGTACACGGAGGTATGTGCAAGCCTGCCCCACACGCAGGGACTCCTGGCCTGGTGACAGTTGTCCAGAGCACCGGGAACAAGGAGAGAGAATGTTTTATTACCCACTGTCTTGCTTCCTTTGGGGGTTGTTAATTTTCTTTTTTTCTCCTGTTCTGGTGAGGTTTGGGCTGTAACTGGCAGTGCTCTGAGGCTCCTCCAGGCTCTGTGCTTGTCCTGGTGTTGTCTGGAAACTGTGATGTGATGGGATTCAAACCTGGGTCTCCTCTGTGCAAAGTCGATGCTCAGCCCATCCCATGGAGCTGTCTTTCTGACCTTTCGCCTCTTTTGCATTTGGGGGAGACTATCAGTGAAGTCCTTTGAAGTGACCCAGGTAGTTTGTTGGTCAAACATTTGTTGAGGGCTGGAGCAACAGCACAGTGGGGAGAGTGTTTGCCTTGCACGTGGCCAAGCCAGGTTCAATCCCCGACATCCCATGCGATCCCCCAAGCAATGCCCAGAGTAATTCCTGAGTGCAGAGTCAGGAGTAAACCCTAGTGTCGCCAGGTATGACCCCAAAACGAAACAAAAAAGTAAATTTGTTGAGAACCTTTATCAGACTCCAGAGCATGGACTCCAGCAGATTTCTGCTTCATGGTAGTTTTCTTCCTGGACTTACAAAACAAGATTTTATTCTTTTATTTAATTTTTTAAAATTTTGGACCATAGCTCTAGTACTCAGGGATTATTCCCAGTTCAGGGCCAAGGGGTCACTTCTAACAGTGCTCAGGGGACCATGTGGTTCTGGGTATAAAACCCCAGCCTCCTGCATTCTTTCTTTCTTTCTTTCTTTCTTTCTTTCTTTCTTTCTTTCTTTCTCTCGGTATAAAACCCCAACCTCCTGCATTTCTTTCTTTCTTTCTTTCTTTCTTTCTTTCTTTCTTTCTCTTTCTTTCTTACTGTCTTTCTTTTTTCTTTCCTTCCTTCCTTCTTTCCTTCCTTCTTTCTTTCTTTCTTTCTTTCTTTCTTTCTTTCTCCCTCCTTCCTTCCTTCCTTCCTTTCTCTCTCTTTCTTCCTTTCACTTTTTGGTTCATACCTGGTGATGCTCAGGGATTAGTCCTGGCTCTGAACTTGGGAATCACTCCTGGCAGTGCTCTAGGGATTATATGGGATGCATGCAAAGTAGAAGTCCGGTCCCTAAAACAGTAAGAGTTTAGATTCTCTGAAGTTATTTACTGAGCAAGTTTTCTTTTCTTTTTTCTTGGTTTTTTTTTTAAGGTTGGGAAGGGCGGCTGGTGAAGGGTTGGGTCACACCCAGGGGACCATCAGGGATCACTTCCAGCAGTGCTCAGGGGACTCTGTGTCGGGGATCAAACTCAGGACAGGGGTTTTAGTTGTCACACTTCATCTTTCCAGCTCGGAGCAAGTTTTCTGTTCCTTACATTCTCCGTGTCACCTCCCACAGTCTTTGTGCAAGCAGACTACACATAATTGTCAGAGATTTCAGAGCGGGACTGGGAAAATAGCACCAAGGTGAAGGCACTTGCCTAGCAAGCACTTGAACCCATGGCCTGGGTTCAAATCCCAGGACCGCATATGGTTTCTGAGAACAGGAAAATATAATACATAAGCTTATATATATTTATATTATATATTTATAAGTAAGTAAGTAAAGGCCCTCCCGTTGATCATCGATTTGCTCGAGCGGGCCCAGTAACGTCTCCATTGGAGACTTTGTTGTTACTGTGTCTGGCATATCGAATACTCTCAGTATTCGCTGGAGCGATAGCACAGCGGGTAGGGCGTCTGCCTTGCACGCAGCCAACATGGCCGACCCAAGTTCGATTCCTCCGCCCCTCTCGGAGAGCCCGGCAAGCTATATATTTATATGTTAGATATATTAGATACATAGATAGATTTTTATTTTTATTTTATTTTTTGAAGGAATGAATGGCCACAGCGGCCAGGTCTCTCAGAGGCCACCTTTGCCGCTGGCATGTACTTTGTTTTCTGGTGTGCCATTTCATTTCGCTTTATCACTGGAAGTTGGACAGGCCTCGTGGTTAAAGGACCTACCCTGGTTTCTCAGGCCTTCTGCGTGTGGTTATTTCATCATAAGAAGTTTCATCATAAGACCTGGGTTTGGAAGGAGGGAGGGAGGGAGGGAGGAAGGAAGGAAGGAAGGAAGGAAGGAAGGAAGGAAGGAAGGAAGGAAGGAAAGAATTTTCCCTTCAGTCCCAAAGGAGGCAAGGGAAAGCTTACTTTCTGGCTCCTTCCGACATCCCATATAATCCCTAGAGCACTGCCAGGAGTGATTCCCAAGTGCAGAGCCAGGAGTAATCCCTGAGCATCACCAGGTGTGACCCAAAAAGTGAAAGGAAGAAAGAGAAAGAAAGAAAGGAAGGAGGGATAAAGAGAGAGAGAAGAAAAAGAAAAAGAAAAGGAAAGAAAGAAAGAAAGAAAGATGAAAGAAAGAAAAAGAAAGAAAGATAAAGAAAGAAAGAAAGAAAGGAAGGAAGGAAGAAAGAAAGAAAGAAAGAAAGAAAGAAAGAAAGAAAGAAAGAAAGAAAGAAAGGAAGGAAGGAAGAGGGGCTGGTGCATTAGATCAGCGGGTAGGGCGTTTACCTTACACGAAGCCAACCCGGGTTCAATTCCCAGCATCCCATATGGTCCCCTGAGCACCACCAGGAGTACTTCCTGAGTGCAGAACCAGGAGTAACCCCTGTGTATCGCTGGGTGTGACCCAAAAAGCAAAAAAAGAAAAAGATGATAACAATAATAAACGGAAGGAGGGAGGGAGGGAGGGAGGGAGGAAGGAAGGAAGGAAGGAAGGAAGGAAGGAAGGAAGGAAGGAAGGAAAGAATTTTCCCTTCAGTCCCAAAGGAGGCAAGGGAAAGCTTACTTCCTGGCTCCTGGCTTTGGGACCCGGGCAGAGGTCTTCGCTCCTCCTGGAGTCACCTGACCCCAGCCCCTTGGATGAAACGCCTGAATTATTAAAGCAGCACAGCTCACCGTGCCACAAGCCTCCGGTGATAGATCAAATGTCCGGAATGAAGTCATCAGCCAGCTGGGGTCCATTGCACAATTCCCAAGGCGGAGCCTCTGTCCAGCTCTGCGGTCACCCTTGGGGCACCTCGTCAGGATGCGCTCCTAGATGCCCGTCGCTGAACCTTTAGTTCCCACCCGATTTGTGTCTAAGTCTCCTGTGCTAAGTGATGCTTTGGCAGGAGGAAGTGGAGGGCACAGAGGGTTGAGCCCCTAGTGCTACTCCTGACTCAGTGCTCAGGGATCACTTCTGATGGATCTTGGGGGAACCCTATGCAGTACTGGAAATCAGACCTAGGTGGGTCACATGCAAAGCATGTGCTATCTAGCACTCTGATCCTAAATCATTCTTTTTAGCGGGGAAAGCCAGGGTGAGGGGGGAAGAGGGGTTGTGCATTGCCCAGCAGCGCCCAGAGCTTACTCTTGGCTCTGGGTTCAGAGTGAAAGCAAAATAAAGCAGCCTTGTTAGAAAAGATGAAGTCATGAAATTTACAAACAAGTGGTACTACATGGAAAGCATCATGCTAAGCGAAAAGAGTCAGAAAGAGAGGGATAGATATAGAAAGATTGCATTCATCTGGGGAACATAAAGTAACAAAATAGGAGACTAACACCCAAGAATAGCCGAGATAAGTACCAGGAGGTTCACTCCATGGTTTGGAGGCCAGTCACACATGCTACGGGAAAAGGCAGCTTAGATAGAGAAAGGAGCACCAAATAAAGGGTGCTGGGAGGATCCTCCCAGGATGGGAGAAGCATGCTGAAAGTAGACTCTAGACCGAACATGATTCCCCCTCAATGCCTCTTTTGCAAACCACAGCACCCAGAAGGAGAGAGAAAACAAAAGGGAATGCCCTGCCACAGGGGTGGGGTGCGATGGCGGTGGGGTGGAATGGAGGGGATGGGGAAGTGGGAGGGATACTGGGATCCGTGGTGGTGGAAAATGGGCACTGGTGGAGGGATGGGTACTTGATCATTGTATAATTGAAACCCAAGCACAACAATTTGTAAGTCTACAACTGTACCTCTTGGTCTGTCACTAATATAAATAAATAAATAAATAAATAAATAAATAAATAAATAAAATAAGCAGCCTTAAAGCCTTCTTCCTCTCCGCTCTTTCCAGAACATGTGCACCATTGAAGCCGAGCTGGAGAGTCTGCTGGGGGAATTCTCCATCAAGATGAAAGGTAGTGCTATCCCTGATGAGTGAGAAAAGGGCCTCCGGTCTGTAGGCCTTCTGGAAGTCTGAGAGGGCCGGGGTCTATTTGCCTTGCATGGGCGCTGCTCCAGCCCCTGAGGTGCTCCCCACTTAGCTCACTGTCCAGTTCCCTCCAAGCATCTCATCCTGAGACCCAGGGGTTTATCGGTAGCAGAATCTTCACTGTTCGCCAAGTGAACCCCACCCACCTGGGTTTCAGAATGAGTAAGCGTGGGCTGCCGCCGTTGCTGTATCTGTTTGGGTTTTGCCTTGGTGAACTCGACCCCAGTAAGGAATGCAGGTCCCTGTAACTGCATATCTCTTCCAGAGCAGGGCCTACTCCCGATGTACCAGCACATCTAAAACAGAATGAATATGCCTTTATTTCTTTTACTGTCAAACAAACACTGTCCTTCTGTTGTTCATTAATTTGCTTGAGCAGGCCCAGTAACGTCTCCATTGTGAGACTTGTTGTTACTGTGTTTGGCATATGAATATGTCACGGGGAGTTTGCCAGGCTTTGCCACGCGGGCGAGATACTCTCAGTAGCTGCCGGGCTCTCTGAGAGGGGCAGAGGAATTGAACCCGGCTCGGCTGGGCTGGCTGTGCACAAGACAAAGGACCTACTGCTGTGCTATCGCTCCAGCCCCATTTTTTTTTCAATTTTCAGGTTTTATTAATTTTTTTATAAAGTTGTTCATGTTCCATTCAATATTCCAACACCAGTCCCACCACCATTTCACCTTCCTGCCACTTTTATTTCCAATTTTCCCAACCGCCCCTCACGCCTGCCCCTCTAGCAGGCCCTGAATAATTTGTTCCATCTTGCTTGTTATGAATAATTTGTTAAAATTGATCAAAAAATGTTTCCTTCAAAGGAAGTGTGTGAAGATTGTTGCATCTCACCACGGAGCCATTAAGCTTTTGTGGAAGAGATTTACTAACATGTTGTCACAGGTTAAGCTTTGTGTGTTTATATTTTATTAATCAAGATCGGTTGACTTTTCTTTTACATCCCATCCAATGTGGTATGCCCCTCCTGGTTTATCAGTGATGTAGAGTTTGAGTTGTTGCACAGCTGCAAATGCAGCCACATACTCCAGGAATTCCAAAATTTTAAATGGGATGATACAGCTGGAGTTAAATTTTTCACCTGGATGGTGACTTTGGGTGCCTCAGAAAACTCTCCCTGGTACGTGGTCTGGAAGCATTTCTGCAGCTTGCTGATCTCTTCCAAGATTTGTTTGTGAATCTGTGGATCATGACTGATTGTTGAGCTTCCTTGGTGCCAGAGGCGGTTCTGGGGTGTGACTGCCAAGGCTTTCAGAAGCACAGGAAGATGGGAGGAAGTAGCCTATCCCTGACTCCATGAAAGCCTGGAGATTTCAGTCACAAACCCCGCATGCCTGAGATTTATAACAGATTAATTTCTGGATGAGGTTCATCCCAAGCAGTGGAGTCTGGCCTGGAGCCTGGTGGTGATTGTGGAGTGTGGAGATTTTTGGCTGCCGGGGCTCTGTTTGGGTGGGTGCTGGGCTCACCCACCCCCCTCCAGGGTGAGTGCCTTTATTTTTAATCCATTCCATTCTCACATTACCCCATTCTCACAAGAATGCTTTGCAGAGTTTATTCGAATGAAGAGCCAAACCCGGCTTATTTGTTAAAATGGAAACATCTCATTTATTTATCAGATTATTATTATCTTGTTTGGAGGCTACACCCAGTGGTGCTCAGGGGTGAATCCTGGTGATCCTGGGGGGCGGGCACTATTCGGGGTGCCAGGGATCAAACCCAGATTGACCGCCTGCCTGCAAGCAAGCGCTTTACCTGCGATACTCTCTCTCCAACCCCTATTTATTATTTTTGTTTGACTTTTTCTTTTTTGGTTAGGAGGCAGGGGAGCTGCCAGTGGTGTTCAGGAGCTACCCCTGTGTCTGTGCTCATGGAGGAGGGGGTCACACCTGGTGATGCTCGGGGGTCCTATGTTGGCAGAGATGGAGCCGGGACCAACATTTTGGCAGTCCCTGTCCTTGCCCTTGGCCCTCGGTAACTCCTTCAATTCTTTTCATCTGGGCCAGCTCTCCTCCCCACCCCCACGTGACTGTTGTCACTATTGGGCTGAACCTCCGCCGGTCAGACCTGTGTGTGGGCGTCTTCCTCCTGCCGTCCTCTGAATTGTACCCTCCACACTTCCTCTGCTTCCCATGTCTAGGGCTTTTGGTTTTCCAAGGCCCAAGGACGGTGTGTTTCTACCCACTCTCCTGGTCCCCACATCCCTCTTCTTTCTGGGGTCGGCACCACAGAGCTGTAATCTAGAGTCCTCGGACGGCACCTATGGCACAGGAAGTCAGCCTTTTGCCACGGGAGTGTCACCCAGGCCTGTTCGCTCAGCAGCCAACACAGAAAGCCTGTTTTTCTCCCAATTGAGGGCTCCCTCTGACCAGCAACAAAGAGAGTCAGTGCCCACGTGTTTCTGCTTTTTCTTTCTTTGTTTTCTTGAGATTTCTTAGGCAGCCTGTGCCCCTGGTCACGTGTGTGTGTGTGTGTGTGTGTGTGTGTGTGTGTGTCTTTATGGGTCACACTTGGCGATGTTCAGGAATTCCTCCTGGCTGTGCACTCAGGAATTACTCCTGGTGCTACTCGGAGAACCATATGCGATGCCGGGGATTGAACCCGGGTCAGCCGCGTGCAAGGCAAGTGCGCTACCCACTGTACTATCGCTCTCCACTAATGGGCATTTATCACCCTCTTCTATAGTTTTCTGGGAGTGCGGTTAGCAGCACACACTCTCCTCCTTTCCCCCAACACTCTCCAGGCGAGATTATCAGGATCATGGTGAACCTCAGAGAGCCAACCTCTCACTGGGACCCACCGAGGAAATGCAGTACTTCTTCCCCCCCATTTCTGATGCTCGCTATTAAAAGCAAATATTTGTGGTGGGGTGACCATTCTCAAGAGACAGATGGGAAATGGGGGTGCGATGATGACTCCCCAAAGTTTGGGAGTTGGACTTGAACCCAGAGCTCCTGGTTCGTAGTGTGCTGGGTTCCTTTGGCCCCTATTAACGGGGAGGTTGGAGCAGAGCCAGGGAAGACATCTCTGTGCCAGCAGAGCCAGTTCCCTTCTGGGGAGGGACTTATCCCTCCCCACAGGCAGGTACCGGGGATAAGATGGGGCAGAGGGACCCCACACACACATTCCCCGCCAGCCTGATGCTTCATACCCGGCAATCAGATGGTGGTTCTCCGGGAATCATGCCATCATTCATCGAGGACCCAGCCTCAAGGCTAAGTAGCCGCCCTGGGTTACTATGGTTACCTAGGCAGACAGAGCATCCAGGGTGGCACTGTCCCTGGGAATTCTCCCTCTTTCTTAAGAAATGGAAGTCCCCTCTCAGGCCCAGACGTCTAACGCCTTTGCAGATTGTAGCTTCCTTTTCTGTTTTTTTAAAAAAATTTTTTTTATTGAATCACAGGGAGATACACAATTACAAGATTGTTCATGATTGGGTTTCAGTTATATAATGTCCTAACCCCTGTCTCTTCACCAGCGTACATTTCCCACCACCACACCTCATCTGCCCCTGTGGCAGACATTTTTATTTTCTCTGTCTCTGTCTCTGTCTGTTTGTCTCTGTCTGTCTGTCTGTCTGTCTGTCTGTCTCTCTCTCTCTCTCTCTCTCTCTCTCACTCTCACTCTTTCTCTCTCCTTTGGGGCATTATGGTTTGCAATACAGATACTGAAAGGTTATCAAGTCTGTTCCTTCCACACTCAGTTCTTGTCCAGAATGATCATTTCTAACTATCATCCTATTATTGTCACACGGGTCTCTTCTCTAGCCTAAGTGCTCTTGGCCCTCCACACACTTATGGGAAACTTCCAACCATTGACAGGCCTCCTGGTCCGTTTTTTCCCTGGCCTTGGGTATTAGTCTCATACTATTTTTTTATATCCCACAAGTGAGTGTATTCATTCTATATCTGTCCCTCTCCTTTGTTTTTGTTTTTCTTAAGTCTCTTGTTCATCCTGGTAAAAATAACCACCCCAGCATAAATATTGACATAAACAGAGACTATTTCATCATATTCTCTAACCCAGCAACCCAACTTCCTGTCAAGCCACACCCTTCCCTCCACTTCCCTTTTTGGTTTTTTTGTTTGTTTGCTTTTTGTTTTGGGGGGGTTTTTTTGTTTGTTTTTGCTTTTTGAGTCATGCCCGGCGATGCTCAGGGGTCACTCCTGGCTCTGCACTCAGAAATTACCCCTCCCTGGCTGTGCTCAGGGAACCATATGGGATGCTGGGATTCAAACCCAGGTCAGCCGCGTGCAAGGTAAACACCCTACCCGCTATGCTGTCGCTCCAGCCCCCCACTTCCCTTTTTGCCCCAACATGACAACAAACTGTTTGAGTGCGGGAGGATGATCCTGACAGTTGAGAGAGCCTTTTACAGAGCTCTTGTGGACAGCCCAGGGCTGCTCTGCGTCCTGAAGACTCCTCGGTGTGAGTCCCACACAGTCCACTGAAGAAGGGGGTGCAGAGCCACACACAGCATCACAGCCAAGGTGCAGGTCCATGTTCTAATGGTTTGTGTGATCCTTTGCAGCCAGTACTTCTAACTTGGGGGACTCTGATCTCAAGGGCTGCAGGCCTGGTGAGCTCATGAGAACAGGTTGCAACATCCCTGTCTGGAGGGCAAAAGACTGGCCCTCAGACTAAGACAGTCAGTCGGGCAGCACTAGAATAATCCCCAGAGAGCAGGCTCCGTGCTCATAATGGCCAGAAGGAATGCAGAGCATCTGGCAGAGTTTGAAAACCCTCGGGTGTCTGATGGAAGAGGAAGCGCTTGATGGAGCAACCAAGATGGTGGTCTCTGAGGACAGTGTCTGTCAGCTGGCAGCCACCTGCCTACCTGGGATATTCCAGGGAGGAGCCAAAGGTGAAAGTCCTGGCTGTGAAAGGCCCACACAAAGACTGGGAGGCCAGCCAGCAGGACAGGGGGTGGTCAGAGCAGAGAAACAAGGTCAGAAGTGGGTCACGGCTGGGAAAAGGTCAAGAAATGCTGTGGTGAGGAAAGTTGATCGTCTCCCGTTATCATTCAGTTCCTGACAGTGTTCCTGGCAGAGCAGCTAAGGGTCTCGGGGCAGGGAGCACCTTGAGGAGAGCACTCGCAGGGAGCTGGTGATTCTGTTGTATTGGTGCCTAACGAGTGAGTTGGAAGTCCCAGACCTGTGCTTCTGGCTGGGTGGGTTTCCTGAGGAGAAAGTGTGACTCCTGGAACGGGGTCGTCACAGGACTAGGAAGATGAGGGAGTGGTCTGACAGGACGGTCCCTGAGACCGGAAGAAAAGGACACCTAGGCCTGGGATGGTGGCTTTCCTGACACAGTAATAATTGACAGTAAAATATCCAGGAAGGTGAACCCAGAAAAGAAAGTCCCCCCCTCCTTCCCCTGGGCCCATCCCGGGGTCATCCTGATGGTCTGTTTTCTAGAACCTGTCATGGAAATCACAGATTTGCTGAGGAAACAATCCTCTCTCCAGTGGGAAGCCCCCGGCAGCTCCCAGGGTGGGCGTCTGAGAGAAACATCGAGGGGAAGGGGGGTCTGAAGGCTGCAGGCCCCAAGTTGGACGACCCCACTGCCAGCTCAGGTTCTTATGCCAGTACTTGACAGGCTTGCCCCAGAGCCCTGACCTGGTTTGGCCTGACTATTGTCATCTGTTCCATTATCATGATAATTAGGATATCTGTGTGATACCTTTACCCAGAAACTCAATAGTCCCTTCCCCCTTTGGCTAAATTCTTCAAATAGAAAATTTCTGATAATTGTGAGGGACAAAAACAACCTTCAAAGGATTTTGTTTTCTCTTTGCCTCACCTTTCTCGGCACTGATCAACCAGGGTGGGTGTTTTTTTAAGTTGCCAGTGGTGGTTTGACCCAGGCGTCCAAACAGGCCTTGGGAGACTCCGGAGCTAATTGGCAAGAGATTTTGAAGCAGCATTTTGGATTTTCATTCCAGTTGACATGTCAGGCTGAACCTGATTTTTTTTTCCCCCAAAGCAGCCAATTGTGCTTTTTTTTCTGAAGTATTTTGAAGAAGGTTAAATCCTGAAAATTACGAGTGAAAAATGACTTCTTTAATGTTGTCTTATGTCAAGACTTTAAAAAAAATGTCTTATTCTAATTGGAATAAGAAATGGGTCCTTAGCAGCTGGGACGGAGGGGAGCCCGTGTGGAAGGGAAGGTGGAGAAGGGAAGGAGTGGGATGCGGGTCTTGGAGCTGGAGAGTTGCTGCCACCTACTGGTAGATACTGGAACTATCAGGTACTTCTCTAGCCTAAGCCTGGCAATGTCCATCATTTAGAGTCACAGACTTACCCATTCCCCAGCCCTTCAGCTTATTGAGCAAGTGAAACGGACTGTGAGATCTCAGTCCCATCATCTTTATATGGGTAAGATTCAGACTTATGGACACATTAGGAAATTTGAGGTCCTAAATGGCCCCCAAACCATTGGCTCCTATGCCAAAGGGGGCCCAAGGCAATGGATGAATTCTTGTGCATATTTCATCCTGGGTTGTGGGTCTAGAAAGTCTTCCAGAGTTTCCCAGGTTGTTGCCCCAGCACAGACCAGAGACGCTCATACAGTGAGCTCTCAAGAAACAGTGACAGGGACTAGAGAGATAGTACAGCGTACAGCAGGGTGGGTAGGGCATTTGCATAAGGCTCGACCCACACACACACACACACACACACACACACACACACACACACCCGCCCCAGCCCCCCACCTGGTCCCCTGAACACCGCCAGATGTGGCCCAAAAGATAATTCTTTAGAAAGAAAAAAGCCAAGAAACAGGGGTCGGAGAGAGTGTCGCGGATAAGGTGTTTGCCTTGCACACTGCCCAGCCAGGTTCGATCCCCGCCATCCCATAGGGTCCCCCAAGCACTGTCAAGAGTAATTCCCGAGTGCAGAACCAGGAGTAAGCCCTGAGCATCGCTGGGTGTGGCACAAAAAAGCAAACAAAAAAAAAATGAAAAGGAAAAGGGAAAAACCAAGAATCAGCCACAGGAAGAGAACAAAGGGCTGGTCCGATCAGGGTCCCTGAGGTGCCCCCTGATGACAGCCCCTTGAACGGATGATGACATTGGTTCTTGCAATTTCACCACAGATACTCCCCATCTCAGACCCAGCGGATGCAGGTAGCAAGGAGCAAGGAACTGCCCCATCTTTGTTTGGGGGCAGGGGGGGACAGGGCTGGGCTGTCATTTCGCTTGATTTTGTTTTCTTTCTGGCTTCTTCTACATAGAGGAAAATCTATCCCCTTTTTAGAGATACCTTGAAGTCCAGTGAGAGTAAGGAAAGCAGGAAAATATGAAGGAGGGAAGCACATGGAATCCCAGCCCCCTTGGGGAGACTCTCATGGGGCGTCAGAAATCTTGGGATGGGAAACCAAGACAGCAGTTAGTTTACGTGTGTGGAATTGTGTTGTGTTATAAAAAAGAAAAAATTAATCTCGGAGCCAGAGAGATAGTACAGTGGGTGGGGCACTTGCCTTGCCCACAGTTGACTTGAGTCTGGTTCCTGGCATCCTCCTGAGCACCGCCAGGAGTGATCCCTGAGCATCACCAGATGTGCCCCGAAAACAACAACAACAGAAAATGAATCTATTTTTTTAGCCCTGATCTGATCCTAAATGAAACTTTCAGCCCCCAAGCCCACAAACCCACAAGCCATGTCCATTCCCAACTGCTCTGGCTGGAATCCCTAAAGTTTGCTGTTAACTCGGATCACACACACACACACACACACACACACACACACACACACACACATATACACACCAAAAAAAAAAGGTCATAGGAGTTTCCACCAAAATTGGATGCTTTGGGTTTTGCAAACGTGCCACGATGCACTGGTAAGGAGGGGGGAGTCCATCCCGGCCCTCATCATGCCCTGTTTGCTCCCTGCAGGTCTGGCTGGTTTTGCCCGCCTCTGCCCGGGGGATCAGTATGAGGTAAGTATCACAGAGCATGGGGGCTTGGAGCCAACAGCTTGAAGGCCAGGATGTAGCAGTCATAGTTTGCTTCTTAAATTCACCCTTTCGTACATATCTTTATTTTCATTTATTTATTTTAATGAATTATATTTACGTCATTGTTTTGTTTGGGGGTGTTTTTCTTTTCTCACTTTTTGGATCACACCCAGAGATGCTCTGGGCTTACTCTTGACTCTGCACTCAGGAATCACACCTGGCGGTGCTCCAGGAACCAAATGGGATTCCAGGAATCGAACCCAGGTCGGCCGCTTACAAGGCAAATGCCCTACCCACTGTACTATCACTCCAGTCCCCTATCTTTATTTTTCAAAAAAGAAATTTAAACCAAGAAGTTTAGCGACTCCTCAAAGACCTATCATCTATTTTTTTACCTCAATGCACTAATTTTTCCTCTTATCCCACAAATGCTTTATCATGACTCTTGTTCTCATTATTTCACTGAACCATTTTCCATGAATGAGGAGACGCCGTGACCCTTCGCGCCAGGACTAGCGCAGCTCTCAGCAGCAGCGAATCTAACACTGGCCCTTCAGCGCCGGTCAGCTGACAGATGACCTAAATCCAGATTGTGCCAAGTGCCCCAGTATTACACCTTCTATTGCTTTTCCCTCCTCTGAGATCTCATGATTGAGGAATAATAGTATCTAGATACTATTTTTTTTCTTTGAAAAGAAAAAACATTTTAATTATAGATTTTTACAAATCTGCAAAACATATGTGAGGGTTGGACTCATGCCCAGTGCTCAGTATTATTCCCGGCTCAGTGCTCAGTGCTAAGAGCTCTGGCATTGCTTGGAACTCTGGGGGACGGCTGCATGCAAGCTGGCAAGGCCAGCACCCTAAGCCCTGTACTATCTCTCCAGTCCCCCAAATATGCTTTTAATATAAATATATGAAAATCTATTTTCCAGACTGGAGCGATAGCACAGTGGGTAGGTCATTTGCTTTGCACACGGCCAACCTGGTTCGATTCCCAGCATCCCATATGGTCCCCCAAGCACCGCCAGGAGTAATTCCTGAGTGCATGAGCCAGGAGGAATCCCTGTGGACTGCTGGGTGTGACCCAAAAAGCAAGAAAAAAAAAAAAAAGAAAGAAAAGATAGAGAATGATTCCTAGGGCGAGGAGAGTTAAGAGGAAAGCACGGTGCCACCATGAGCAGAAGGGCACATTGACAAGGACCTGTCGATCAAGAGGGTCAGAGAGATAGGACAGCAGGTCGGGCACTTACCTTGCCTGCCGCCAACTTAGGGTCAATCCCTGGCACCATATACGACACCCCCCCCCACAAACCCCCACAACCTGGTCAGTGATCCTTAAGTGCAGAGCCAGGAGTAAGCCCTGAGCACTGTTGGGTGTGACTCAAACAAACAAACAAACAAATAAATAAAAGAAGGCCTGGGCCAGAAAATAGTACAGCCAGTAAGGTGCTTGCCTTGCATGTGGCCGACCTGAGTTCAATCCCCGGCACCGCTTAGGGTCCCCCAAGTCCTGCCAAGAATAAGCCCCGAGCATCACTGGGTGTGACCCCAAACTCAATACACCAAAAAAAAAAAAAGGGTAAAGAAAGCCCTTCCCCGCCTTCCACGGTGGAAAAACAGAACTTGCCCCACTCTCTGCCAGCCCCCTCCCCGCGCCTGTGCTCCCTGGGCTGAGCCAGGACCCGGGAAGGAGGGATGATGGGGGAGGGGGGCGGGCTGGGTGCTGCCCAGCAGAAGGACTGTCGGTGTCTCCGCTCCAGATCTTCATGAAGTACGGCCGGCAGAGGTGGAAGCTCAAGGGGAAGATGGAGGTGAATGGCAAGCAGAGCTGGGACGGAGAGGAGATGGTCTTCCTGCCCCTCATCGCCGGATTCATCTCCATCAAGGTGCAGTTCCTCCCTGCATCGCCCCTGGTGCCCTGGGTGGGGGGGAGGTGAGGGGGGCAGGTGGGCCCGAAGTGGGGGTCCTGACCTTGAGTCCGCTCCCCTCCTCAGCACACGCACACACACACACACACACACACACACACACACCACTGTGCCCTTCTCCTCTGGACACCAGGCTCTGCTGTTCCTTCTGCTCCCCGGGTTGCGGGCACTCAGGTTCCTATCCCCAAGAGTCGGGACCCGTGATGGACTGACCGAATTCAGAAAAGACACTTTTTCTTTTTTTTGGAAGTCAATTTTATTTATTTATTTATTTATTTTTGGGGGGGGGGTCACACCCAGCAATGCTCAGGGGTTACTCCTGGCTTTGCACTCAGGAATTACTCCTGGCGGGATCATATGGGTTGCTGGGAATCGAACTCGGGTCGGCCGCATGCAAGGCAAATGCCCTACTCGCTGTACTGTTGCTCCAGCCCCGAAAAGACACTTTTTCAGGGGAAGAAAGAAGAAAGGGAAAGAAGGCAGAGGAGCTCCAGGGTAGGCGGTGGGTGGGTGAGCATTTCTTTTTGTTGTTGTTTTCTTTTTTTGGGGGGGGGTGGTCACACCTGGCGATGCTCAGGGGTTTCTCCTGGCTCTGTGCTCAGGAATTAGTCCTGGCGGTGCTCAGGGGACCATATGGGATGCCGGGAATCGAACCTGGGTGAGCTGCATGCAAGGCAAAAGCCCTCCCTGCTGTACTATTGCTCCGGTTCCACATTTCTTTATTATATCCCGAGAATGTGAGCCCTTAAAATGGGAGAGGATGCTGAGCCGACTGTCTTCCGGGATCCAGGTCCAGCAGACCTTGGCTATCCAGGTTCTCAGGCACCACCCAGGTCACCCTCATGCTGTTCCTTACAGAGCCATTTCCTTCCTTTTTGAAAAAACAAATTATCTTTTAATTGAATCACAGTGAGATCACTTGTATCACTTGCTGTCCCGTTGTTCATCGATTTGCTCGAGAAGGTGGCAGTAACATCTCCATTTGTTCCTGTCGCATGCTAGCGTAGCCCAGTGGCATATTGGGGGCTCTTTCAGGGTCAGGGGAATGAGACCCGCTATTGTTACTGTTTTTGGCATATCGAATAGGACTGTCAAGTCACAGTAGCTTGCCAGGCTCTGCCGTGAGATACACAGTTACAAAGTTGTTCATGATGGGGTTTCAGTCATACAGTGTTCCAGCACCCACCCCTCCACCAAGGGTCCATTTCCTACCGCCAGTGGCCTCAGTTTCCCTCCTGCAGTACCCACTCTCTCTCCTCTCTCTCTTTCTTCTCTCTTTCTCACCTCTATCTCTCTGTCTCTCTCTCTTTCTGCCTCTCCCTCTCCCCCTCCCTTTCTCTCCCTACTCTTGGGCATGATGCTTTGCAATACAGATACTGAAACATCATCAGGTACATTTCTTTATCACTCTCAACACTCAGTTCCTGCCCAGAATGATTTCCAACTATTATTGTCACACTGGTCCCTTCTCTATCCTAACTGCCCTATGCCCCCCGTGCACACTTCTGGCAAACTTCCAACCATTGACCAGGCCTCCTGGCTCCTGTTTTCCCTGGCCTTGGATATTGGTCTCATACTTTTTTTTTTAAATATCCCCCAAATGAGTGCAGTCATTCTACCTCTGTCCCTCTCCTTCTGGTTCCCTTTCTTTAGAGCCATATCCCAAATCTCTCCCTGCCTGTTGCCCTTTTGTCCCTGGCAGTGGTCAGCTGATCACGGAAAGCCCACGTGGAGAGGCCAGGCTCCTTCCACTGTTCTCCTGAAAGACCCCTCTGCTCTCCCTAGGTCACCGAGCTCAAGGGGCTGGCCTCTCACCTCCTGGTGGGCAGTGTGACCTGTGAGACCAAAGAACTGTTTGCAGCCAGACCCCAGGTGGTGGCAGTGGACATCAACGACCTCGGCACTGTCAAACTGAACCTGGAGATCGCCTGGTAGTAAGTGACCCTTTCTGATCTCTGCCCAGGGGAGTGCCAACGGTAGGTCGCATGCCAGGGGGGTGCAGGACGCAGGACCATCCGACTCAGCTCCAACAAAGACCTTTCCTCAAAGCAGCAAACGTCAGCGTGGCCTTGCTCACACCCAAGAAAGCTTATGATGTTGTTTTTGTTTTACTGAAGAATCCTCATGTGTCCACGTTAAATAAGTTTCCAGGGGTCACTGTTCCCAAGCTCAGCTCTGTAGGCCATTCTCCCTGCTTAGTCTAGCTCTGTCCCTTTCCCCAGACACTTGTCCTCCATAGCCCAGTTTGCTCGGGTGAATGAATTTTCCAACCCCAATTGCCCGTAACCTGGCCTAGAATACCCGTGGCATATGACCAAGTAAATATGATATGATGTGTGTTGTGTCCAGGGTCCCCTTTCCAATCAAGAGGCTGAGCCCTGGGCGCAGGAAAGACCCCCTCCTGCCTCAGCTCGGTTTGTAATCAATCACCCCAAAGTTGTTGTCCTGACATGATCCTTCCCCGCCTATGACCAGTGCGCCAGAAAGCATCACGGTAAAGTGGCATCCTGGGGCTGGAGAGTTAGCACAGCGGGTAGAGCGTTTACCCTGCACGTGGCCGACCCAGGTTTGAGTCCCAGCATTCCATATGGTCCTCCGAGCACTGCCGGGAGTGCAGAGCCAGGAGTAAGCCCTGTGCATCACCGGATGTGACTCAAAAAGCCAAAAAAGAATGAATGAATAAATAAATAGATAGATAGATAAATAAATAAAGCAGCATCCTGGCCAACAACAGACTGTTACTGGCGCAGCCTGGAGAGAAGCTACTGGTGACTGAGATGAGCAGGCTTCTAGTTTGGAACGTTTGCGTCAGTGCTGGCGCAAACAACCTGCTCATGAAAGCATCTGTCCCGCAGAGCCCAGGGAATCTTTTACAGACTCCACCTGTGGTGCTAGCCTGCGTCTGTCTATTGAACGTTCTGACTGCAAAGAGAAAGCACAGCCATCTAGGCCCTCTGTGATTCCATCCACTGTGCATCTGACTTCCATTCTCTCTCTCTCTCTCTCTCTCTCTCTCTCTCTCTCTCTCTCTCTCTCTCACTCTCTCTCTCTCAGCTCCTTGGTGAATCTCAGCTGAGGATGCTGCTCAGCTTCCTTTTTTTTTTTTTTTGGTGTTTTGGCTTCACCTAGCAATGCTCAGGGGTTACTCCTGGCTCTGCACTCAGGAATTACTCCAGGCAGTGCTCAGGGAACCATAAGGGATGCTGGGAATCGAACCCAGGTTGACCGCATACAAGGCAAATGTCCTTCCCACTGTGCCATCACTCTGGCTCCAGCTCGTCTTTATTCTATAGTAGCTTGTTTCCCCTCTTGGCCCAAACTCCCCAGGTTCCCATGAGCTCAGTTAGGTGCTTCCTGGGCTTGGGGGCTGGGGCTTGGTGGGGAGGGGGTGACCTGACCTGTGCATTCATGGGCCCTGTTACCTTGCAGCCCATTCGATGTGGAGGACGTGACGCCTACCTCGGGGGCTGGGAGCAAGGCGGCTGCCCTGCAGAGGAGAATGTCCATGTACAGCCAGGGTACCCCAGAAACACCCACCTTCAAGGATCACTCTTTCTTTGTAAGTTCAGCGTGGTTTCAGCAATGGTGACAGTTTGGGGGGCTTGAGGGGGTGGGAAACGCAAGGGGAATTCCTGCTTTGTGCCATGCTGACCAGACAGCATTTGAGAGTCGCGGAAATTTCCACATAGGAGCCAGAATGATAGTGCAATGGGTAAGATGCTTGCCTGGCACACAGCCGACCTCTGGCACCCAATGTGGTCCCCCGAGCTCTACCAGGAATGATTTCTGAGCTCAGAGCCAGGAGGAAGCCCTGAGCAACATCCGGTGTGAACCCTTCCCTGCTTCAAAAAAAAACCCAAAAACAACAACAACAAAAAAACCACGTTATTCTTGACACTCACCCAGATAAGGAACAGCGCAGGAAAATACAATCCTGATGGTCCCAGTTGCTCCCCTCTTTCTTCTCTCCAGCCCCTGCTTGGATCAAAATCTTTAGTTTTAGGGCTGGAGCGATAGCACAGCAGGTAGGGCATTTGTCTTACACACGACCAACCCAGGTTCGATTCTCAGCATCCCATATAGTCCCCCGAGCCCCGCCAGGAGTAATTCCTGAGTGTAAAGCCAGGAGTAACCCCTGTGCATTGCTGGGTGTGACCAAAAATGCAAAGGCTCATCCCAGAGAATGTTCAGGGATTTTAAAGAACTGGATTGCAGAATCCTGTTCAAATTGGAAATGCTGGCTAGAAACTCACAAGGACATGGGGCTCTGCAGAGACATCCGACGGAGGGTCCGGGCACCCTGCCTTGCACGCTGACAACCCCTGTCTCTTCCCCTCGCACGAGCTGTGGTTCCCACCCCTCCTCCCCCCAGGCACTATCCGGGGAGGTCACTCCTGAGCTCAGAGCCAGGAGTCACCCCCTGAAAACTGTCCTGTGTTGCTGAGCAAACCCCCAATAGCCAGAAACTCACCACACCCAGTTTCCCCGTGCCATGCACTAACCCACCCGTCTTGCTTTGACGCCGGAAGAGATGGTTGCACCCGGCCCCGGACAAGCCGAGGCGGCTGTCTCTCCTGAGTGCCTTGCACGACACTTTGCTTGCCAAGCTGCGCCGCAGCCGTTCTTTCAGCGACCTGCCCTCCCTCAGCCTGAGACCCGCGGCAGTGCTCGAGCTTTATGTGAGTCTGCGGGGGGCTGCCTGCGTGCCGAGTGCTTGCCTTGGGGAGGGGAGTGGGACTGGGGCCATCATGGAGACTCGGGCATATCCTCCTGCAGGGGTCTTCTCTCTGTCTTGCTTGCATGACCATGAGTGCAGGACTCTTGGGGTGTGGGGGGGGGCATGCAGCTTGCTCTGAGGGCCCATCCTTTGCTTCTTCTTTCTCTCCACATCCCCTCGCTCCGTGTGCGGTGCTCCTTCCCCAGGGTGCCAGAGATATCCACGGAGAGAGATTTCCAAGTGTTTCAAACCTTTGGGAGAATGAGACGGGGCTTGGTGTGTCACATTGGCCTGCACCCTCTCAGAGCCCCGGGTCAGTCAGGGGCTGTTCGGGGCAGGACTTGGCAGGGGTCTAAAAGCATCATTCCAGGGACAGTTGGAGAAACACAGAGATGCTCAGAGCAGTGGTTCCCGGCGGGCTACAGCCCATTTTCCCCAGCACACACCCCCCTACCTCCATCCTCTGCTGATCCCCCAAACTACCTCTTCTCTCTTAACTGTGCTCCCTGTTCCAGCCCTCCCCGCTGCTGCATACAGCACCCTTCCAGCGTCTGCTCCTCCACCTCCTCCTCTCTGAGGCCTCCCCATCCTTCAGGGCCAAGTTCTAGGCCTTTCTCTTTCCTCCCCGCCTGGACCAGCTTCAGTTAATATGACGCACAATCCCTCAGACTGATGGAACCTGTACTGGCTTCTCCCTCTTGGTTCGAGCCTCTCAATGCATAGTTTTGCCACATGACGTGGTTGCCCACAGGGCTTGGGGCTGTGAGCCTGGGGGAGGACTCTGAAGGCAAACAAACGCCTCTCACCACCACAGAAGTGCCTCCATTGGACATGTGCTGTGAGGCTAAGACCCTTCAGGGCCCTCCTGAGAGAACGTGGGATTCTGAAAGATGCCAGAGGAGCCCCCGGAGTGGCACTGCGGGTCTCATTCTGCCTACTTTCTCTGGAGGCATGAAATATGTGGGAAGGGGAATTCCAGCTGGAGGCAGAGGATGGGCAGGAGCCTGGCCCAGACGCTATTGCTAAAGTCCCTTCTGGCCTGACTGTCACCGGGTGGTCCATTCGGGGTCCCTAAAGGCAAACAGAGCTGGAAGCCATCATCATGCAGAAATGATCTGGGTGCCTTTTGCTCCCACTGTGCCAACTGGGGGTGTGGGTTGGATTCTGAATGCTTTGGGGTGTGGCGGCCTCAGATCTAGAAGGGGCAGTGCTGAAGAGAGTGGCGCAAAGTCATTCTTTGATGAAAAAGCATCGTTTTTAGATCTGAAAACAGGTAGTAGATTAGTACCTCTCATTTCCTGAAACATGTGGAATCTACAAGAGAGCATTTGTTTTGAAGAAGATCATCACAAATAGCTAGAAAACTTTTTCTACCACCTTTGACATGTCAACACTCTATACTGACCACAATATAATTAGATGACTTAGGGGGCTGAAGCAATAGCACAGTGAGGAAGGCGCTTGCCTTGCACGCTGAAGACCTGGGTTCCATTCCCAGGGCCCCACATGGTTACCTGAACCCCACCAAGAGTGTTCCCTGAGTGCAGAGCCAGAAGTAAGCCCTGTGCTTGGCCAGCAGTGACTCATATCTGCCTATACCCCCATCATCAGCACCGAATTGCTTAGGGCCAGACATAGTACAAAGATTAAGGCAAGTGCCTTGCAAGTGGTTGGTGCTGGTTTGAAATCCTGGCAATGCCAGGAGTTACTCTGGAGCATAGAGCATAAACCCTGAAAACCACCAGAACACCCCACCCCAAAAAATGTTGACTTAGATAGTGTTATGATGCCTACCTGAAGGAATGATCTTAGTTACCTGGCTATATCTGACCTCTCTCTTCTGAGTTCTGCTTTCTAAATCCCAGAGGATACCTGACCCCCTGAGGTCACTGGAGTGAAAACGCCAGTTTTCTAAACACCTTGAAAACTCAAGGGTCACCTGCTGGCACTCACAGTTATTAATCTTTCCTCCCTATTTTTTCTTAGAAAGTATGCCTTTCTGTGTATTTTTGGCCTTGGCTTACTTGTGGTTGAGTTAATAAATCCAACATGTTCAGAGGCTTGGGATTTGTGGGTAGACAATTTTAAAAAATAATTTACAAGAACTGAAGCAGAACAAAGTATTCATTCTTTGAGTGAAACTGCAAATGTTCATAAGTCTTCCCAGATAAAGGCCAAAAACTTTAAAACACAAAAACTTGGTAGGGCTATTTATAACTGTGGTGGCCCAAGATTGTGAGGTTCTGGGATTTAGCGAACAAGTTATTTTTTCCCCTGTCCCAGTCTTTTGTTTTGGAAAATGTTAGCTCCCAAAATAGCATCACGGACTTTCACCCAGATCCAACATTAGAAGTACGGCTGAGCTTGGGGGTTGTTTATTGTTTGTTTGTTCATTGTTTTCTATTTTATTTAGGCACCATGATCTATAAAGCTCCCAATAACCCAAGGCTCCCTTCCTCTCTGTACCCTGCTTCCTTAGCCAACTTTTTTTTTTTTTTGCTTTTTGGGTCACACCCGGCAATGCACAGGAGTTACTCCTGGCTCTGCACTCAGGAGTACTTCTGGAGGTGCTCAGGGGACCATATGGGATGCTGGGAATCAAACCTGGGTCAGCCGCGTATAAGGCAAATGCCCTACCCGCTGTGCTATCTCTCCAGCACCCCCTTAGCAAACTTTTAAAAAATTTATTTATTATAGTTTGGGTCACATGTTCACAATGGTCCCATGTTTACAATGACTTTCATGGTTCCCACCAAAATTTTCAAATCCGTTGACCTCTGACTTTTATGTTACTTCCGGTCTGCCTCTTCCCCTCTCCTTTCTTTGCTCTCTCATTTCCGCAACCCAGGGCCCAGGGCTTGCCCCCATCATATCTTCCAGTCCCTTGCCTGTCACTCTGTACGACAGATAAGTGAGAGAACATCCAGTGTTTGTGCTCTGAGAAAGTATTTTAAAAGGGCTTGTATTTTAACAGAACATGGGAAACCCACACAAAAAAAGCAAACCATAAACCAGAACGAAAGAAAGTGCTGCAATTAAGGAAGTTCTGAGTTTCAGAAAACAATTTATTCCTTGCCTTGCATTTTGTTGGGGGATCATTTGTACTTAAAATAATCACAAGGGCGGTTCTGCTTTGGGCACGGATTGGGGTTCGGGATGGAAACGCCTGAAATATGGTGGTAGTAAGGTGTAATGTTGGTGGGATTGGTGTTTGAATATCAAGTGTAATCAAATACTGTGAACTATTTTATAAAATAAAAATAATAAATAAATAAATAAATAAATAAAAATTACAAGGGCTGGGGCTGGAGCGATAGCACAGTGGTAGGGCGTTTGCCTTGCATGCAGCCAGTCCGGCCAAGCCGGGTTCGATTCCTCCACCCCTCTTGGAGAGCCCGGCTAGCTACCCAGAGTATCGCACCTGCACGGCAAAGCCTGGCAAGGTACTCATGACGTATTCGATATGCCAAACACAGTAACAACTGTGGAGACGTTACTGGGCCTGCTCGAGCAAATCGATGAACAATGGGAGGACAGTGTTTGTTTTGTTTTTACAAGGGCTGGCGCAATAGTACAGAGGGTAGGGTCCTTGCTCATTTGCTCATGGCTTACAGGTTGACCCAGCACCCCTCTGGTTCCAGAGGTCCTCCCCCCCACATATACACACACACACAAACCGGAAGTGAACCTTGGATACAGAGCCAGGAGTAGCCCTGAGTACTGCCTTGCATGGCTCCAAAACAAAATAACGCCCCAAACTAGAGGTAACAAATGGGCAAAGGCAACCGAACCTGAGAACAGATCTGTAGAACCGACTTTACTGGGGCAGGGAGGTGGAGAGGTGGGGAGTGGGGGGAAGGGGCTCCAGGGGGACCCTGAATGGCGGAGGGAGAAGGTGGGGCTGGAACTGTGTGTGCATGGAGCCCTACCTGAACAGTGGTGCAGAGACCACACGGACTCAGAGTTAAATCTCTAATGACCATAAAATAATTTGGTGGGGGGGCTTTCTGTCCAACAGTCAAATCTGCCTGATGACATCTTTGAGAATGGGAAGGTGCCCGAGGAGACGGTGCCCCTCTCCCTCAGCTTCAGGGACCTCCCCAACGGGACCTGCACCCCCTGCCCCTCGGCCGACTCCCCGTCCAGCACATGCTCAACCAACCCAGAAATCACCATCACCCCCGCCGAGCTGCCCCTCTCGCGCCAGGCCTCCCAGAGGGACGATACCAGCTCCGCGGCTTCCAGCAGCTCCTCGGGAGAAGGCCCCGTGCTCAGACCCCCGCTGCAGGGAGACCCGGAGGCCCCCCGCGCCCCCACGGAGGCCCTGTTTCTCGAGAAGGAGGTCACCGAGGCCCTTCTGCATGAGTCCGATGAGGCCTCGGAGCTGAAGCCAGTGGAGCTGGACACTCTGGAGGGCAACATCACCAAGCAGCTGGTGAAGCGACTCACATCCGCAGAGGCACCAGCCGTCACCGAGAAGCTGTTCTTCGACGGCTCGGTCAGCGGAGAGTCGGAGGGCTGCCGGTCCTTTCTGGATGGAAGTCTGGAAGATGCCTTCAACGGCCTCTTCCTCGCCTTGGAGCCTCACAAGGAGCAGTATAAGGAGTTTCAGGAGCTGAACCAAGAAGTCATGCATCTGGACGATATCCTCAAAGTAAGTACCCTCTCGGGGACACGGGGTTCGTCTGGAGAAAAGGGTCGGTGTTCTGCCCAAGAAGGCCTTCGTCTCTTGGCGTTTTCTTGTTTCTTTTCTGGTTTTGGGTCACAGGGGTTACTTCCTGACTCTACACTCAGGAATCACCCTGGCGGTGCTTGAAGGGAACATAAATGATGCAAAGAATCGAACCTGGTTTGGCACCGCGCAAGGCAAACACCCTCCCCGCTGTACTATGCCTCCGGCCCTTAATCTGTTTTTAATTCTACCCCATCCCAAGGTCATTGAAATGACATTTTTTTGGGGGGGGGGCTTTTTGGGTGACACTCGGCAATGTTCGGGGGTTTACTCCTGGCTCTGCACTCAGGAGTTACTCCTAGTGGTACTCAGGGGATCCTATGGGACGCCAGGAATCGAACCCGAGTCAGCCACATACAAGGCAAACACCCTCTCTTCTGTACTATCACTCCCGCCCCTGATTTTTCCTCTTCATCTCAGTAGTGCGTGTGAGTCTTGATGTTCCTGGTTACTCATCAGCTTCATTCCCGTGTGAGAGCAGTGAAACAGCCCTAAGGTCGGGAATACCCCAGGCTCAGAGTTGGTCATTCAAATTCAAATGGTGAAATGGGAGCATTTTTTAAAATTATGCTATATCTGACTTATTATTTTTTTTCGGCACAATTGACATAAGTTATTAGTTTAATATATACATCTTAGTGATTAGACATTTGTGCATATTAAGAAATGATGGTAACAGTAAGTGTAGTTGACAACAGGATTCATGACACTGTAGCACTGGTGCACTGTAGCACTGTCCTCCTGTTGTTTATCGATTTATTCGAGCGGGCACCAGTAACAATTCCATTGTGAGATTTGTTGTTACTGTTTTCGGCACATTGAATATGCCACGGGGAGCTTGCCAGGCTCTGCTATGCAGGCGGGATACTCTCAGTAGCTTCTGGGCTCTCCGACAGGGATGGAGGAATTGAACCCAGGTTGGCCGCATGCAATGCAAACACCCTACCCGCTGTGCTATCACTCCAGCCCATTCATGACACTATATATTACAAATACACATACATATACACAAGTACATACACAGACACATGCATATACACGTACATATACACATACATATACACATACACGTGCACATATATGCACATATGCATACATATACACATGCATGTACATATACACATACACATGCATATACATATACATACACACACGCACATACATATACACATGCTCATATACATGCACATACACATACACACATACACATGCACACATGCTCATATACATACATGTACACACATGTACACACATATACACATATACACATATACATGCACATACATATACGCATATGCACATATACGTGCACATACATATACATACACATGCACATACATATACACATGCACATACACATGCACATGCACATATATATGCACATACACATGCGCATACATATGTGCATACCCATACATATACACATACATGTACATATACACATACACTTGCACATACATATACATATACACACATATACACATACACATGCACATACATATACACATACACATGTACCCACAAGTGCTCACGGATCCTGGGAGGCCCACTCCAGGGAACTTTCCTGGTCCCAGGGAATCCCCCACTCCAGATCTCCCCGGCCCTGATCCTGCTTGGCAATTCCAGGTGGGGGTGAGAGGGGCCAGTGAGGGGCTGATTTCCTCGGGCCGGAAGCCCTCCCAGGGAGATCATTGATTGACTGCCCCAGAATGTCTGCCAGCCTCGGGATTACAGATGGGGTGTTTTCAGAAGCACTGCACAAGCAGCCATCCTCAGTGCTCTGAGGCTCTTTGCTGGGGTGCTGGGCGTCAAACCCAGGGCTCCCTCAGGCCAGACACATGCTCCAGCCCAGTGAGCCACTCGCCCTGGCCTTACTGCCGCTCTTGTCCTCTTTGCTTTGTCATTCTGATTTACGTGGCCATGTGGAAATGCACTGAGATCCCTTTCCTTGAAAGAAAATTTCTTCAGAGACCTGTCATAGAAAATGGGCTTGAAACCCAGGTGCCGGGGCCGGCCGAGAGATGAGCCCCCAGGAAGTCTTCCTGGGCATGACTATCTTAACACATGGCCTTCCCAGGGCGGGTAACTCTGCGACCAAGCATATGACTCCTGGTAGGAGACCCTGGGTTCAGCCCCACTCAGCACTCAGATGGTTCTTCCAGAACTTCTTCCTTCAACAGGTTCTTGTCTGTCTTCATCAGCTTTGCTTCGTGGGCGGAAGGTACCAGGTTTAAAGCGCTAAGACATAGGGACACCACCCCCCTCCTGGGCCCCCACTTAATTAAAGTCACTGCAGAGAGTGGCTTCTGTGTCCAGCCTTTGAAGTTACTCAAAGGGGGTGTAGTTCAGTGCCCCAAACCTCAGAGTCTTTTTTCTTTATATTTTGGCTTTTTTGGGTCCCCCCCCCCACTTCCAGGCAATGCTCAGGAGTTCTTCCTGGCTCTACACTTATGAATTACTCCTGGCAATGCTTGGGGGACCATACGGGAAGCTGGGGATCAAACCCAGGTCAGCCGCATGCAAGGCAAACACCCTCCCCACGGTACTATCGCTCCAGCCCCTCACCTCCTAGCCTTAACTTAGCATAGTCAGGTGGTCGTAGACTGCTCTGCAGTTATTAGATCGACCTGCCGGGGTTCCAAAACCATTCAGCTACTGAAAAATCTTTCACTGCCTCGCATCTCTTTGTATTGCCCAGATCATGGTTTAAAACACATCCAGCCGCACTTTGCAAGAGGATCTCAGGGCTGAGCCTGGCCTGGCTTCTCTGCCCGCCCCCCGAAATGGACAGTGCCTTTGGAGTTGCCTGGGGTCAGGGCCTTTGGATCCAGCTGGATTTTAAGCATCCGCTGGACCAAGCTCTCTCTCTCTTCCCCCTCCCCCTCCCTTCACGTACCTAGGAAGCTAACCGTCTTGAGGATCAGCAACTCAAAGATGCTGCTGACTGGTGATCAAATGAAACAGCTGATTTAAGACGGAGACGAAAAACAGCTCTGACTTAAAAGCCCGAAAAAGACGGTTTCCCGTGTGCGGTTGTGCCATCTTGAGGGTCCAAGACAGATCCAGCAAGGCCCTTCCTGCCTCTGCCTTGAGTTCAGAAGTCAGCAAGAAGGGCGTGTTCCCCAAGAGGAGGACTTTTAGTTTTTTTCTTTGGGGAACTTGTCCCCCACCCCCCACCCCACCCCCCACCCAGCAGCCTTGTGAATATTTCCCAGTCCTTCCCTTCCTCCCCCTGCTGGTAGCAACTGGCGTTTCTCTCTTTGCAACGTTTCCATTTCCGTTTTCGGCCACCCAGAACTCTCTGGGCCCGAGATTGGTTGGTTTGCACCATTGCCAGGGCCGATGTGAGAATATTCTGCTTCGCAGCCGGGCTTGAGAGGAATCAGAACTGCTTCTTGTCCTGCCATGACGGTTATGTTCCCTCACCTAACCCCGTTGCCTTGCTCCAAGCAGAATTAGACACTGTGAATGTGAACTTCAGGCTGAAGGCCCCTTAGCGAGCAAGTGTGAAGGCAACACCCTTCTCTCTTTCTGGGATTTGTTGACAGTTTGCAACACTTGTCTTCAAGATGCTCCCTCCCGTCTCAGGACATTGAAGATGCCCCCACTAGCAAGGGGATATGACTCAGTGGCTCTGAATTTCACTGCTTGTGATACTGTGTTTGGAAAGAAACCCTGGGATGGAGCCACGGGGTTTCCCAACACTCTGGTTGTATTTTTTTATGCTTGTAAAGAATTTCAGGGGCCTGAGTGACAGTACACTGGTAGGGCATTTGCCTTGCAAGCAGCCAACCTGGGTTTGATCCTCAGCATCCCACATGGTCCCCGGAACACCACCAGGAGTAATTTCTGAGTGCTAGAGGCAGAAATAACTCCTGAGCATTGCCGGGTGTGACCCAAACAACAAAAAATAAAATGTTAAGGCTGGAGAGGATAGTCCAGGGTGTATGGCCCTTTTGCCTTACATGTGTCCAACCCCAGTTAGTTCCCTGGTACTGCTTATGGTGTCTTGAACTCTCTTGGGCATGGCCAAAATAAAACTCCAAAACAAATCAAAAATGGACGATTTCAAACTGCCCAGAGAGAAAACTCAGTGGGGCTGGGAACACCTGGTCCTCTGAGCGCCCTCAGGTATGCCCTCACTCCCCAAAAAAGTATTTTTTCTAACAGAAGCATAGAGTTTCTCGCATTAGACTCCAGCCATTTTCCAGCCTCCCCGGCTCAGGGCCAGATCTTGCTTTGTCCAGTTGCTCCCTGCTTACTTCCCTCTGGATCATTTTGCAACAAACCTTAGCTATTGTGTTGTTACATATATACATCCACGGTTGTATATATATATATTTTTTTTAACATGAATGTTGTTGTTTTGTTTTGTTTTGTTTTGTTTTATACTGTTATTTTTTTGAAGCCAACGCAAAATAAAAGCTTGAGAGGAAAAAATAAATAAAAATAAGCTCCAGTGTCGCTTGTTGAAGCAGAAGCCCGGTGCTATGCGTGCCGCGTCCCTTTCCGAATATGTCCTGCTCTCCTTTGCAGTGCAAGCCGGCAGGAAGCCCCAGCCGGTCCTCCAGCCTGAGCCTCACGGTGGAAAGTGCTTTAGAAAGCTTTGACTTCCTGAACACCTCGGATTTTGATGAGGAGGAAGAGGATGGCGAGGAAGTCGGTCCCGTGGGCGTCGGTGCAGACTCCGTGTTCTCCGACACGGAGCCGGAGAAAAGCAGGTGAGATCTGTGTCTGCTTCTGTTGTTAGGGCATGGATCGAAATCTCCCTCTAATGACAAAGAGACTCCAAAGACTGCAAACAGCATGCAGGGTTTATTGTAAGACTGGCTAGCCAGGGTCCAACCGCCTACACAGACACGCAGGTCCGGCAGGTTGAGTAAAGACCCCGAGCTTCTCCAAAGGAGATCTTATATAGGTCCTCACCGACCATTACAGTAGAGCCTGCGCATTTCATAGCCAGTAGATTTGTAATAACAGACACTTTCCTAACCAATCCAATTAAGGGTACATCACTTCTTAGCCTATAGTTTAAAGATCAGCATTTGCGTCAGTGCTTAGGAATGTCCTGGTTTTTAGGGCAGTCCTGGGTCTTGCAACATGGGTCTTGTGAGAGACATCCAGTTATCTGGTCTCACCCCCACCCTAGAGTACCTGTATCTGAATTCCTTGCTCAGGGGCAGAAAAACCAGTTTTTCTGCAATGCGGGTTCCTGTTAAGCTAAGCCAAATTAATTCTAGTGGTGGTCCATTTTGGGCCTGTCCCTCACACTGTTTCTCCCAGTGTAGGCGGAGTACTAGGGGGCCTTTCTCTGTTTTTACTCTCAGATGGCCCTGGTGCCCACCCCAGCCAGATGGAACTCTGGGTTTGAGCTGTCAGCTGGCTCGCTGTTCCTTATTAATGTTGGTGGCAGCTTCTTTGTTTGCTTCTGGGTTCACACCTGATGATGCTCAGGGGTTACTCCTGGCTTTGTGCTCAGGGATCATTCCTGGGGTGCTCCAGGGACCAAATGGGATGCTGGAGATGACACACTGTGTGTGCAAGGCCAATGCCCTCCCTGCTGGACTATGGCTCCAGCCCCCCCGGTGACAGCTTCTAAATAGGGTCTACCTCTTTTGCGTTATTTAAGGGGAAAATGAGCTGCTGTTTTGGGGCAGGGAGTTCAGTCCACACCAGGCTGTGCCCAGGGATTACTCCTGGTGGTGCTTGGGGGCCCGCATGTAGCTTTGGGCTCGAACCACGATGGGCAGGAGCCTTAACTCCTGTACTGTCTCTCCAGCCCTGAAGGGCAGATCTCGGCATGAATGTGTGTAAACATTGGCATGTGCATGCAGAACCTTGTAGGGGTTCGGCGTCTGCCATTCCTAGTTCATTCTTAATGAACTCCTTAGGCTGCTTCTGGAGAAGTGTCTCTGGATGATCAAACACCTGATTTTCCATAGTATCGCCCCTTCTTATTTTTTTGTTTGTTTGTTTGTTTTTGTAAGCTTTTGTTTGTTTGTGGGGGGGTTGTTTGTGTTTTCATTTGGGGTCACACCCGGTGGTGCTCAGGGCTTATTACTGCCTCTCACTGTATCACTGTCATCCTGTTATTCATCGATTTCCTCGAGCAGGCACCAGTAATGTCTCCTTCTTCCTATCCCTGAGATTTTTGAAAGTGCCACATTCGAGGCTTTTTCAGGGTCAGGAGAGTGAGACCCATCATTGTTATTGGTTCTTGGCATATTGAATACGCCACAGGGAGTTTGCCAGACTCTGCCGTGTGGGCAGGATACTTTTGGTAGCCTGCCAGGATCTCCAGAGTAAGAACTAGATAATAAGATATCACGTGACCACGAATGCGGCCAAGCACTTCCAGGAGCTGGGTTTTATAGTTTCTGGGTATTGGCCGTTGATGGGATTACACGGGTCAGGGGCAGTTGGTGGGTGTAACATCTACATACTGGAAGATGGGGGATCTGGGTGGAGGAGGTCCAGTCCCAATCCGAGCAGGCCTGGAGATCTACGCCCCAAGTCCAGCACACCTGGGTTCTTCTGCCGGTTCCTTCATGCGTGAGGTTCGTCCGAACGTGTGGAGAGTGGTCTTAAGCATGACTGTGGCTGGAACCAGAGGTCTTCAGCTGCCGGGGCTCTGCTCGAGGTGGGGAGGGAGTCTCAACCCACACCCTCCTCCAAGGGGCCCCGATGAGGACAGCCAGGTGGCTCTACACTCAGGAATTACTCCTGGCAGACTCAGGGGACCATGTGGGAGGCCGGCCAGCTATCAAATCTCCTCATGCCAGGCAAACAGCCTTCCCACTGTGCTCTCTCTCCCCTGGCCTCTTCTTTCTGACCAGTTCCTTTTGTAGAGTTTTGCTTTCTCCACCTTGTTAACTCTGTTCCCTTCAGCCTAGAGAGGTTTTGCAACTATGAAATGAAGCAAAACTAGGTTTCAGCCCCCAGGGCATGTTTTTTCCCCATGGAATGTAAGAAAGGATGACTCGTAACTAGTAACTGGTAACTGGCCCTTGTCTGAGCTTCTGGGGGTGGGGGTTGTGACCTTGGAGAGTGGAGTAAGGGTGGGAAAAATATTGTACTTTTTCCATCTTGTTCCCTCAGTGTGGCTTTTATTTGCTTCTGTGGTTTGGCTTGGTTTGGGGGCCACCGCCAGCGGTGCTCCGGGCTTGCTCCTGGTTCTGTGCTCAGGGATCACACCTAGAGGTGCTCGGGGAACCAGACACGGTGCCAGGGATTGAACTTGAGTAGACCATAGGCAGATTTGCTGTATTATCTCTCTGGCCCTACTGCATGTTTTTAGAACCAGGAAGTAAGGTCCTTTTGGTAACCTTAGGTGAAACCCTACACACGATGTGTACCAGAGAAATAGTGGAGGAGATGAGACACTAGTTTGCCGTCCATGCAACTGACCCTGATTCAATCCCTGGTAACACACTGGGTTCCCCGAGCATGACCCTTGGGTCACTTACGAGCACAGAGCCAGGGATAGTCTTAGTACTTCCTATGTGGCCTACACACCCCCATCCCCATCCCCCCACACACACACATACACAAAACACACACAAAAAAAGAATCAGACTACTTCCGCTGGCATAGTGCTTCCTTTGCACACAACTGACCTGGGTTTGATCCTCGACACCTAGTGGTCCCCGAAGCTCCACCAGGAGTGTCCCTGAGCTCAGAGTTAGGAGTAAACCCTGAACATCACTGGGTGTGGTCCAGAACCAAGATAATAATAATAATAATAATAATAATAATAATAATAATAATAATCACAGTGAAACCTACTTCCAAAAATAGTCTTTTCTATAAGATGAGGTAAGTTTTCCACTACTTTTACCTTGTGACATGTTATAAAAATAGGATCTCAATTCATAATGAGCCGTGCAATCCACCTTCACGTATTTCTGTCATTGATGGTTGTATGAGGGGTTATATTATCCCTGGAGGGTTTTTCCTTCTGAAATAAAACCGGGGTCCCAGAGTGTTAGTACAGCTTGTAGGGCGGTTCCCTTGCACACAGCTGACCTGGGTTCTGTCCTCAGCACAATACGATCTCCTTAGCCCACCTGGAGTAACCCTGAGTACTGCCCGATGTGTTCAAAAAGTTAAAAAAAAAAATAATTTTTAAAAACACAACCAGAAAAAGGAAAAATAAATAGAATGTACCCCCCCTTTTTTTGCGATGCTTAGGGATTTGTCCTGGCTCTGCACTCAGGAATTACTCCTGGCGGTGCTCAGGGGACCATATAGGATGCTAGGAATCGAACCCGTGTTGACGACTTGCAAGGGAAATGCCTTACCCACTGTGCTATTGCTCCAGCCCCTAGAATGTACCCCTTGAGCCAACAAGGAGCCTAGAAAGGAAATGCATTAATGGAGTTCATGTTAAGGTTCTACTTTTCTTTCCTACTCAGAGATTTTTCTGTCCTAACAATTTGTGAAATGCTTCTTACTCAAAAGTCTTTCTGCACACCTGTGAACTTAGGCAACTGCACGATATGATCAGGCATCAGTATAAACTGTTTTCTTCCACCTGTCAAAGCCCGTAATCCCACAGCCATTGCATTTGATGTGCCTTTTATGAAACCCTGATGTTAATTATATCTAAAATAATCAGACTTTATGTCATCAAAAGAATCAGGGTAAAATTATCTGTATACGCTACATAGATAGGGGGGGGTATTGCCCAGATATAAGCTAGTGTTTTTCCTTGGAGATCCATGGGAATCACAGCGGAGTATTCAAGTCTCTAAGCTCTGGGGCTGGAGCGATACTACAGCAGGGAGGGCATTTGCCTTGCACGCAGCCAACCTGCATGTCATATGTTCCCCCAGCACTGCCAGGAGTAATTCCTGAGTGCGAAGTCAGGAGTAACCCCTGAGCATTGCCGGGTCTGACCCAAAATGCCCCCACCACCACCATCAAAAAAAATCAAAGTCTCTAAACTTGGATACCTCACCTTTTAATTTTTATTTTGGTTTTGGAATCACCCTTGGCAGTGCTCATGAGGCTCTTCCCTGCTCTTTGCTCAGGAGTGACCCCTGGCAGTACTTGGGATCCCATATGCAGTGCCAGGGGTGAGACCACGGCCAGCCATGTGCAGTGCAAGTACCTCACCTCCTTTGTGATCTCTCTGGACTCTCATCCTTTCTAAGTTTAGAGACTGGGGTGATGGAAAGTTGGGGGGAGGGGCTGGCTTAAAACTAGACCCTAATGCTACTCTGTGCCACGCAGCTGGACCCACGTCTCTGCCAGTCTTGATGCCATCATTCCTTCTCTCTGTGCCATTCAATTCTTTGTTTCTGTTTTGGGGCCACAACTCATGATGTACAGGGTTTACTCCTGGCTCTGTGCTCAGGGCTTACTCCTGGTATTGCTCCGGGGGCCATACGGGATGCCGGGGATCGAACCCAGGTCAGCCTCATGCAAGGTGGAAATAAGATTTTTAAGGTTTTGAAGCCCTACCTGCTGTACTCGTGCTCTGACTCAGCACCCACATTCTTTTAAAGAATACGATTTGATTATGGATGCCAGTTTATGTTGCAAGGAAAATGCTCCTGTCATTACCATGTTAGCGCAATAGCGAGAGAAAGAGAGAGAGAGAGAGAGAGAGAGAGAGAGAGAGAGCTCTATGCTCTGCCTCAAAAGATTCAAACACACTGTGTAGGACCCAGAGCAATAGGACAGTGGAGAGGACGCAGGCCTTGCCCGCGGCTGGCCAGAGTTCAGAGTTCGATCCCTGGCGTCCCATCTGGTTCCCCCAGCACTGCCAGGAGTGATCCCTGAGTACAGAGCCAGGAGTAAGCCCTAGTAAGCCCTGAGCACAGCTAGTTGTGTCGCTCAAACAAACAAACAAACAAACAAAAAAACCCAAATTAAATACCCCGTTTAACTTTTGTCCTGGGGGAAACATTGTGTTTCCAACTGGCAGCTTTGGGCTTTCCTTTTCTTTATCAAGGAGCGATTGATCTGAGGCCAGGAAAAGCCTCAGTGGATGATTTCTTAGTGTCTATTGCTCTTAGGAAACCACAAGTACAGGGGATCGATTAATGCCAAAATTTTTCTTTTAGCACAGCGGGTAGAGTGTTTGCCTTGCACACAGCCGACTGGGCTGACCCGGGTTGGATTCCTCCGCCCCTCTCGGAGAGCCTGGCAGGCTACCAAGAATATCTCGCCTGCATGGCAGAGCCTGGCAAGCTACCCATGATGTATTCGATATGCCGAACGCAGTAACAACAAGTCTCACAATGAAGATGTTACTGGTGCCCGCCCCAGCAAATCGATGAATAATGGGAGGACAGTGACAGTGACAGTGATAGATAAATTAAAATAGTCGGTTTGGGCCCGAGCCATGGCTGAGCGGGCTGCCGAGTCCTGTCTTGGGCCCCGGATGTCGATGGTTACGAGCTCAGGCACTCAGAGGCCGGTGCTCACTGGGTGCAGCGGGGACCCTCGCGGGTCGGAGGGCCATGGCTCAGCTTTCCACGCAGGCAGAAACAGCTCACATGTGGCTCTTCCCCTGCTCCCACAGCTACCGGTCAGTGCACCCAGAAGCCCGCGGCCACCTCAGCGAAGCGCTGACTGAGGACACAGGTGTGGGCACGAGCGTGGCCGGAAGCCCCCTCCCTCTGACCTCGGGCAATGAGAGCCTCGACCTCACCATCGTCAGACACCTGCAGGCCTGCACCCAGCTCGTTCAGGTGGGCCAGGCACCGGGAGCGTCACGCTGCCTTCTGGCTACTCTGCCAGGACGGGGAAACAGCGATGGGGCCAGAGCAATAGCACAGCAGGGAGGGAGTTGGCCTTGCACGCAGCCGACCTGGGTTCGATCCCCGGCATCCCAGAGGGTGCCGCGTGATTCCTGAGTGCAGAGCCAGGAGTGAGCCCTGAGCATCGCCAGATGCAACCCAAAAAAGCAAAAAAGGAAAAAGAAAAGAAAAGAGTGAGTGTTGGTTGTGTCTGAACCAACACACTCTCTCTCGGGCATTCTCTGTGGACCAAACCTGTCCTCTGTCCTCCTGGCCCGGGATAGGAGGACAGAGGGGGATCCGATTCCAGGATCTTATTCTCTCAGACCCCAGACGGGAGTGCCCAAGGAGATTTTATGTAAAGCGTGAGGGCACCAGATCACGCACAGCCCCCCTGCTCCCTGATTCTTGGGTCTCTGCAAAAAATCTTTTGAAGGAAAGCATGAGAGAAGTAACACCAGCATTTGGGGCTGGAACGATAGCACAGCGGGTAGGGCGTTTGCCTTGCACGCAGCCAACATGGCTGACCGGGGTTCGGTTCCCAGCATCTCATATGGTCCCCCGAGCACCGCCAGGAGTAATTCCTGAGTGCATGAGCCAGGAGTAAACCCCTGAGCATCGCCGGGTGTGACCCAAAAAGCAAAAAAATAAATAAAATAAAATAAAAATTTTTTAAAAAGAAGTAACACCAGCATTTAGTTTTAAGGTGGGGGTGGCTGAGGGAAAGAAGGTTACACCTAGCTGGGGAAATAAAGTGTTTATTTAAGAACAGTCCAGAAAGGTAGTACAGCAGGTAGGGTGCTTGCCTTGCAAGTGAGTACCCGGGTTCTATTTCCATAGACCACCCCCTACAAAAAAAGTGAAATAAAAAATAAATTTAAAATGAGGCAGGAGTGGGGCTAGAACGATAGCACAGTGGGTAGGGCGTTTGCCTTGCACGCGGCTAACCTGGGTTCGATTCCCAGCATCCCATATGGTCCCCCAAGTACCGCCAGGGCTAATTGCTGAGTGCAGAGCCAGGAGTAACCCCTGTGCATTGCCGGGTGTGACCCAAAAAGCAGTAAAAAAAAAAAAATGAGGCTGGAGCGACAGTACAGCGGGGAGGGCACTTGCCTGGCACTCCACCAACCTAGGCTCCATGCCCAGCATCCCATATGGTCCCCCGAGCCCCTCCAAGAGTGAGTCCTGAGTGCAGAGCCAGGAGGAAGCCCTGAGCACTGCCAGGTGTGGCTGAAAACAAAACTAAAACATTTGTAACGAGGCTAGAGCCCCCAACTGCAGCTGGAGCCCCCAACTGCAGCTGGTTGGGGGCTTCCCGCCTTGCCCACAGCGGGTGAAGACCTTTCATGAAATGGGATAAAAACCACGACTGCACTTTAGGGGGAAGAGACCCTGGATGGGGTGGGGGTCGGGAGGTGGGGAGTTCTGCTGATCCCAACAAAACTAAGACAGTGTTTTTTGGTTTGTCTTTTCAGCAAATTGTTTTCTCGAGCAAAACCCCCTTTGTGGCGAGGAATCTCCTAGAGAAGCTTTCACGGGAGATCCAAGTGATGGAGAAACTCGCAGCCATCAGCGATGAGCACATCGGGAACATCAGCTCGGTCATCGAAGGTGCGCCCCTCCCCGGGCCCCAGTGTCCCCCCTCAGTGCCCCTCAGCCTGCCTCTGTCTGCGCTGCCCGTCCATCCCGCTCACGCCAGACTCCAGCCTGTGGCACCATCTAACCAGATACAGTTTTTCTTCCAGGCAGTCAGGCGCTGGGATTCAGACAGCCTCTTGCTACTCAGTCAGGGACTAAGTTCCTCTGCATGCACGTGGGCTCCATGCTCCGCAACAGGCCCTACCCCTGAACACCGCTCCTCTCTATGCATAGTGGACCTCACACTCCCTGGGACAGTTCCTTCAGTCACGTCAGCCTCAGTGTTTTGGGTAGGGATCACACACATGCACGCACGCACGTACACGCATGCATGCACACACATATGCATACATATGCACACACACACGCACAGACATGCACTCACAAACACGCACACACGCATGCATGCACACACACATGCACGCACGCACACACATCCACGTACATACACACACACGCACACATACACACGCGCGCGCACGCACACACACACATTCTCCTGCAACTGTGGCTGTCAGATTCCATTATTCATCCTTCAGAAAAATCTCCTAGGTTTGACTTCTCAAACTAAAAGTTCCTGTGGCTTCTGTTTGCCATAAAGCTGGCGGAGATGAGGCGGTTGGATGCCTGCCCAAGAGATGTTTTCTCTGCTGTGTTTTCTGTCATCCAAAGCCATCGGTTGGGCTTATGAGATGCTGTTTTCACTCCCAGACCACAGGAGTTTCTCATCAGAACTTCTTTGCCCATTAGACCATCTGTGAGCCACGCAGGGAACCCAGTGCTGATTCCAAATATGGTGTTTGCTGCTAGGGAGAATGGTTGAGCTTTGCATGCAGGCTTGAGCTTTGCATGCAGGAGACTCGATTCATCATGCTTCACCACAGAGACCCCTGAGCACTGCCAGGAGCGACCCCCTGTAAATACTGAGCTTGAGTAGTCGTGAACCCTGTCAAACCAGGAGGGAGGGAGGAAGGAAGAAAGAGAGGGAAGGAGGGAGGAGGAGGAGAGAGAGAGAGAGAGAGAGAGAGAGAGAGAGAGAAGGAAAGAGAGAGAAGGAAAGAGAGAGAGAAGGAAAGAGAGAGAAAGAAAGAAAGAAAGAAAGAAAGAAAGAAAGAAAGAAAGAAGAGGAGGAAGGAAAAGAGAAAGAAAGGAACGAAGAGAGAAAGGAAGAAAGAAGAAGGAAGGAAGGAAGGAAGGAAGGAAGGAAGGAAGGAAGGAAGGAAGGAGAGAATGGATATCTGGATAGCTGAATAGAGACAGATGAGCAGTTAGCTGGACTCTTTAAAGACCCCCACTGAAGCCTCCCCACCCAGGCCCCTCTCTCCATTGGCTCTGTTCATACCACAGCTTACAGCTCGTCGTCTGTTTTCCTAGCCATCCCAGAATTTCACAAAAAACTGTCCTTGCTGGCCTTCTGGACCAAGTGCTGTAGCCCGGTGGGGGTGTACCACAGTTCGGCAGATCGCGTGATCAGGCAGCTGGAAGCCAGCTTCGCCCGGACTGTCAACAGGGAGTACCCAGGACTCGCAGAACCAGGTACCAGGTGCCACAAGGCGGGAAACCCCTTCCGTAGGGGTTGGGGGTGCCTCATGCTCAGGAGCTCGGCTACAGGACAGAGGCTACTCTCTGGAGGACAGCGTTATTCTAAGTAGGACAGCGTTATTCTAAGAAAGGCATCAGCCTGTCTTTTTTTATTTTTGGGCATTTTGGGTCATACCCAGCGATGCTCAGGGGTCACTCCTGGCTCTGTACTCGGGAATCACTCCTGGTGGTGCTCGAGGAACCAGATGGGATGCCGGAGATTGAACCCGGGTCGGCCACATGTAAGGCAAATGCCCTACCCACTGTGCTATCACTCCAACCCTAGACGTTAGCACGTCTTAATTGAGAGGAGTAGCATCGTTGGTTAAATGCATGCACCCCTGTGTTGCTCTTCAGTTGTTTATTTAGATGTCACCCACATGGAAGTGTTCTTGAACCACGTCTGACACTTCCTCCAGAAGCTAAATATGCCTCTGTGACTCCAGTTCCAAATCTATCCAGTGAAATGTGTTCACGGTACCTCAGAACTGGAGAGCTAACACAGGACAGAAGGCATTTGCCTGGCACCCAGTTGGCCCTGGTTCAATCCTCCATACCAGAGAGGGTCCCCTGAGCACCACCAAGGGTCACTCCTAAGCACAGAGCCAGAAGTAGCCCCTGAGCACCACAGAGCGTGGTGCTCCAAACCTCCTCCCCCCAAAAGAAAACTTTGGGAGGCTCTGTATCTTGACCCAAATGGCGGGTGTATGGACATAGCAGAACCACGGGCTGTACACAAAAAATAATCACCTTCATTCTATTATATATCACAATTAAAAGATGAATGAATTAATAATGAATGAATGGATATACGAATGGTCATTTCTTCAGAGCTTTTTCTCTCTCCCTCTACCAAACAGTGTTTCGAACCCTGGTGGCCCAAATCCTGGACCGGGCAGAGCCTCTTCTCTCCTCCAGCCTGTGCTCGGAGGTCATCACTGTGTTCCAGTATTACGGCTACTTCACCAGCCACGGGGTGAGCGACCTGGAGAGTCACCTGAACCAGCTGGCCAAGCAAGGTGGGCTGTGCCCTCCCCTCCACAGGGGCACCACTCAGAACTATCCACTGTCTCTCTTTTCTTCCCCCCCCCCTTTTTTTTTTGCTTTCTGGGTCACACCCTGTGATGCTCAGGGGTCTCTCCTGGCTCTGCACTCAGGAATTACTTCTGGCGGTGCTTGGGGGACCATGTGGGATGCTGGGGATCGAACCTGGGTCAGCCGCATGCAAGGCAAACGCCCTACCCACTGTATTATCACTCCAGCCCCTACTGTCTCTCTTTTGAATCAGTTGTTTGATGGAGACCATCTCCTCCCTGCCCCACCCCAAAGTCAAGAGCAAGGCAGATAGAGACTTCACCTTTTTATTTTAATGTAGGAGCCCTCTAATTTATTTAGCCACTGATTAAGCTGATTGAAGCAGGCATGAACTCCTCATTAATTTTTAATTTTTTCATATAGTTGTTCAAAATAATTGTTTACAATCAATATTTCAACATCAATCCTATCCCCATTGTACCTTCCCACCACCATTATTTTGACTCTTCCCACCACTATCCCAGACTACCCCTTAGGCAGATGCTAAATAATTTATTTTGTATTGCTTGCCATGAATAGTATGAGGTGTCACGCTCCACAAAAGTGGCCATATACTCCTGGAATTCGAGAACTTTTAAATATTTGGGTTCCGGAGGCATCTCTGTAGCATGTCTTGCAAGATTTGTGAGTCTCTGATTATTTGTGAGTCTCTACATCAAGGCCATTAATGCACTTAAAGTGTGCCCAGAGGCAGTGCTTGGGTGTGACCGCCAGGAAGCCAAAGGGTGGGGAGATGGGGGAGGTTGCCCATCCCAGACTCCGTGAAACCTGGAGTTTCCAGTCACCGGTCCCACATACTGTTTTCTTTTTTCTGCTTTTTGGGTCACACCCAGCGATGCTCAGGGGTTACTCCTGGCTCTTCACTCAGGAATAACTACTGGCAGTGCTTGGGGGACCATATGGGATGCCAGGGATCAAACCTGGGTCGGCCCTGTACAGGGCAAACGCCCTCCCTGCAGTGCTATCACTCCAGCCCCTGCATATTGAGGTTTTTAGCAGATTTATTCTCATGCATGGAGGGCTTGAGGCAAACCTGTGAAGGTTGGCTGTCAGTGTGGCATCAATTGGGTTCTGGAGGTTTGCAGCTGCCGGGGTTCATATGGGGCAGGTGGAGGGACACACCTGCCCCCCTCCAAGGTGCCCTGTTGAAATAAGCCTGGCACAGGGTGGGGAGACATCTCTGCAGTGTGCTGCTCTTCTCCGAGATTCATTTGTGAGTGTCTAAATCATGTTCATTAATGAACTTAAATGGCCTGCTTTCAATCTCTTTCGAGATTTATTTATGGATCTCTTAAGCAGGGCCGATAAATGAGCTTGTATAGATGAGCCAGAGGTGGTTTGTGGGTGTAACTCCCACATACCTAACTTTTGGCCATTTAATTTCTTGGGAAACTTGGTCCCAAGTTGTTGGGGTCCGGCCAGAGGCACAGTGGCAATTTGGGGGTATCAGGAAGCCTGGAGGCACCATCAGGCTGCTGATGCACTCACCCCCGCAGGTTCAGGTTGACCTATCGGGTGCCACCGTACCCCCAGACTTCATCTCTTCAATGACTTATTTAACATTACTTCACCCAGAGACAATCCAGGGGTTAAGCTTTGCAATGAGCCAATTCCTGGTTCAATTTCTAAGCACCTCCAGGACTGACCCCTGACCTCAGAGCCAGAAACAAGTCCTGACCACTACTGGATGCCTCCCCCACCCCCACACCCAAAGAAAAACCCAGCAATGAACCTGGGAGTAGATCCAAGCATTGCCAGGTGTGTCCCAATAAACAAACACCCAAGACTGGGAGAGATTGTACAGCCCACAATGCACTAATCTTGCACACACTCAATCTGGATTTTATTCCTGGTGCAACATTTGGCCCCTGGAGTCCCACCCCCAAGAATGAGCCCTGAGCATAGTGGAAATGACTCCTCCAAAATTAGTGATTAGGGGCTGGAGCGATAGCACAGCTGGTAGAGCATTTGCCTTGCATGTGGCTGACCCAGGTTCGATTCCCAGCCTCCCATATGGTCCCCCGAGCACCGCCAGGGGTAATTCCTGGGTGCAAAGCCAGGAGTAACCCCTGTGCATTGCTGGGAGTGACCCAAAAAGGCAATAAGTAAACAAATTAAAAAATTTAAAAAAAATAAGTCAAGGGGCTGGAGCAATAGCACAATAGGTAGGGTGTTTGCCTTGCACGCAGCCAATCCGGATTCGATTCCCAGCATTCCATATGGTCCCCTGAGCACCACCAGGAGTGATTCCTGAGTGCAAAGCCAGGAGTAACCCCTGAGCATCACTGGGTGTGACCCCAAAAACAAAAAATAAATAAATAAGTCAAAATTAGTTATTAAATGAATAAAGAGAATCAGCAATAAGTGGAAACCTGTGTGCGGGTGGAATAAATCCTTACTGCAAATCCACCCACGCCCGAGCCCGCCTGCAGGAAGGGCAGGAGGAAGGCGTGTGCTCTAGGGGCAGACAAACAGCTTGGCACAGCCCGGGCAGCCACAATTTGTCTGACCTAACCCAGGCTTAGCACTTCTCTTCCCAGAACGAAAATCCTTGCCCCGGCATGTCTGCTGGTAGTTAGCAAGACTGTGGGAGGAAGAAAATCTACCCCAGCACCACCCCAGTCTAAGAGACTGGGGCGCATCTTCGTCCTGGGAACCAGGGTTAGCACCGAGGGGCAGGAAGGGGAAGAGAAGCACCTGGCGATGCTCAAGGCTTACTCCTGACCTTGCACTCAGAAATTATTCCTAGCAGTGCTCAGGAGCTCGGGGATCCCAGGGAGTCAAACCCAGGTCAGCCCTGTGCAAGGCAAGTGCCCTACCCACTGTTCTGTGGCTCCAGCCCTGAGAAAGGAATTTTCGAGACAGAAGTGTATTTCAGTGATAGAACTTCATGCCTTATATATGGGAAGCTCTGGGTTTGATCCCATCACAATAATAATAGTAATTCATATAAATAAAGATAAAATAAATTTTTGATAGCACAGCAGGTAGGGCGTTTGCCTTGCATGCGGCTAACCCGGGTTTGATTCCTCTGTCCCTCTCAGAGAGCCCGACAATCTACCGAGAGTATCCTGCCCGCACGGCAGAACCTGGCAAGCTCCCCGTGGGGTATTCAATATGCCAAAAACAGTAACAAGTCTCACAATGGAGACGTTACTGGTGCCCGCTCGAGCAAATTGATGAACAATGGGAAGACAGTGCAATTACCATTTATAAAATCTTATATCTCAATTTACTGTTTGTTTGGGGGGAGGGCAGTAGAGGAGGGCCACACCTGGCTATACCCAAGGCTTACTCCTGGCTCTGTGCTCAGGGGTCCTGAGGAGTTTAAGGGACTATATGTGATGGGGCCAGAGTGATAGTACAGTGGGGAGGGCATTTGTCTTGATGTGGCTGACCCTGATTCAGTCCCCGGCATCCCATACGATCCCCTGAATACCACCAGGAGTAATTGCTGAGTGCGGAGCCAGGAATAACCTCTGAGCATCACGGGGCGTGACCCAAAAAGCAAAAAAGAAAGAAAGAAAGAAAGAAAGAAAGAAAGAAAGAAAGAAAGAAAGAAAGAAAAACAAGGATCATATGTGGAAACCAGGGATTGAACCTGGGTCTTAAGCTTTCAAGTGCCTTACCTGCTGTACAGCCTCTCCTTATACCCTGTTTTTAACTGGACATCAGAGCTCGTGTATTAATTCTTTGCAATGATTATTAGCTTTATTCACAGAGAGTTGAGTCTCAATTGGGTCTCAGATTTTGGTTTAATATTGGTTTGGCTTGACTTTGGGGCCACACACAGCAGTGCTCAAGGACTACTCTTGACTCTGTGCTCAAGGATCACTCCTGACCAGGGCTCAGCACCATGTCGACTATTAGGGGTCACAAGAGCCCTACCCATTGCACTATCTCTCTGGCCCTCATTTATATGTTCAATGTGCATGTGACTTTACTGCTAGAAGGTGACTTTTTGCTGTTGTTGTTTTTCCCTCTAGTCTCCATGGTGCAAACCCTGCAATCGCTACGAGATGAGAAACTTCTGCAGGCCATGAGTGACCTGGCCCCCAGCAGTCTCCCGGCCCCTCAGGAAGTGCTCAGGACTCTGGCCCTGCTGTTGACCGGGGACAACAGTGAAGTGTGTGAAGCTGTGATGCTCCACTTGGCAGCGGCTTCCAGAAACAAGCATTTCAGGGAAAAGGTGAGGCCCGGGATCCCAGACACCAAGCCAGAACTTGTTTAACCTCTGCCGTTTACTGATCATTTTTTGCCAACTTCTGGTTTTTTTTTTTCTCCTTTTTTTTTCCCTTTTTGGGTCACACCTGGCAATGCTCAGGAGTTACTCCTGGCTCTGCACTCAGGAATTACCACTGGCGGTGCTCAGGGGACCATATGGGATGCTGGGAATCGAACCTAGGTCGGCCGCATGCAAGGCAAATGCCCTACCCGCTGTGCTATCACTCTAGACCCCTTTTTTTCCTCCTTAATATCCATGCATTTCTTCCAATGAAAACTATAGAGATATGCTCTAAACAGATGCCAATAAGCTCAGAAAAATTTAGTAAATATTCTGGTTCTTCCTCTGTCTAATTAGCATACATGTATTGTTTCTCTCTTAAACAGAACATGCTGTTCTATTTTGTTTTTTTTTTTTCTTTAATTTGGGGGCCACACCCAGCAGTGCTCAGGGCTTATTCCTGCCACTGCCTTGGGGGTCACTTCTCAGGTGACCAAGGGGATCATATGCAGTGTGGGGAATTAAACAGGCCTCAGTTGTATGCAAGGCAAGAGATTTAACCAAATACTATCTCTGGAGCAAGATTTTGGTTTTGATTTTGATTTTGGGGGTGATTTTGTTTTGTTTGGGTTTGTTTGTTTGTTTGTTTGATTGTTGGGTCACACCCGGTGATGCACAGGGGTTACTCCTGGCTCTGCACTCAAGAATTACTCCTGGTGGTGCTCAGAGGACCATATGGGATTCCAGGTTGGCCACATGCAAGGCAAACGACTTACCCACTGTTCTATTGCTCCAGCCCTGATTTGTTGATGCCAGGATCAAACCTGGGTCAGCTGCCTCCAAGGCAAATGCCCTACCCACTCTACTATGGCTGGCCCCTTGTTTTTATTTTTGAAGTAATTCCTCCACCACCCATTAACCCTTCACCCCCACCTCTACCCCTTTTCCCTTTGGTTGGTTGCCAATGTCCACAAATGTGTTACCATTTTGTTTTGTCTGTTCATACACTTTGTTTCCTAACATTGCACACACAGCTGAAAACACCCATTATTTGTCCTTCTCCTTCTGACTTCTTTCCATTTTGCACAATCCCTTCAAATTCCTTTTTGTTACAGATGTCAAACTGTTATCTTATCGCAGCGGAATAAACAACACTTCATTCGTTAGAGGACAATATACTTAGCTCCTCATTCACTCATTATAGCTGAATACACTTAGCACTTCATTCATTCATTCATTATAGCTGAATACACTCAGCACTTCATTCATTCATTCATTATAGCTGAATACACTCAGCACTTCATTCATTCATCATAACTGAATACACTCAACACTTCATTCATTATAGCTGAATACACTCAGCACCTCATTCCTGGTGAATCACTGTTGTGCTCCAGACATGCTCAAGAGGGGTTTAATTTAAAGTATTATCAATTATTTTTAAGTTTTGGGAAGTATGTTTTTAGAGAGGCTAATCTTTCAACTTTGAAGGCTCTTAGGAAGGGTAAATAAAGAAAAAGTGTGGGAAGCAGAGAAGAAAATAGAGAAGTTGTATGCTAAATAAAGCTCATCCACTTTATAGTTTAAACAAGGACCAACCCTGAGGGTCAGATGCCACTTGGCTCTGTGGAAGGTTAAGTAAAATGGGGTTTTTATTAGTGCTGTTACTTAGAATAGCCAGACAGTGGAAACCATCCAAATGTCCATCAGAGATGCATAAATGAAATGCGGTGTCGAAGCCCTGCAGTGAAATATTTTCAACTTTGGACCGGAGAGATAGTACGGGGGTAGGGTGCTGCCTGGCACACCAACGGCCCTGTTTAATCTGAGGCGCCACATATGCTCCCCTGACACCATTGTGTGGTCCACAGCTGCCACCACCAGCACAAGAGAGAAAGAGGAAAGAAAGAAAGAAAGAAAGAAAGAAAGAAAGAAAGAAAGAAAGAAAGAAAGAAAGGGAGAGAAAGAAAGAAAAAGGAAAGAGAAAGAGAGAAAGGAGAGAAAGAGAAAGAAGAGAACAGATCAAAGAAAGAAAAAGGAAAGAATGGAGAATAGGCACTGGTGAAGGGTTGGGTGTTTCATTGTATGACCGAGACTTAAACCCGAAAGTTTTGTAACTGCTCTTACGGTGATTCAATAAATAAAATTATAAAAAATGAAAAAAAAGAAAGAGAAGGAGAGAGAAATGAAAGAAAGATAGGAAGGAAGGAAGGAAGGAAGGAAGGAAGGGAGGGAGGGAGGGAGAGAAAGAAAGGAGAGAAATTAAAGAAAGAGAAAGAAAGGAGAGAAAGAAGAGAAAGGATCAAAGAAAGAAAAAAGGAAGAAAAGGAGAGAGAAATGAAAGATGGAAAGAAAGATGGAAAGAAATAAAGATGGAAAGAAAGAAAGAAAGAAAGAAAGAAAGAGAGAGAGAGAGGAAGGAAGGAAGGAAGGAAGGAAGGAAGGAAGGAAGGAAGGAAGGAAGGAAGGAAAGAAGGAGAAAGTGTTTTCAAGATAACTAGGAATGGCATAGTGGCACATGCTGGATGCATGAAACTCGGAAATGTTACGCTCAGTGAAAGAAAGAGAAGCAACATCCTACATATTATATTGTTCTGCCTCTCTCATGTGTCCTGACTCCCTAAATCCAGAGACGGAGAGAACAGAGAGTAGATGATTGGTTCCCGGGGACTGACGAGCAGAGACAAAGGCAATGCCTGCCAAGAGGACAGGATTTCTTTCAGGGGTGATAAGAATATTCCGAAATTATAAGGGAATGGCTATAGTTTCTAATTCTCCTACAAACTATTTGAGTGCCCCCGGGAAACAGCTCGGCAGTGGGGGGCACATGCCTTGCATGCTCTAGGCCCTGTGTCCATCCCTGGCATTGCAAGCCCCCCCCCCCCCCCCACACACACACACATACACACACCGCCACCACCACAAATCCCCTCCTAGGGTCCTGGTGGCCCTGGCTTTGCTGGGACCAAACCTCAAGCCAACTAGAGTGATCTCTGGGCTCCCTGAGCACTTTCCGGGAAGTCCTTCTCCCCCAAAACTGAAACACCAGGAGTCGATACCCTTTATTTTATTTCTTAGGGATAGATGGAAACCGGGGTTTTAAACATGCCGCCTTGGTACTTGGGTGATGCATGTGTGAACGTCATGGCATGTGAAGTTCACCTCCACTGGTAGAAACGATGGAGATCTTCTGGAAAACTGGGAGAACTGGGCATGTTGAACCGTAGCTGGAGCTGCCCCTTGGAGGGCTCTTATGGCATCTCCTGACCAGCCTGTCCTTCAGTGGCTGACCCCACGCTCAGCTCTTTCATCGGTATCAGTGATGCCCTCAGCCATGCTGGTACACATTGGGGTGGAGAAGGTACACAGCGCCCAGGTGCTGGAGAGAGAATTGACTCGCATAAGAAACGTAGGTTTGGGGGGGCTAGAGAGATAATACAGTGGGTGGGGTGCTTGCCTTGGACACAGCAGACTCAGGTTCAGTCCCTGGCCCCCCATACTGTCCCCCGAACACTGCCAGGAGTGATCCATGAGCACAGAGCCAGGAGTAAGCCCTGAGCATCATTGGATGTGGCCAAAAATCCAAAGCAACTGGGGCTGGAGTGATAGCACAGCAGGTAGGATGTTTGCCTTGCACGCGGCTGACCCAGGTTCGACTCCCAACATTCCATATGGTCCCCTGAGCACCACCAGGAGTAACTGCTGTGTGCAGAGCCAGGAGTAACCCCTGTGCATTGCCGGGGTTACCCAATGACCCAATGACCCGAAAAGAAAAAAAAAGCAACAATAACAACAAAAACGTGGTGGTTTTTTTTTTTTGTTTTTTCCAATTTTTTTTTGGAGGGTGGGGCTCACACCTGGTAGTGCTCAGGGTTACTCCTGGCTTTATGCTCAGAGATCACTCCTGGAGGATTTGGGGTGACATTATGGGACTCCAGGGATTGAACCTGGGTAGGACATGTGCAAGGCAAGCACCTTACCTGCTGTTCCATCTCTCCAGCCTAAAACATGATTTTTAATGGATATTTTTCAAAAAAGATTATGCCCAATGTTTTGGATTGGTTTTTTTTTTGGAGGGGTTGTTTGTTTGTTTGTTTGTTTTTTGCTTTCTGGGTCACACCTGACTCTGCACTCAGAAGTTACTCCTGGCAATGATTGGGAGACCAGATGGGATGCTGGGGATCGAACCCGGGTCGGCTGTGCTCAAGGCAAACTCCCTACCCACTGTGCTATCGCTCCAGCCCCCGATGTTCTGGTTTTATGCTGTCATTTGTCTCAGGAAATAAAAATATGGCATATAGTATTTACATGTTACATGTGATATCTACAGTATATTGTATAAAAATGTATATTTTAAGAGATATACGCACACCCCACTCACAGACAAATCCTGATGTTTCCGGTGTCCACCCCCCTCTTCCAGGCCTTGCTCTACTACTGTGAAGCACTAACAAAGACAAACCTGCAGCTCCAAAAGGCAGCGTGCCTGGCCTTGAAGAGTCTGGAGGTAAATAAAGCCCCGCTTCGGGCCCCCTGCACCCCGCCCTGCCCCTCAGCTCGGAGAAACCCAGGCAGAATCCCCAACTCCTGTCTGGCCGTTTCCCCTCTCCTTAGCAATGCGTATTGGTTGGGGGGGCGGGAGTGGCTTTGGAATCTCTGAAGAATAACTCAGTGTCTCTTCTGTCCCTGTCAATAAATTTCAGAAAAGTTTTTTTCCTGTAGCACACACATAATAATAATAATAATAATAATAATGATAATAATAATAAGTTTGCCTAAGGATCCATATTAGAGAAGTATGTCTTATCCCCAAAGAGATGATAGGATGATTCCACTGATTTTTTTTTTTTTCTTTTTGGATCACACCTGATGATGCACAGGGGTTACTCCAAGCTCTGCACTCAGGAATTACCCCTAGCGGTGCTCAGGGGACCTATATGGAATGCTGGGCATCAAACCCCGATTGGCTGCATCAAGGCAAACACCCTACCCGCAGTGCTATCGCTCTAGCCCGATTTTGTTTTATTTTATAGACAGGAAATAGCAGGGGAAAATGAAGTAATTTTGTTTTGTTTTATAGACAGGAAATAGCGGGGAAAATGAAGTAATTTTTTTTCTTTTTTTTTTTTTTTTTTTGCATCACATTGGTGATGCACAGGGTTTACTCCTGGCTCTGCACTCAAGAATTACTTCTGGCAGCGCTCCAGGGACCATACAGGATGCAGGGAATCAAATCTGGGTTGGCTGCGTGCAAGGCAAATGCCCTCCCCACTATGCTATCGTTCCAGCCCAAATGAAGTAATTTTTTCATTTGAAATTAGCCCTGAGTGGGCTGGAGAGATAGCACAGCGGGTAGGGCATTTGCCTTGCACACGGCCGACCCGGGTTCAATTCCCAGCATCCCATATGATCCCCTGAGCACCGCCAGGAGTAACTTCTGAGTGCAGAGCCAGGGTAACCCCTGTGCATCACCAGGTGTGACCCGAAAAGCAAAAAAAAAAAAAAAAAAATAGAAATTAACCCTGGTCACAAATCCTCCACTCCCTCCCTAAGGGCTATTTCAGTCAGAAGAGCACCATCCTCTCTGGCTGTCAGAGGTGGTCTTAGAGAGAAAAAGAAAGATATGAAAGCCCGGGGGGTTCAGCAGCCAAGATTCCGTGGGGGGGGGGGGGGGTGAGTGATAGTAGAGTGGATAGAGCACTTGCCTTGCATGCAGCCGACCCAGGTTTGATCCCCGGCCTGCATGTGGTCCTCCAAGCCCACCTGGGGTGATCACTGAGCGCAGAGCCAGGAGTAAGCCCTGAGCACGGCCAGGTGTACCCCGCTTCCAAAACCAAAACAAAACAAATCAAAAGACCAAAGCTCCAGTCAGTTGTCTCATGGGACCAGGACAGAAATGTCAGAAAATGTCAAAAAACTGTTTTCTCTGTTTCCTCCCCATAGGCTACCGAAAGCATTAAAATGCTGGTGACTTTGTGTCAGTCCGATACTGAAGAGATCCGAAACGTGGCCTCGGAAACTCTGTTGTCTCTTGGTGAGTTGGGTTGTTTCCGCGGTTTGGGTTGATGGTTACGGGCTTGCTGACATCTGGCACTCTGGAAAGGAATGGGAAGGAAAAAATTTGGGGGTCATTCCCCTTATAGGCTCTCTGGTCACACACATACACACACACACACACACAGTCACACAATCACACACAATCACATATGCACAGTCGGAGCAACTGGGTGTCAGGACTTTAGATGGCTTCATCAGTCTCTGTAGCACTGTCCTCCCGTTGCTCATCGATTTGCTGGAGCGGGCACCAGTAATGTCTCCATTGTGAGACTTGTTACTGTTTTTGGCATATTGAATACGTCAGGTAGCTTGCCGGGCTCTCCGAGAGGGGCCGGGGAATCAAACCTGGGTCGACCGCATGCAAGGCAAATATCTCATCTGCTGTGCTATTGCTCCAGCCCGTCAATCTCTATACTCCTTGGAATCAAGAATGTGAAAGTGAAAGCCCGAAGCAGAGGCAAGAGGTCTGGAGCCAGGCAGAGCTGCCCACGGGGGTGGCACTGAGAAAGTGATGGCCCAGCTCACAAGGATGCCCAAAGCTCATCACTTCTCTGCCCAGCCCCGCTTGAGCACCAACACTATAGTGTTTATTTCATTCTGGAATATTCAGAACTTTTCATCTTCACTTTACTTTCAAAAGGTTCATATCTAGCAGATTTAATTTGGAGAGAAAGTGGGTGGGTGGAGTGAAGCTTTTTAACTCTGAATAAATATATATATATATTAGATTTTTTTTACAAGTATCGCACCCGCACAGCAAAGTCTGGCAAGCTACCCGTGACATATTTGATATGCCAAACACAGTATCAACAAGTCTCACAATGCAGACATTACTGGGCCTGCTCGAGCAAATCGATAAACAACAGGAGGACAGTGACAGTGACTATAGATTTTATATGTATTTATATATTTTTATATATTATACGATCTATTTTAGATATTATATAATATGTTATACATGTGTTATATATAATCCATATTTTATATATACATATTTAGTTGTCTTAATTTTACTCTCGTAACACTCCATCACGTTCTTGTTTGTTTTTCCTTTTTTATTTTCTGTTATGTTCTCAAAGTATGAAAACCCTAGTAGACTCATGAAAGGTTTTTCTGGTGGTGATTTGGGGTCTTGGGTGATCCCTGGCAGTGCTCAGGGAACCCCATGCCGTGCTGGGGATCTCATCTGGTTCAGCCACATGCAGGGCCTGGGCCTCATCCCTCTGGCGCTATAGAAGTTCTTAAGTATAATCCAGACAGTGATACTGGTTGGAAAAAAGCCATCCTAGTTTGACTCTGGCGGCTTACTTAATCAGGTCAGAGAGGATCTCATGATACTTATAATCACCGTAAAAATCCCATTTACTGGGGCTGACACGATAGCACAGCGGGTAGGGCATTTGCCTTGCACGAGGCCAACCTGAGTTCAATTGCCAGCATCCCATATGGTCCCCCGAGCACCGCCAGGAATAATTCCTGAGTGCATGAGCCAGGAATAACCCCTGAGCATCACTGGGTGTGACCCCCCCCCCTCAAAAAAAATCATTTATTGGGGCTGGAGCGATAGTACAGCAGGTAGGGCATTTTCCTTGCAGTGGCCAAGCAGAGTTCAGTCCTCAGCATCCCATGTGGTCCCCCAAGCCCACCAGGAGTGAGCACAGAGCCAGGAGGCAGCTCCATGCTTAGGAGTCATCCCTGGCGGTGCTGAGGGGACCGCATGCAGTGCCAGGGAGCAACCCAGCATCGGCTGCCTACAAAGCAAATGCCTGACATCCCATCTCAGGCCCAGCAATGATTTAATTACTTAAAACTCTGCCAGGGTGTTATTTATTTGAGCTTCTTTCCCCCCTTACACATCCAGCAGAGCACTGAAGGCAGACAAAGGCGCTGGCCTAGTAAGGCCCCAGGGCTCCTGTCCCCAGAGCAGCTGACCCACGGGAACACAACCTGGCTGTGTCTGGTGCGCGTTGAGTGGGAGCTGGCAGGGGGCATGCACCAGCGTCAGCGTGCGAACGCTTTGAGTTTTCACCAAATCCCCCGTGCGGCCCCTGCGGTAGCAGGCAGGACCAGTCATCTTGCCTGTTTGACCTGGGATGCTGCCTGGACGACTCCCCCAGTCCACTGCCCTCTCGCCAATGTCCACGGGTCACCGGGTTAGCAGCTTCCGGGACTCACCAGCCTCTCTTGTATTCAGTCATTGTTTTTTTTGTTTTTTGGGGTTTTTTTTGGTGGGGGGAGAGGGGTGGTGTTGCTATTGTTTTCCAGAGAATAATTTTTTTTTAAATTTTTATTAGTGAAACAACATGAGGTACAGTTGTAGACTTACAAATTTTTGTGCTTGGGTTTCAGTGATACAATGATCCAGTACCCATCCCTCCACCAGTGCCCATTCGCCATCATTTACATTTTTTTAAGAGAATAATTTTTCTTTTTTTTTTTTTTTTTTTTTTGGTTTTTGGGTCTCACCCCGCGATGCTCAGGAGTTACCCCTGGCTCTGCACTCAGGAATTACTCCTGGTGGTGCTCGGGGGACCCTATGGGATGCTGAGACTCGAACCCGGGTCAGTCGCATGCAAGGCAAACGCCCTACCCGCTGTGCTATTGCTCCAGCCCCGAGAATGATCTGTCCTTTACTAAGTCCAATATGGGCAAAATACAGCAGCCCACGGTGCTATTTGTTATTCTGAGTGACAAATGACAAGTTCGGCTCGGTGTTCATGGTCAATGTCCTGTGTCCAGGAGAAGATGGGCGGCTGGCCTACGAACAGCTGGACAAATTTCCTCGAGACTGTGCTACAGCCGGAGGTCGGCCAGGAACGGAAGTGGCCACAGCCTTCTGAGGAACAAGCTGGCGCGGCCCGACAGCTGCCTCTGTCTGCGGCCCTGAAATCAAGCCGGTTCTGTGGTTTCCTTGGAATGTGTTGAACACTTGAAGAGTTCTCTTGAGGTCATCTGGAAATTGAACCTGCTGAGGACAGAAGTCAAAGTCCAGGTGACAGTACCCATCTCCGTGCCCCTTTGGCCAACAGACTAGGGCTAGGTAGAATTCTGTAGATTACTTCATTGGTTGCGTTCGACAATACTTAGTGGAAAGAAAAAAAAAATTCACCTAGTATATATGGGATTTTCAAAGTAGCCATCTTTGTACTTTTTTGGACGTTCCTCTATGAGCTTGAAATAATCATGTGATACTTTGATAACTATCAAATGCCTTGCAGTTTTTCTCTGTCGTGTTTCTCAGGGTCGAATGCTCCCCCCCCCCCCCCGCCCCACCCTCTTCAGCTACCTAATTTTAACCTTCAATGTGAAGCACAAGAAAAAGATTATCTTCAAGTAAAAGTTTGCCTGCAGAACTTGGGGAAATGACACTTAGGAGGACTTGGCATTTTCTTCATTTCATTTTTTTTTAGCCTTTTGTCACTGGTTTTATTTTCTCCAATCATTTGTGTTCGTTATGGTGAAAGAGAAAAAGGAGAGAGAAAGGAAAGGAAAGCTAGGTTCATGACAAAGAACTACCTTATTCCTATACTGATTTTCCCCCATATTCATTTTTTAAGTCTCACAATAGAGACGTCACTGGTGCCCGCTCGAGCAAATCGATGAACAGGAGGCCAGTGCTACAGTTCTACTCATTTTTTAAGAGACACTCGAAGTTTTCAGTTTGTTTGTTTGCTTTCATTCAAAAGCAAGAGCCTTTTTAAATAATACTTTTACAATAAAGGCATTTTGCTGCTCTGACAAATCAACACCAAAAGAGGTAGAATTTGAAAGTTGTGAAGATATTCATTGAGGTAGAAGAAAAGGGAAGCGACAATGCTGATGGAGGGAAATGGGAAGGACATTAAAGTGGACCATATGAGCTGGAGGAGACCCAGGGCAAGGCTTGCACGTATCCAACCCAAGTTTGATCCCCAACACCACATATGGTCCTTGAGTACTGTCAGGAGTAATCCCAGAGCACCATCAAGTATGCCCACCATGCCCCCCCCAAAAAAACCCCCAAATTTAAACTAAATGGACCTTGCCTCGGTCAAAATTGCAGTGAGGTGGTAAAAAAGAATGCCCCAAGAGAGGGTGACTGCCCAGAAAAATTATTCATCACTAGGATGGTGGATCCTTGGCCAAATAACTAAATCAACAGTTAGTTCAACAGTTACTATGTCTGTCTTTGAAATGCACGTGGATAATACAAAATGCAAGACTGTTCAGTAACTCTTCTCAAATAATTCTTCTTCCTCTTTAGAGTATGCGAGGTGAGACATGCCAAGATATCCTAATAATATGTGTGACTGTAACTTAAATTGTGGAATATCAATTGTACTCTGGACGTGTTTGTATGAAATATTATTTAGATGTCATTTGAAATATTCGCCATTTAGCAGGACGTTTAAAAAGAACCCATTTCATTTTGTAGTAAAAGAAGTTTGTCAGGAAGCCTGGCAAGGAGTTCTTTCAACTGTGAAGTTACAATGTGTATATATGTTTGTATATTTATAAATATTATATATATACATATATCCTCCATTTTCAGGTACAGTGTACAGTCTAGAGTTAGTATGTATAGTCCACAATCTATGTTCAATGGTCAAGATTATTCTTTTCCTTTTAACTTTTATTAAGACACCGCGATGAAATGATTCTTTTTATAGATAGTCAAATCACAGATGACGGTACAGAGCGTTCGGTCTGGTTTGTGTATTTTTTATTTTTTGAATATTGCATGAGGAAGTCATTCCATATCTTTTGTATTCACGTCTGCATTACATTTTTTTCGTTGACAGTGAGGGTACTTCTAGTTCTGTGGTATTTGTTTGTATTCATCACCTTCAATCATGTAAGTTATAATAAAAATTATTTTTGAATTACTAGTCTCCTACACAGAATCTGCTGTATTTTTTTTTCATCACCCCTCTGGAGTTGCTGTTTACATGATCCAGTATGCTACACCGTCAACTTGAATTCATTCTCTTGAATTTCCTTTTTCCCTACGTGAGAATACTGTTTGCTCAGAGAGCTTATTGTAAAGCTAATTGGAAAGCTGTGTTTTATATTTATGATGTCTAGGAGCAGAGACTGTGAGTTCCTTGTGTTTGATCCCCCCGTAAAATATTCACCAGTGGGGGCCGGAATGAGAACACAATGGGTAGGGAGTTTGCCTCGCACACAGTCGATCTGGGTTTGATCCCCGGCATCCCACGTGGTCCCCTGAGCACCGCCAGGAGTTATTTCTAAGTGTAGAGTCAGGAGTAACCCCTGAGAATCACTGGGTATGACCCCAAAAGAGTAAAAATAAATAAAATTTATTCATCAGCTACATCAGAGGAGCTGCTAACATCCTACTCGGAAGTAAATCTTTACCAGATGACTCACGTAATATTAATAATTGCTTTTGCTTGATTTAGCAAAGGTAAAGGTAAAGGCCCTCCCATTGTTCATCGATTTGCTCAAGCAGGCCCAGTAACGTCTCCATTGGAGACTTTGTGGTTACTGTGTTTGGCATATCGAATACGTCACAGGGAGCTTGCCAGGCTCTTCCCTGCGGGCGAGATACTCTTGGTAGCTTGCCGGCTCTCCGAGAGGGGCGGAGGAATCGAACTCGGGTCGGCCATGTTGGCTGCATGCAAGGCAAACGCCCTACCGCTGTGGAGCGATAGCACAGTGGTAGGGCGTTTGCCTTGCACGCAGCCAACTTGATTTAGCAATGAAAAATAATTTCTGGGGCCAGAGATAGCATAAAGTTCACCTTGCATACACCTTAATAAATTTATGTAGTCACTATAATAACATATGACTAATTATATGTACTTAGTCACTACATCAGTATATCTTTTAGTCTTGATTATCTTTATCTTATATCTCTTCATCAAAGACAGTAGGCTTTCCTCTTTAAAAGATTCATAAATGTTTGGAGAATACAGACAAATATATTTTGTAGACACTTCTACATTTGGATAGGGAGTCCAAATTTCTACCTGGAATAGATAGTCAACAGAATCTCTTGATGTATTAGAAGTGAGATGTGAAACAGATCATAGGCAAGCATAAATCTAAAAGTTTTGACTTGAATAACTGGAAAAATGGAATAGCCCATTTCAAGATAGGAAACAGAAGCAATAGCTTCAAGGGAAGACCAGGAATTCTATTTAGGAAAAGTTAAGTCTAAGAAACCTTGACATTCAGGTGAAGATACTAAGTTGGGATTGAATGTGTACAGGATTCAAATAAGAAATTCAGTGTAAAATATATAATTGGGGTCAGAGCTACAGTACAAAGGGGTAAGGTGCTTGCCTTGCATGCAGCCAACCTGGCTTCAATCTCAAGCAACACATATGGTCCCTGAGCACTGCCAGGGGGCACTCCTGTGCATAGAACCAGGATTGTTCCCTGAGCACCACCAGGTGTGGCCCAACACCTATAACCCCTTCCCCCAAAAGAGATAGATTAAGTGAGAAAATAAATTGAAAGATTGATGGGCCAGAGAAATAACACAGCAGGTAAGGAACTTGCTAGAACATGGCCAACCCTCATTCAATCCCAGCATCCCATATAGCCCCCTGAGTACCACCAGGAACGACTCCTGAGCACAGAGCCAGGAGTAAGCCCTGAGCACAGCTGGGTGTTCCCCTGGCCTATGAAAAAAGAAAGTGTTCGAGTCCACAGGGTAGTACCGCGGGTCAACCTAGGTTCAATCCTTCACACTCCCTACAGTTAGTCCCCCAACTCCCCCTCGGAGTGGTCCCCGAGCACAGGGCTAGGAGTTAGCCCTAGCACTGCTAGACGTGGTCCCACAACATAGATAGGTAGAAGGAATCAAAGGAAGGAAGTTCAGTTTCCAATGGAAGAGTCCAAGTAAAACAGGTCAGTTCCTAGTTGGCCAACCCTGGGCAAAGGTGCCCAAGATAGGAAGGAGCTCAGGGGGTGTTAACAGACCCTGTCGTCATTTAAACTGAGATTTTCCGCACCAGAGAAGTGAAAGTCAGTCTGGATTAGATCCTATCTGGGAGAGCCTCTGGGACCAGGTGGAAGAATCGCTGCCCTTTGACCCTGACCTGTATTCCGTTCTCCGGTGTTGCTAAGTGATGCTTGCCCAAGTTCCTCATACCTCTGCGACTGCCCAAGGTGTGCCCATGGAGTCCCTCTGGCCTGCCAATGCAGTGGACACCGTGCACAGGTTCTGTAGAGAGTCTGGAACTTGGATTTATCAGCGCCTTGTGAAAATGTGCCGGAGCTTCTGGAGGTTCTGCCGTGACGGTTTTAAAAAGATCTGCCTTCAGAAAAAGGAGGACGAGCCCCTCCCTTCATCTGAGTGTATTTTTCACAAAGACAAAATCGAGGAACTTGGCTGTGTTTTGGGAAATGAATCTGTGAGCATTTATAAGAGAGCTCAAGCTGCCTATAAGATTGGACTTTTGGCCTTCACAGGTACTGTTCTCACCAACTGAACTAAGATGGGTGTTTTTAAATGTTTTGTTGTTGTTGTTGCTGCTGTTGGGTTGGGTTGGGTTGGGTTGGGTTGGGTTGGGTTGGGTTGGGTTGGGTTTGGGATGTCGCTGGTGGTGCTCGGAGGAGTACAGGGGGTGTCAAGGATCAACCCCGGGTCAGCCATTTGGAAGGCAAGTCACACCCTGGAATCTTTTTGTTTGTTACAACACTAAGTGATTTTCATAGCTCTGGTCTTAAAATTCCAGTATCCTTTACTATCCCTCAATTATTAGTTTTTCATCTTTGCACCAAAGATATGACTTTTTCTTGAGCTCTTTTTTTTTTTTTTTGCTTTCTTTTTTGGGGGGTGGGGTCACACCCGGCAGCACAGGAGGCAACACTCCTGGCTCTGCACTCAGGAGTTACTCCTGGTGGTGCTCAGCGGACCATATGGGATGCTGGGAATCGAACCTGGGTCAGCCGCATGCAAGGCAAATGCCCTACCTGCTGTGCTATCTCTCCAGCCCCTTGAGCTCTTTTTTGTTTGTTTGTTTGTTTTGTTCAGCGGCTGAAGACATAGTAGAGGAAGCAAAGCTTGCCTTGGATGCGACTGACCCTAGTTCCTTCCCCAGCACCAGACACTTTTTCCCTGAAGAGTATATGGTTCCTGAAAACTATAACTGTAAAGGGTCAATTCTGAACAAAAAGCCAGAAACCATTCTTAAACACTGAGAGTTGCGGCACAATCTCCTTCCTCCCACCCCATCACTGTATCATTGTATCACTGTCATCCAGTTGTTCATAGATTTACTCGAGCGAGCGCCAGTATTACGTCTCCATTTGTCTCCAGCCCTGAGATTTTAGCAGCCTCTTCTTACTCGTCTTTCCTAACGCTGCCATATTGGAGGCTCTTTCAGGGTCAGGGGAATGAGACCCGTTATTGTTACTGTTTTTGGCATATTGTATACACCACGGGAAGCTTGCCAGACTCTGCTGTATAATAAAACTAAACAAGAGTAAAACAAATCAGAATGAAAACACACCCCTAAGGGCTGGAGGAACAGTACAACAGTCAAGGCGCTGGACTTGCACACAGCCAACCCAGGTGCAATTCCTGGCACTCCATATGGTTCCTCAGTCACCACCAGTGTATCCCTGAGCACAGAGTCAGGAGTAAGCCCTGAACAACACCGGGTGTGGCCCCCAAACAAATAAACTAACCTTACTGCTCGAATGAGTCAAGTCCAAATTAACTCCATCTTTTTTCTAATAAACCAGGATATGTAAACTTTAGAGATGTTATTCAACAATACATCTACTGTTATTTCATCATTAGTGTTGGTTGGTATTTTTGGTTGTTGTTGTTAGTTTAGTGTTGAGACCGTACTTGAGGATTATTCCTGGTGCTGTGCTCAGGGATCACTCCTGATCAGGGGACAGGGTTCAGGGGAACCACGTGGAGTGCCAGAGTTTGAACCTGGGTTGATCGCCTGCAAGACAAATGCCCTGCTCTCTCTGGCCACTACATCTAATTACATCTAATTAGAAGGCTTTGACTAGTAGGTCTTTTTATTTTATTTTATTTTATTTTATTTGTTTTTTGGGTCACACCCAGCGATGCACAGTGGTTACTCCTGGCTCTGTGCTCATCAGGAATTACCCCTGGCGGTGCTCAGGGGACCCTATGGAATGCTGGGAATCAAACCCGGGTCGGCTACGTGCAAGGCAAACGCCCTACCCACTGTGCTATCGCTCCAGCCCATAACTGATAGGTTTTAAGTGTCGATTTGTAGATTTGTCTGTCTTATAGGGGGGAGGACCTGGGCACCACACCTAGTAGTCCATGCTCCAGAGTGACTCCTGGCCATGCATAGGGGGCCGTATGCAGGAGCCCTGGACACTACCGAGCATTGCACACTTCTCTGAGGACCACCAGTATAACCCCAGAACACACCAACAATCTTGCTGATTTCAGATCTGCAAGAGTTGGATGAGTGAAGAGCAGGAAAACACTGGTGCAAACTCCCTCCTCCGCCTTGGACCCTGGCTCTATGGATTATCCTTGTGGTTTTCTCTCTCTCTCTCTCTTTTTTTTTGGCTTTTGGGGTCACACCCAGCAATGCTCAGGGGTCACTCCTGCTCTGCACTCAGAGCTGTACTATCGCGCCGGCCCCATGGTTTCCTCTTTTTGCTCCGAAGCAACAGTCTCTTTTTCAGGTGTTGAAGAGAGAGAACCAGAAATGAGCTTCCGAGGGACTCGTGAATGCTAGGTGAACACTGCCAGGTTTTTAGTTACCTCGAAGTAAAAATATCCTAGAGCTTCTATTATTTTGCACCGGGCCAGAGGGTGAGGAAAGGAGGTTAAGGCATTGGTCTCACACGTGGCCAACGCCATTCCCAGCACCCTTCATGGTGCACTGAGTGTTGCCAGGAGTGACCCCTGGAGCACTGAGCCAGGGTGGCCTCCAAAGAAAAATAAAATTTGAATTTATGGGGGCCGGAGAGATAGTACAGTGGGTAGGGTGTTTGCCTTGCACGCGGCCGACCTGGGTTCGATCCCGGCATCCCATATGGTCCCCCAAGCACCGCCAGGAGTAATTCCTGAGTGCATGAGCCAGGAGTAACCCCCGAGCACTTCTGGGTGTGACCCAAAAAGCAAAATAAATAAATAAATCACAATCATCTTGTTGTCCATCCTGTTGTCCATCGATTTCCTCGAGCAGGCACCAGTAACCTCTCCTTCTTCCTAGCCCTGAGATTTTAAAAGAGTCATTTCAATGCTCTTTCAGGATTAGGAGAATGAGACCCATCATTGTTACTGGTATTTCGCATATTGAGTACGACACGGGAAGTCTGCCAGACTCTGCCGCGCGGGCAGGATACTTTTGGTAGCCTGCCAGGTTCTCCAAAGGAAAAAGATGTTGTGCGGCCGCAACAGTGGCCGCACACTTCCGGGAGCAGGGTTTTATAGTCTATTTTTTTATAGTCTATTTTTCAAATAAATAAATAACATTTTTTGAATTTATTTTTTATTCCATGCTTATCAATGCAACTTGCTCAATGCCCATGCAAGGCAACCTTCATCCCACCAACACATGAGTTTGGGGAAAATAAAAGGGCAATCCCAAGTAGCCAAAAGGTCACTTGTATAAAACAGGAATCTGAGCACTCAATTGTCCCTTCCTTCCTCCATAATCCCAGACAGTTCTAGAAATGCGAATGCTTGTTTTACAGGAGGCCCAACTGCCGCCCGATTTGCAACTCCGCACATGAGAGAAGTAGCAAACCTACTGCAAAATGAGCCCATGGCATCCAAACCCAAAATCCTGCTTCTCCAGAGCGTGGCATACTGGTGCTACTTAAATCCGGCGAGCCAGGGAAAAGCCCTGAGTCTGCACTTTCTCACAGGCCTCACAAATATTTTCCAGGACCAATCCGAGTACACCAGCAGACAGGAGAAAAACAAGGACCTGCTCGTGAAATTTTGGGCTTGCTATGCTCTCTCCATCCTGACCTGCAACAATCTACCTTGGGTGAAGAAGCTGAGCAGCTGCCGATATCTGAAATATAGTCTGCAAACGTTAGCTTCTGAGGACTGGTCTGGATGGCCTGAGAATTTCGCAGAAGTGCTCTATTTCCTCATTGGCTTTCACCTCAATTAATCTCTATAGTTACAGGAGGCAGCTGTTGTTGGTACCTCTGTGGTTGCCTGGAAAACAAAAATAAACAATTAACAGATTGTGTTTTCTTGAGGTAGTTTGGGGAAAAAAATTCTGTCAAGATTCTTGCTGTGCGGGTTAGGGCGTTTGCCTTGCACGCGGCCAACCCGGGTTCAATTCCCAGCATCCCATATAGTCCCCCGAGCACGGCCAGGAGTGATTCCTGAGTGCATGAACCAGGAGTAACTCCTGTGCATTGCCGCGTGTGACCCCAAAAACAAACAAACAAACAAACAAAAAATGCCAAACCCAACACTGCCATCCCTGAACTGGAGAGGGTCTCTGTCCCTGTCCCACCACTGTTAACATTTCACTGCTGGACTTCCAGCTGCCTTTGTCTTTGGCTTGTGGCTGCTTCCGGTCATCAAAAGCTCAAAATCTGGTGTTGTCTTGCATCAGACCCGCCTGGGGGAACTGATATTCAGCAGGAGCTAGGAGTGCTAGCTCCAGGCCAAACCGTGGTTAGAGGAGGTGAGGGAAGTATTTAAATGATAAGCACTGGTTTGTTCAGGGTGTTGCCATTCAAACCGATTGGGGGAGGGGGGGAGTAAATGAGTAAATGACCCAATGACATACATGGACCCGCTTATTTCTCCCTGTGCTCCCCATTCCCTCCAGCTACCATCATTTGGTGTCATCACTTGGTGTCCTTCGCCTTCATAACTTGTTTTTGCCTGAGCTGTGGTTGACTCTCCAGCTAGCCCATCACCAGGAAGCCTATAAAAACATAGTGTGTGTGTGTGTGTGTGTGTGTGTGTGTGTGTGTGTGTGTAGGGGGGGCGGAGGAGGAGTGGTAGGGGAGAATAGTACAGCAGTTTGGGCTTTGGTCCTCAAGCCCTGCCAGGAGTGGAGTGATCCCACGATCCATCCCTGAGCACAGAGCCAAGAGTAACCCTTGAGCACCTCCAGGTTTGGTAATAGAAAAGCGTGTTGGGCGTTTGCCTTATATGCAGCCACCAACCCAGGTTCAATCCCCAGCACCCCATATAATCCCCTGAACCCACCAGGAGTGATCCCTGAGTACAGAGCCAGAGGAAGCCCTGAGTACCACCAGGTGTACCCCTCCCCAACAACACCCCCCGCCCCCCCAAAAAAACCCCAAACAAATAAAATACCCCAGTGTCCAGGCTGGAGAGATAGTGCAGGAGATAAAAGGCTTTTACAGGAGGTAAAAAGGTTTGCAGGTGGCAACTTAGATGGATCCCTGTATGACTTATGGTCCCCTGAGCACTAGCAGGGGTCACTCCTGACCACAGAGCCAGGAATAGCGCCTAAGCACTACCAAGTGCCCCTCCCCCCAGATTTGTGATTTCATGGGGCCCTGTCTTTGCTCTTTTGTTGTGTATGCTTGCTTTTTGGTTTTTGTTTGGGGGGTCCACATACATAGGTGCTTAGAGCTTACTCCTGGCTCTGTGCTTGCTCAGCGATCATTCCTGGCAGGTCTTGGGGACTCTAGTGATAGGGATCAAACCCAGGTCAGCTGCATGCAATGCAGCCTTGCACATACTGATACACACACACACACACACACACACACACACACACACACACACACACACACACACATTTTATCTTAGGAATGTCATTAAAGTCATACTGCTCGGATTTGTGAGGATGTTGGGGAAAGTTTTCTCAAAACCAGCTAGGAAAAGCTGTGTTCCACAGAGCCAGCATATACTTTCAAATTGTGGATTTCGCTAATGCTGTCAGTTTGATTTCTAGTGATAGACAGGGGCTGGATCTCAGAAGACTTAAACCCTTAATAGATTAGGTGATACCTAATTAATTTGAATGTGTTTTGAATCATTTCCTTTTGTTGTTTGGGGGTCACACCAAAGTTTCTCAGGGTTTACTCCCGGCTCTGCACTCTGGGGTCACTCCTTGCAGGGCTCAGGGGACCATAGGCATGCCAGGATCAACCCAGGTCAGCCACGTGCAAGATTAAGTGCCCTTCCCACTCTACTGTGGCTCTTGTCGCCCCATTTTATTTGGCTTTCTTCTGGTGTTTTTTTTTGTGGGGGGGGAGGGGTCACACCTGGAGATGCACAGGATTACTCTTGGCTCATGCACTCAGGACCATATGGGATGCTGGGAATCGAACCTGGGTCGGCTGTGTGCAAGGCAAATGCCCTACCCACTGTGCTATCTCTCCAGCCCCCTCTTCTCGTGTTTATTTCTAAACATTGCTAATTTGTCCCCCTCCCACCAAATGTTAGGTTTTGGTGTTGGAGCCACACCCAGCTGTACTCTTACTCCCAGCTCTGTGCTCAACATCAATTCCACTAGGGTCAGCTGCATGCAAGGAAAGCACCTGAGCTCCTATACTATCTCTGTGGCCCCTGTGGCTTACGTTTTATACCTAGAGGCCTCTTTCCTACTTGCTGGAGTATGATGTTTTTTACACGTGCTGTACATTTTCCCCCCAACACTGGTGGTGCTGAGGGGATACTTCCAGCTCTGTGCACAGGGTCACTCCCAACAGTACATAGAGGACCATCAGCACTGGGAATCAAACCCAGGGCTCCTGCGTGCAAAACATCTCTCTGGCTCATAGATTGAACATTTTATATACGACTTATAATCTACATAACCACACCTCTACATTTTCAATCTTTTGCTAGCTCAAAAGTTGTGCTAAACCCTCAAACATGCACCACCTACACACACACCCACCCACCCATAAACCAGCACTCTAAATATGAAGAAAATGGCTTATAATGCCATTTAGTTTCCTTCAGTGCCTCAATTGTCTTTTCCCTTTATCTTCTCTTGGCTCTTCAGTTTTCTTCATCAGTATGAAGTTATGCCTTTTGTAGTTTACTGTGATTTTAGTACGATTTAGGGAGAGAAGGGAATATACGCTGTTAAGATGTGTAATCAGTCTTAAAGGTCTCTTTTCTTTCCACTCTTGGGGGGATGGAGTACCCACCACACCCAGCAGTGCTCCGGGCTTACTTCTGGCTCTGCAATCATGAATCAAGGGGGCCATATGGGGTGCCGGGGATCAAACTCAAGTTGGCCACATGCAAGGTTACCAGCTATACTCTGTCCCAAAGGCCTCTTTTCTGACAATGATTAGAAAATCTTTGGTTACTATTGAGGAGTGGGGAATAGGGGGAGGGTGTCACCTTGGGGGAGCAGACTACATGGGGTGCTGGGCATCAAACCCAGGTGAGCTGCATGCAAGGCAAGTGCCCTACTCATTACTATTTATCCCCCTAAACAAGAATTTTATAGTCTATTTCAAAAACAGGTCAAAGCTTGCCTTGCATGCGGCCAACCTGGGTTCAATCCCCTGGCACTCCATATGGTCCCCCGAGCCGACCAGAAGTGACTCCTAAGCAGAGTCAAGAGTAAGCCTTGAGCACTGGGCATGGCCAAAAACTAAAATAATTTTTTAAAATAAGAAATAATTATATCGATTTGCTCGAGCGGGCCCAGTAACGTCTCCATTGGAGACTTTGTTGTTACTGTGTCTGGCATATCGAATACTCTCGGTAGCTTGCCGGGCTCTCCGAGAGGGGCGGAGGAATCGAACTCGGGTCGGCCATGTTGGCCACTTGTAAGGCGAACAAGCGGCCAACATGGCCGACCCGAGTTCGATTCCTCCGCCCCTCTCGGAGAGCCCGGCAAGCTACCGAGAGTATTCGATATGCCAGACACAGTAACAACAAAGTCTCCAAATGGAGACGTTACTGGGCCCGCTCGAGCAAATCGATGATCAACGGGAGGGCCTTTACCTTTACCTTTAAGAAATAATTATAAAAATAACTCATGAGATTATCTGGCAGATAGGACCAAAGAGATAGTACACTAGGTAGGTTTCTGACCAACCCAAGTTCAACCCCCTATATCCCATATGGTCCCCCCAAGCTCGCCAGGAGTGATTCTAGATTGCAGAACCAGGAATCTGCCTTGAGCATTGCTGGGTGTGTTAAGTCTCTTTTCTTTCCTTTCTTAGGGGGTGGGGGCTGGGGGGTAGGAGGGGAACCCTCAGCCAAAAAAAAAAGGCCTTAATAATCTAAAGAGGAATAAATTTTCTCATCCCTCTGAGACAGCACACAAATATAAAATAAAATTAACCTATAGAAATAAATCATTATTCTCTTTCAAGACACATACAATGTTCAACAGTAAACTGAAATTTATTTGTGAAACACAGAAGTCTAACAACAGAGAAAATGCTATTTACATAAAATACCATAGATTAAAAATACATAGTATTTGTATTTTAATACAAAGGATCCCAGGATTCAAACAAGGAACGTTTGATTCCAAGTTTGCATCATATCGTTATTAGCTCTACTACAAAGAACTATAGTGGAGGTCAATCCTGGCAGTATACGTCTCAAGTGAGATACAAGTGACTTTCATATACATGGTTTTGCATCCGTGGAGGAAGATACTTTTTCTTCGGCACATGTACCAATTTCTGAGTCTTCCACTTCAGAATCAACAGTTTCCTCTTCAGAATCAAATTCCTGACTATCCGTTGATTCAAAGGTATCCAGCGGTTTATCAGTCAGTCTCTTCAAAATAAAACACATTAAAAATCATTTATTGTGTAAGCTTTAAAATCCAAGTCTACAAGCGCAGTGATGAGACCCGCGGGGCCTCACAGAATGGGGGCTGGAACCAGCCCTTCTCTCCCCTCCACGAGACCCCCAAGTCATCGCCCACAAATGGCTCCTCCAGATACTTATCAAGCTCCTTAACAGCCCTGATCCCAGAGACAGACAAACTAATCTGGGAACCTAGAGGATTTTGGCAGAAATCCTTCCAGACTTAATTACTGAAATATCAGAATTCCAAATTGTGCAGCCGCTGTTGCAGCCATATGACATCGTATGTTCTTTATAATCGAGGTTCTTGGTGGTGGGAAATGTGCACTGGTGAGGGGATGGGTGTTTGATCATTGTATGATTGAGACTTATACCCAAAAGCTTTGTAACTGTTCACACAGAGATTCAATATATTAAAAAAAAAAAAAAAAAGAAAAAAGAAAATCCAAGTCTGTTATCAGTATGGTGATATAAGTAACCCTCAAAGTTATTATAAAGTTATCCTCAAGTCTATCAAATCTACTTACAATGAGCATTCTGTTAAACATGATAGGTTATATCTCAGCAGCCAGTATTAATTTCCTCATTTTCATAAAGCACAAATTTCAGGGGTGGGAGGGATAGTACAGCAGGTAAGGTGCTTTCCTTGCATGTGGCTGACCCAGGTTCAATCCCTAGCACTTTGTATGGCTTCTGAGTACTGCCAGGAGTGATCCCTGAGCACTGCTGGGTGTGGCCCAAAAACCAAAACCAAAAATAATAAACAGAAAAGCACATGTTTTCAGAGTAGAACTGAAATCAATACTTCTCAAATTATCTATGGGGAAGGACTAAGTTTTCTAATTTTCACCTGCTATGGACCTATACTTTGATGGCCGTTGAGAACAGCCATAGAACTTCCAAATAAAAACTCACTTTTGCCATGGCTCTAAAATTTAAGACAGCAATTTAGCACAACGTTTTTTCAGCCACATCCAATAGTACTCAGAGCTTATTTCTGGCTGTGCTCAGGGATCATTCCTGGCAGGCTTGAGGGAGCCTATGGGATGCTGGGGATCAAATCCAGGTCAGCCACAATGCAAACCATCCTACCTGTGGTCCTACCCGTGGTAAGCAGGTCCAGGTGTGACCCAAAAACAAACAGTAACAACAACAACAACAAAAGTTAAAAAGCCTAAGAAAACAAAGGACAACTGTGAAGTTTTACAATTTCCCATACATTTCTCAGGATTTTTTTTTTTGCTTTTTTGGTCACATCCGGCGATGCACAGGGGTTACTAGTGGCTCTGCATGCAGGAATTACCCCTAGCGGTGCTCGGGGGACCGTATGGGATGCTAGGAATCGAACCTGGGTTAGGTGCATGCAAGGCAAGTATCCCACCCACTGTGCTATTGCTCCAGCTCCTCCATACGTCTTTTACTTCATAACAGATTCATATTATTAAATCTCTTGCAATGTGGAGGTAAAGGTAAAGGCCCTCCCGTTGATCGTCGATTTGCTCGAGCGGGCCCAGTAACGTCTCCATTGGAGACTTTGTTGTTACTGTGTCTGGCATATCGAATACTCTCGGTAGCTTGCCGGGCTCTCCGAGAGGGGCGGAGGAATCGAACTCGGGTCGGCCATGTTGGCCGCTTGTAAGGCGAACGCCCTACCGCTGTGCTATCGCTCCAGCCCAATGTGCAATGTGGAGGTACTATTTTTAAATTTCCATCTATTATAAAACTATTCTAATTAACCTAGAATGTGGCACCATTATTCCCATTTTAGATGAGGAAAAGGTAGCCCTGATAGGATACAAAACCTGCTTTTCCCAACCAATGTGCAATGTGGAGGTACTATTTTTAAATTTCCATCTATTATAAAACTATTCTAATTAACCTAGAATGTGGCACCATTATTCCCATTTTAGATGAGGAAAAGGTAGCCCTGATAGGATACAAAACCTGCTTTTCCCAACCAACTTAGAAGTGCTTGAGTAAACCCATGTAATCTGATTCCAATCCAAGCCCTTTATTTTTCAGTGTCTCTATTTTTTCCAAAAGATAATTCTGAATCGGATGAATGTTCAAATACCTACCTCTATCACCTCTGCCATATACTGTACATGTTGTGCTACTTCTGCCAATTCCTTGTTCTCCTTCTTCAGGCGAGCAATTTCATTGTCCTTTTGTTCGATTTCTTTATGAAGCTGTAAAACCAAAAAAGTTCAGTATTCTATAGATTTGCTATGCTATAATCCAAATTATATGACTCCAAGCATAAAACTGATACATTTAATACAAAGTTCCTAAAAGGTATGCTATCTTTGTTTTTAACAAAATAGGCTTTTGGGGGGGTTGGGGGTGGGGGGAGTTGGGGCCACATCCAGTGATCACTTCTGGCTCTGCACTCAGGAGTCACTCCTGGTGGATGCTGGGGATCAAACCTGGGTTGGCTGCATGCAGAGCAAGTGCTCTACTCACTGGACTATCTCTCCAGCCGTCCTCCCCCATAGGCTTCTTTTATGTGGCTTTCTGGGTCACACTGGCAATGCTCAGGGGCTACTCCTGGCTCTGCACTCAGGAATTACTCCTGGCATTGCTTGGGGGACCATATGGGATGCCAGGGATAGAACCCAGGTCAGCTGCTTGCAAGGCAAATGCCCTACCCCTGTACTATCGCTCAGGCCCAACAGGCTTCTTTTGTATTTTTGTATTTATTGTCTTTCTAATTTCTCTGAAGCTAACATTAAAAGTTTATATTATTCTAACAAATATACTAAAAGTTCACACAATTATACCCCATACTTTCTCATTTTTCATACATACTTTCTCATTTTCCTTAAGTGCTTCATAGAGAGCCTTCCTCCGTCTTTCTGCCACTTCTTTCCAATATTGAGAGGATGGATTTTCTAAAACAAATTGTTTTTTACATGTAACTCTGGAAGTCATTATTATATGCTACTGTAAAAACATTAACTTTCTTTTTTGTTGCTGTTGTTTTTGTTTTGGGGCCATACTTGCTGTGTTCAGGGCTTACTCCTGGCTCTGCACTCAGGAAATACTCCTGATAGGGCTCAGGGGACCATTTGGGGTGCAAGGGATTGAACCCGGGACGGCCACATGAGAGGGAAGCACCTTACCTGCTATACTACCACTGACCCCCGAAAACAAAGCCAATATTTAATCCAGAGAGGGCTTAAAGAGCTAAAGTGCATGTTGGATATCTGGGAGCCCTGAATTTGCTTCCCACCACCACTGGGTCTCACAAACAAGCCAGGAAGGAGTGACTTTCAACACTCGAACCAAGTAGCCCCAAACACCACTGGATGTGGCCCCCACACAAACGAAAGCCAATGTTTGTTACTGGCTCAATGCTTCTCATTCATCACCAGTGGCTCCCTAATTCCACACTTCACACATATGTTCAAAAAGAATTTTTTGTTGGTGGTGCTCAGGGAACCCATAAGTTCTGCTGGGGATTGAACTCAGGTCGGCCTCATGCGAGGCAAATAACCTACCTGCTGTACTATTGCCCCTAAAATTCTGTTCTTTCAATTCATCCTCTAGACTTTTCCCCTGAAAGACCATGAGCTTTGTTTACCCATGAGGCTACCTAGTATCAGAGCTGCCACAGTAATCACTTCTTTTTCCTACTATTTATCCATATTCAGGTCTCATTAAACAATAAAACTCATCCAAATTTATTTGTTTTAAATTATCAAAACCATAAAAATTGGGGCCAGGGTGATAGTACAGTGGATACGGTGTTTGCCTTGCACTTGTATCAACCAGGGTTTCATCCCCGGCATCCCATATAGTCCCCAAGCACTGCCAGGAATAACTCCTGAATACAGAGCCAGGAGTGTCCCCTGAGCATCATCACCTGGTGTGGCCCAAAAACAAAAACAAAACTGAAAGTATCAAATAGTATTCTCAAAATTTTAACAGTGTAACAATTCTTTACTACTTAAAAGTTTGATATATATATGATATATATTTAATTTCCCTTTTTTCCTACCTGAAATCATAAGATCATATGCTTCTTGGGTGACTCCTCCAAGAGTTTTATTTTCACTGTTTTCTGGGACAGCTTCAGTGTTGGAAGGCTTAGATGTTAACTGGTCGTTCCAATGCTTCTTCTTAGACAAACCTTTAATCGGCTATAATGGAAATACATACATCAAACTTTCATTTTAAAGAACAAGAAAGTCAGGTGATTTTTTTCCCTTTATATATTAAAAACTAAACATTCATCTCTGCATTTTTTTTGCTGTTTTTGGCTCTTGAAAAAAAGTCAGACAATTCAAAACTACCAATATGTAATTTATATTTTAGGAATTTTATTTGCAATAGCTATTTTGAACTAGTCTTAAGTTCAAAAGCTTAGCTGAAACCATTCTTATTTATAATTCAGCAACAGGGAAAAGGAATAATTTCAAATTTCAACTTGTAAAACCCCGGGCAGCCTCAGCTATGATTTTTATCATTTACATACGGGGGCTGGAGTGATAGAACAGCAATAGGGCGTTCACATTCAATTCCTCTGCCCCTCTCAGAGAGCCTGGCAAGCTACCAAGACTACCTTGCCCTCACGGCAAAGCCTGGCAAGCTACCATTGATGTATTCGATATACCAAATACAGTAACAAGTCTCACAAGTGATCGAGACGTTACTGGGCCCGCTTGAGCAAATCGATGAACAACAAGAGAATAGTGACAGTGACATACAGGGGTAAATTATTAAATCTAATATTTTAGTCTCAAACTGTCAGTTACTTAAACTGGTTTATTTCGTAACATATTATACCATCCCAGTTCTACTACAGGTATTCATGTCAACTTTCCTATACTGAACAATTATAAAACAAAACCCACTTCCATGGGGCTACTAATTGTCACTCATAGACACTTCAATATTTCAGTGACTAAGGTATTTCTGACCAAGGAAATCTTGGGGAAAAATTTGTTTTGTTTCTGAACACCTGGCAGTGCTCAGGGGACTAAGTGGTACCAAGCATCAAGCCCAGGGGCCAGAGTGATAGTACAGCAGGTAGGGTGCTTCTCTTGCAAGAGGCTGACCCACGTTCAATCCCTGAACTCCCGTAAGTTACCCTGAGCACTGCCAGGAGTAATTTCTGAGTGCAGAGCCCTGAGCATCACAGGGTATGGCCCAAAACAAATAGCAAAACAAAACCAAAAAAAGCATCAAACCCAGGCTTGATGCAAAACATGCACTCCAGCCTATGGCGCTTTCTCTCCTGCTCCATGGAAATGACTTTAATGTAAACACAGTATCATCTTCACCCCACTCTAGTAACTGTAATACGTACCTCATTTTCTCTTCCAACAAGAGATCCAGCTGCCGAAGGCTGAATCATCTTCAGAGTTCTTCTTGGGACAGGACTATTCTGCAAAGTCAAGATAATTCATTTTCTGGGGACGGAGCTGAATAGTGATTGTTGCTGTCTTAGTCCTACTATAACTACGCAATACTGCATAATTTTATACATAGACAAAACTTCTATCTCTGGACCGAAGAGACAGTTCAGGGTGCCTGCCTTGCATGTGGCAAATCAGGGCTCAATCCCCTGTACTCCACACGGCCCCTGACCTGAGCACCACCAGGAGTGATCCCTAAGCACAACGCCAGGAGTAAACCCTGAGAAACAGCTGCTATGAAAAGAAAATTAAAAAACTTTTCTAAAATTTAAGTAGTTTAGGTTCTAAGAATGAATTTTATCACCCAAACTTGACAGACACAAGCAGTTCTTCTCTTCACATTTCATTACTTTTCTGTTTTGGGGCCACACCTGGCTGTGCTCAGGACTTAATCCTGGCACATTCAGAGATCATTCCTGGCAGGGCACATCTGGGGTGCTGTGGGCTGAACCTCAGTCAACTGCTTGCAAGGCAAGAAGAACCCTACTTGCTCTGGCCCCTCAATATACTATCTTGCTATAATCATTTTGTCAATAAAAGGTGACAAGATATCTACATCTAGGCCTTACTACTCCTAATCATTGATGAAATTCTAGTGCAGCATAATTATTTATATTCCTTTTGTGTGTGGGGGGGGTTCATATGCAGTTGTTCTCAGCTTTTACTTCTTGCTCTTCGCTCAGCAATCATTCCTGGAGTCGTTCAGGGGACATATGTGGTGCCAAGGATCAAACCTAGGTTGGCCACACGCAAGGTTCTACCTACAATATTATCTCTTCAGTCTTTACATTCCGTTTTAAAAGAGCTTCCAGGGACCGAACCAATAGTACAGCAGGTAAGGTCCTTGCCTTGAACACAGCTGATTCAGGTTCGATTCCCAGCATCCCATATGGTTCCACAAGTCCCACCAGAATTAGCCCCTGAGCACACCAGCCAGGTTTGGTCTAACACTGCAGCCCCCACCCCCCATAAACCAGACCTTCCACACAGAAACAAAAAAATCACTAAGCATCACAACATCTTTGGAAGAAACCCACAGAAGAGATAAACTACAGTTATATGGTAAATTTTTTGGAATACAAAATACTTCTTTCCTGAATCAAAATGCTTTCTCTATGACTTTAAGTGGTGAATATCCCCTATACTACATAATATGTGCATTCATGAAAGTGTCCAAAAAACATTTTACAAAAAAAAAAAAAAACATGTCACCCTCCACTACCTCTACCTGATTACAGAGGCAGATTTATTTCAAGTCCATTCACTAGGAGACAATTAAAATGTCAGTGTGTACTTACACATATTAAATACTCCAAAACACCCAGGTATTGTTTTGAGAAAAAAATTACCTTCCTTGTAATATGTAAATACCTTCCTGTATATTTCCTGAACCCAAAGCTCCCTCTATTTTTGCAAAAAAAAAAAAAAAATCATTAGTTATACTGCCACCATGGGATAGCAAACAATGGTGAATACTCAAACAAGGCCAGCAAGAACATGATACCAAAGCAGCGTGAGAAAGTTACTGGGTCCACACTGTACTTCACTTGACACGAATTTCCATTTCCCACGGTAAGGTTTCTGCTGTTGATTATCTCACCATTGAACTGAAGAACAAATGCCAGCTACTTTGAGAACAAATATTATACCAGCATTTCAGATATAATTTAGAGTTCCCTGACAAATAGAAAAAAACGTAACAGCGGAACTACTTACAGAAGGTATTAGTGTACATAATACGTACAACCAACAGTGACCAAAGAAGCCAGTTAAAACACCATCACCAAAAAGATTCAACTCTATAATCAGAAAGTTCTTAATGGGCCTCAATCCATTTTGGAAAACAAATCAATTTTGTGAACCCTTTCTCAAAAGGAAAATAAAAAAAAAGAAAAAACCCCACTCAAACATACTTCTGCATATGCCATGCAGGCAAGTCATGAGCTTCTAAAATTCACTCTAACAAACCTAGTTTTAGTCCAGTACTTTCATTGTACAAATGGGAAAGCTGTGAGGCTGCAGCAATAGTACAGCAAACAGGGTGTTTGCCAGTGGACCTGGGTGCAATCCCCAGCACCCACATGGTCCAACACACACCACCAGGAGTGTACAGCCATGAGTTACCACTGAGCATAGCCAGGTGTGGCACAAAACCCAAAAAGTAGCAATAAACTAAACACTATTTCTGAATATCTGAAATTTCCATGTTTAAACATTCTGCACTGCACAGTAGGAAGATGTCATCATCACAAATAGCTGATGAAATCAAATTCAGAAACAATAAGCACTTTGTGGGCCCAGAGAAGACAGCAAAAAAGGTTAGAATACAAGCTTTGCAAGTGGGAGGCCCAGATTTGATCACATGGTCTCCCAAGTTCTATGGAGCAAGAACCATATCCAGATTAACTCCCAAGCACCACTGGGTGTGACCTAAAAACTGTTTTATAATTAAGTATTTTTCAAGAAAAATCATGTTAGGGGCCCGGAATGAAAGTACAGCGAGATAGGGGATGTGCCTTCTACACGGCCGAACCAGATTCAATTCCTGGCACCCCGTATGGTCCTCGAAGTACCACCAGGACAGAGCACAGAAGCAAACCCTGAGCACCACGGGGAGGGGCCAAAACCAAAAAAATAAAGTGAAATAAAATAAATTAAGTAGAGGCTGGAAGCCGGCGGAAAGAGCCGAAGAGCATGCACCCCCAGGTCAGATCGCCTGCATGGTCTGAACACAGATGGGGGTGGGTGATTCCAAAACAAGGAAACAAAGTGTGGGGGGGGGGAGGGGGGACGGGACAACACACCAAACTTGGGAAACTACATTATTGAAAGAATGTGAAACCTAAGGGGAAAAATTCATCCTGTCTTGGTAGCACTGTCCTCCCGTTGTTCACCGATTTGCTCGAGCGGGCACCAGTAATGCCTCACAACAAATTGTGAGATTTGTTGGGGGATATCGAATACATCACAGGTAGCTTGCCAAGCTTTGCCGTGCGGGAAAAATACTCTCGGTAGCTTGCTGGGCTCTCCAAGAGGGGCAGAGGAATCAAACCCAGGTTGGCCTATCTTGGTGGATGACAAAAATTTAATATTTAACCAGAATAATTAATAGTTCTTTACTATTAACTTAACCTCTGACAAAATTAAAATTTGGTAATCCAGGTTTTCAGAAATTCAAGTTAAATTATGCCAAAAATTTTCTAACCATAACATTTATGATATACTAAACCAATCTCATCACATACCTTTACATTCTCTTTGATTTCTTGTTTCTGCTTCATACTGGAACTCATTATGAACCTAAGAAAGCACAGAAGATGTTAAATATACTGAAAAATTTTATGAAATAACTCAAAACCAGAATAATTTGCAACTGAAGGTAGAGTCTAAGTTTATTGTTGTTGAAAGCAATTACAATCATGAAAGCAAAACTCAAACATCTGAGGCCTGAGCAGGAGTAGGGCATTTGCCTTGCACGTAGCCAACCTAGGTTTGACCCCCCAGCATACTCTATGGTTCCCTGAGCACTGGCAGGACTCCCGAGTGCAGAGCCAGGAGTAACCCCTGAGCATTGTCGGTTGCACCCAAAAACAAAAAATTTGAGGCCCGAGATATGGCTTACCTACAGCCAACCTGGGTTCATCCCCAGCACTACATAAAGGCACACAAGCACCACCACCAGTTAGTGACTGATCCCAGAATACAGAGCCAGAAGTCTTGAGCAAATCGGGTACAAAGCCCCCAAACAAAAACCAAATCAAAAAAAAAATTGATCTCGAAAAGTAGAACCATGGGGCCAAGAGAAATAGGACAGGGATTTGAGGTACTTGCTTTGCTTCAACCTCTGGACCAATCACCTCAAGGAGTGGTCCCTCGACAGAACCAGGAGTGATCCCTGAGCATGGCACACCTAGGCCAAGCCCACAATAACAAATAAAATGATCTTAAAGCAAGTTTAAAAAAAATAAATTAGAGGCAAGCTACCAAGAGTATTCAATATGCCAAACACAGTAACAAGAAGTCTCACAATGGAGACGTTACTGGGCCCACTCGAGCAAGTCGATGAACAACGGGAGGGCAGGGCAGGGCAGTAGAGAAAGTAATGGGGCTAAGAGCCTTCCCTTGCCCAGCTGTCTGGGGCTCAATCCCGCATACCACCAAGAGGTGGACCTGAGTATAGAGCTGAAAGTCCGGAGCACCACAGGCTGTGCCCTCCCCAAAGGAATCACCTCTTCTCACTGTCCTCAACAGTCCACTCATTGCCTAATACCTCGATATCTCTACATCACACACACAGACACAAAACACTAATTGTTAAAGGAAAGGCCTCCATCCTGGATTCAACAGTGCTCTCAAAAATCTACGCATGGGGGCTGGAGCAATAGTACAATGGGCAGGGCGTTTTTGCCTTGCACGCAGTGATCAGGGTTCGATTCCCAGCATCCTATATGGTCCCCCAAGCACGTCAGGAGTGATTCCCTGAGTGCACAGCCAGGAGGAACCCCTGACCCAAAAAAAACAAAACAACCAAAAAAAAAACCAAACCAAAAAAAAAATCTGCACAAGGGCCAAGAGGAAAACAATGCTCATAGACACTTGCATGTGCTGGAGGCTATTTTGGAGAAATCAAGAGGGCCAGGGAGAGAGTGCAGAGGTTAGGGGGCCTGGCTGGCACCCAGGCCACCCAGTAGGATCCCTACCACCACCACATCTGCCCCCACCCCTCCAGCACCGCCAGGAGTGACCCTGTGCAAAGAAGCCAGGAGTAGGCCGTGCGGACCCCAGGGTGCACAACCCATCTCCCGCACCCAATGAAGCTTAAAAAAAAAAAAAAAAAACCTAGAGCTGATGACAAGGCCCTGAGGGTTAAAGCTGAGCGCACCCCCCCCAGCTCAGCAAGGAAACAGCCCCCACCTCAATGCCCCCCCAATCGACGTCACCGCCACGCCAACAGCATCCTAACTTGGGTTGGGGAGGGGGGCGGGAAGGCTTTTCCAAGATGTTAAGCTACACCCCACTTGGGCTCTCCGTGCGCAATAACGGAACAGCCAGCGGTGACATCTGTCAGCAACGGTGGCAACGGTTCCAACGGGGGTTCCAACGGGCCAGGAAAAGAGCGATGGGGTGGGGGTGGGGCTGGGCTGTCCCGCCCTCCTCTCCTGGGCCTGAGGTGGTCCCCCAGCATCTCAGCAGCACCGCCAAGGCTCTGGGCAGGCACCTTCGGCCCGTGCCCCCCATCTCGGGGGATGGGAGGCGGGGGTGACCCCCCCGGCTTCCCAGTGCATTTCCGCTCCCTCGGGCACGGCGTTTGCAAACGGCGCCCGGAGTCTCGCAAAAATAAATAAATAATCCAAAAAAAAAAAGTTTGAAGGCAACGACGGCGGGAGGCGGGGGCCCCCTCCCCCACGGCAGCACCAAGCCCCCCGCGCTTCTGGGAGACAACGGGACTCCGAGCACAAGCCCAGGTCTGGGTCCCCGGGGAAAGCGGAGGGAAACACCCACGTCACACCGGGCGCGCCTCTCCCACGGGAGGCACCAGGGGAAGCGGTGGGGAAACCGAGGCTGCGCCGCTACCCCTCGCCCGCAGCAGCTCCGCCAGTCGCCCACCAGCCCGAGGCCCCAACGAGCCGCCAAGGGGCGGGCGGTCCGGCGGCGCGCGCGCGCCAGCCGTCCAATCGCGGCCCGCCCCTCGCCCGCCAGCCAATAGGAAGCACGGGACGGCGTCGCCAGCCAACAGGAAGCACAGACGGGGGAGCGCGCCAAAAGCGACCCGACCAATGAGGAGGAGGCCTCCGCTCCCCGCCGCCGCCCGACCAGCCGCCGCTCAGCCTAGCCCGGAGCCGGAGCCCGGAGCCCGGCCGCGTCCCGCAGCGGCCTCGGGAGGGACGCGACTTCCGGCCGGCGGCAGCGAAGAGCGACGACCCTCCCCTCCCACCCCCGAGCCACTTCTCTTACACTCAACGACGGAAATGCGCAGTCCTCGGGACGCACGCTGGCAGCGGGGACACCAGGGCCCCGGAGAAGGCCCTCGGGCCAGGCCGCGTCCCTCCCCACGGCCGCCGGAGTGAGCGACGCGCGGCCCCTCCGAGAGTCTTGAGAAAGCGACTCGCGCGCCTCCGACGCCCACGTGACCTTTGGCCGCGAGGCGGAGGGCGGGGCCACCCGAATCCACCCAATCGTCTTCTGGTGGGCCCTGGGAGGCCCCGCCCCTCGCGGCGCCTGCGCACTCGGGCGCGGCTGGTCTCCGCTCCCGGGACCTTCGGCCCTGACAGGTCTGTGAGCCCGGGATTCTGCTCCGCACCCCATCCCCCGCCCCGGCCTCGTCGAATCTTCCTTTCGATGTCGAATATGTACGAGCAGGGAAAAGATTCTTCCTGCCCGCAACAGGATTGAGTGTAATGGGGGACCGGAGCGATAGTAGAGCCGGGAGGGCGTTTGCCTTGCATGAGGCTGACCTGGGTTCGATCCCCAGCATCCCATATGGTGCCACCCCCACCCAGCACCGCCAGGTGTGATTCCTGAGTGCATGAACCAGAAGTAACCCCTGAGTATCACCGGTGTGACCCCCCCAAAAAAAGAAAAAAGGAATTGAACACTGGGGTGGGGGTGGGGGAGAGTCCCAAATTTTTTTTTTAATTTATTTATTTTCGGAGAGCCCGGCAAGCTACCGAGAGTATTCGATATGCCAAACACAGTAACAACAAAGTCTCCAATGGAGACGTTACTGGGCCCGCTCGAGCAAATCGACGATCAACGGGAGGGCCTTTACCTTTACCTTTATTTATTTTTTGCTTCTTGGGTCACACCCGGCGATGCACAGGGCTTACTCCTGGCTCTACACTCAGGAATCACTCCTGGCGGTGCTCAGGGGACCATATGGGATCCTGGGAATCGAACCCGGTCTGGCCGCTTGCAAGGCAAACGCCTTACCAGCTGTGCTATTGCTCCAGTCCCAAATTGACTTGAGATCTTTTGTACACGAACTTTGAGCGTTCTGATTTGATTCTTTGCAGTGCTGTGGGAGCTTGGGACCCCTTTGTAAGTATTCACTGGGCACCTAATATGCACCACCTACTGCTCTAGGTGCCGAGACTCACAGCGATGGGAAGGCTTAGGGCAGGGAGGCTTTAGTAATACTAGGACTGGCTTCCTCCCCCCCTTAATCTTCTTTTTGATCTGCAAAATTCTCAAATTTCTTGTGGACAGAATGCATTTATTTGAGTTTACTGGAGTCTTACCAGATCTTTTGTTTACCCTGCCGTAGATGGTGCTTTTTCCCATTTCCTAACTTAACACGGCATTATCCTTTTCAGAGGGAAGAAAGGGTCTACTGACCATGGCCAGCACTGTTTTAAGAAATGTTTTTAAAAGTACTTTTTGGGGCTGGAGCGGGGAAGGCGTTTACACAGGTCCTGCGTGGGTTCGATTCCCAACATCCCATATGGTCCCCCGAGCACTGCCAGGAGTAATTCCTGAACGAAGAGCCAGGAGTAACCCCTGAGCTAGCCAGATGTGAACCAAAAAACAACAAAGAAAAAAAAAGCCCTTTGGGGGCCAGAGAGATAGTATGCTTGCCTTGCACAAGGCAGACCGTCCCCCCTCCCCATTCCTGCCACTACACATGGTGGGTCATCCAAGCATCACCAGGAGTGATCCCTGAGCACCGAGCATGAGTATGCTCTGAGCTTGGCCAGGTATGTGCCAAAAATAAAACAAAAGAAGTGCTGTCTCCTCTCCTGGAAGGGAGCATAACATGACACGCCATAACCATGCTGCCAGACCCCATGCCAGACTGTTCAATTCAGGTGCCCCTGAGGGACCACTGCTGCCAAAGGACAACTCATACCTCACATCATCCATACTCCAAGAGAACTGCACCACATTTGATGGTTTAAAGCAGGAGGCAACTAATCTTAGAGGGAATTTTTTTTCATATATATATATATATATATATATATATATCTACACCATATAAGGCTCAACTTTTACCAACATGTTAGTGATCTCTTATAGAAGGGCTTAATGGCCCCTGGGTGAAATACAACAATCTTCACGCTCTTTCCTCTAAGGAAACTTTTTGGTAGCATTTTCAGTGGTTTTTCATAACAAACAGTACAAAATAAATTATTTTGGTTCTGCTTTGGGGCAGGGGTGGGGTTGGGGTTCAGGATGGAAACATTCAAAATACGGTGCTGGGAAGGTGTAATGGTGGCATTTTCGTGTTTGAATATTAAATGTAATCAAATACTGTGCATTTCTTTATAATTTTTTTTTAAGTGCTTTCTGGGGAAGCTCTGAGCATCGGCTAGCTCCATGGCAAGGAACCAGATTGCTTTTTTTTTTCTTTTTGGGTCACACCTGGTGGTGCACAGGGGTCACTCCTAGCTCATGCTCTCAAGAAAAACTCCTGGCGGTGCCTGGGGGACCATATGGATGCTGGAAATCAAACCCAGTTCGTCCATGTGCAAGGCAAACACCCTACCCGCTGTGCTATTGCTCCAGCCCCCCCCCTTTTTTTCTTTTACCACATTACTTTTCAGTATTGGCTGCATTTCAAGCATAATCCTGGGAGTTGGATCTCCAGTGCCTCCTGGATGATGGGAAGGATGAAAGTGTCATGAACAAAACACATTTAACTTGTCAGCTTCAAATAGGTGCACTTCATTTTACATGAATGATGTCATAATGAAGCTAGAAAATAAAGGGATGGAGGTAATGCAGTTGCCCCCAGCTGCTTGGACTCTACAGAATATAGGTAGTGCCCTGACCGGAGGAAGCTCAGAGCAGCTAGGAACAAGGCAGACGGAAACAGCGTATGCACAGAGGGAAAACTTCAAGAGCCCGGGAGCCTGAGAAAAGTCAACAAAGTGAACATCAGAGAGCCAGAAAGCAAGGAAAGGCATCCTGAAAGCCAAATCATTTTGAATCCTCTCTTAACATGTGTATCTTTTCGAAAACATTTCACCTAAGCTGTTCTACTTTAATCTGGACAAACATCAAGTGAGCAACGTTCCTAATACCTCTATATCCCATAAACAAAGCCATGTGGGCAGTTGGGGTGGATGCCAGGTACCGACCGATGTATGTACATTCTCACGGTCCCCATCCACAAGCAGATTCCAGAGAGAAGGTTTCCCCTCAGTGCCTGCAGCAAGGCCCCACACAGACTCTCTAGCCGCCTGATCTGAATCTCAGAGATGGGGAAGCTCTTCCTTGATCCCACCTCCCAAGGAAGCAAGAGAACTTTTTAGGGACCAGAGGAGTTGGGTCCCTCTGGTGGGCTCCGGGGACCATATGGGATACCAATGATTGAACCTTGATCAACTGTGTGGAAGGCAAACACCCTACCTACTCTCCTATGGGTAGGACCCTTGAAGAAAGAGAGCTTTTTTTTTTTTCTTTTTGGGTCACACATGGCGATGCACAGGTGTTACTCCTGGCTCTGCACTCAGGAGTTACTCCTGGCGGTGCTCAGGGGACCATATGGGATGGTGGGAATCGAACCCGGGTCGGCCGCGTGCAAGGCAAACGCCCTACCCGCTGTGCTATCTCTCCAGCCCCAAGAAAGAGAGCTTTTAAGAATACAATGTAGGCTGGGGGAATGTGGCCTGGTGATAGACTACTTGCTTTGCAAACCTGAGGCACAGGGTTTGATCCCCACCATTGCAAGTGGTGGGGGTGGCAGGGGGGTGTGGAGAAAGAATTTACTATAAGGAGCAACGAACCATTCTCCCTCCAGCTGAGATAATCCCTCCAGGGCCAACCCCATTTCCCCAGTCAAGAACCAGGCCTTTCGGGCAGGGAAGTCCTAGGGCCCTGTACCCATGGAATCTGCTGGAAATCTTCCATCTGAAGTGTTCTGGTAATCTACCTTCTAGGTTCCAGAGGACTCTTACCTGACAGGTGTCTTTATCAGGGTCACAGTAGTACCCATGGAGTGGGGGATGGGGAGGATGCGGTAAGCTGGGGGTGCTGGTGACCTTGGTCTGCACGGTACCTCTCAGGCACCCTGGGTATTAACAGGAAAACCTGTCAATGGAGCTGACTCCACAAAGCCGGCACACATGAACCTGCCACCCAAGAGTTCTAACTAGTGGCTGCTCCAGGGACAGGTGTGTGTTGTTCGCTGCACACCTGTGTGTCTACACAGAAACACTTTCTCTTGAACACCCCCTCCTCCCCATCCCCAGCAAGGCATATGGGGTCCTTCTAGTCCTGCCAGGAGTGATCTACGACATCGAGTCAGGAATAAGCTCTGAGCACAGCCAGATGTGGCCCGACCATAAACAAAAAATGAGCACCTTGTTTGAAATCAGACTCTTTCAGTCTCCCTTGGGTGGAGTTGATTGTTTGAAGACACGAAGTGCACATTGTTGAGGAAATGACAAGTCATTGGCGGGCCCCAGTTGATCTCACTTAAAACTAGAGTGTTTCGTGGGAAATTACACAGGACTTTAGGTGTGGGTTAGTGCCTTGGAGGCCCAAATAAAGCCTCACCTCAAGAAAGTGCTCAGAGAAGCTCTAAGCTTCTCAGTACCTGCATCTTCTACTAAGAGATTGACAATAGCTCAGAATTCATTTTCCAGGGCCCCGGTAAGGCACTTACCTTGCACAAGATCAACTCGGTTCTATTCCCGGCACTCCATATGGTCCCCCAAGTCCCACCAGGTACGATTCATGAGCATTGAGCCAGGAATAAGCTCTGAGTACTGCTGAGTGTGGCCCCAAAACGAACAAAAGAATTTATTTCCCAAAGTACCTAGTTATACAGTCCTCCCACCACCCCTAAAAAACATTTTCAAGATAAATATACTACTGTGAGGTACTCTTGCCCCAATTTAAGTATGAATTCAGTTTGGAATAAGATGAATGTAAGGATGGACAGACAAGATATAGGCAGTTTAGATGAATGTAAACAAATGTAAAATGCTAATAGAATCTAGATTGTGAGTGATAGCACAGTGGTAGGGCATTTGCCTTGCACTCAGCCAGCCCGGCCGAGCCAGGTTCGATTCCTCTGTTCCTCTCCGAGAGCCTGGCAAGCCCGGCAAGCTACCGAGAGTATCTCACCTGTGATATATTCAATATGCCAAACACAGTAACAAGTCTCAAAAAAAAAAAAAATGGAGACGTTACTGGGCCCACTCTAGCAAATCGATGAACAACGGGAGGACAGTGTTTGTTTGTTTTTAGATTGTGAGTATACACAGGTGTTCACCATAAAATGTCTTCAGCTCCACTTTATTGAAAAATTTTCTAATAAAATGTTGCAGATCTCAATAAAAATGGGTGACTAAAAGCAAGCCCTAAAGCAGTTCTGTGTGTGTGAAATGAATACTGTAATGCAAAGAGAAAAGAATGGATAGAAGGGTCTGCCGGATTAAGAATCCAATGAGCTGAGCGCATGCTTTGCATGCTGGAGATCCAGATTCAATCCCTCGCACTTGGCATTCCCTTCACCACCATCAGAAGCCACCCAAAGAGAGCCAGGAGTAGCCCCTAGCACTGCTGGCTGGACCCAAACACCAAGACAAACTAAGCGAACAAAGAAAAAGATTAATTCGAGTAAATAACTAACATACTAAGCTGTTCTTTTCACCGTTAGTGCTGTGTATTCAAAGGATAAAAAAATTTTTAAACAAAGCTCAAACTTTTCCATTGGAATTTTCCTTGGGCTTCATGCTAAATAAAGTGATAATATTTCCTGAGTAAATAATAGGCCAACAGAATTCTTCCTGACATAATCTGTCAAATTCCATTTCAGAGTGTTAATAACCTTATTTACATCAAACAATATTCACATTTTTCCAGGAAGAATTTTTCAGTGATCTGTCCACTAGGTGGCAATGCTATCTAATCAAACTGAAACCCAAACTTGGAATTTGAAAGACTCTTTCATATACCCAACTGTGGTACTTTTGTCAATCTCAATGCAAGGGGATATCTTAGTTGCATATTTTATTTTTACTTTTTGGTTTGGGGGCCACACCCGGCAATGCTCAAGGATTGCTCCTGACTCTGCACTCAGGAATTACTCCTAGCGGGGACTGGGGACCATATGGGTTACTGTGATCTAATCTGCATCAACCGAGAGCAAGGCAAATGCCCTACCCACTGTACTATGGCTCCACCCTCCCCCCATTTATCTTGGTGTGTGGAGGGGCACATCCAGCTGTGCCTTTCACACAGCCAACCTTGGGAGTGACCCCAGAGCACAGAGTTTGTGAGTCAGCTCTGAGCACTGCTGGGTGTGCACCTCAAACCTAAACACAAGTAAATTAGATCTGCGGGGATCTTTTCATTAGGGATGGGGATGAGGCGGCTGTAGTTGGTGGAATTGTCAGGAGGGGGTTCAGACTAGCGTTTGATTTGTATCTGTATCCCCAGCTCCCCATGCAGTGCCAAGCACCCAAGAACCCTCATGATGCTGATCACTGGACCTCACTTCTTTAAGCCTAAGTGTCCTTCCTCTGCAGATGAATGAAAACCTGCAAGGAGACTGTGGAGCAGGAGAAAGCCCGGGCAGAACCTCTGATATTTAAAAACCAGCTGAAAAAATTCAGCGGGGGAGACCGGGAAGTGGTAATCTATGGAGCAAGGGAAATCTGGCCAATATGGCGTCTTGGGGGTGAGCAATAAAGGACTAAACAGTAAAAGACAAGGAGTAGAGCAAACAGTCTGAAGGAATCAATAATTTATCAAGAAGCCATTGCCATTTCACTTGACAAGAGCAGACAGAGTTGTGTGTGGGTATCAGGGAGATAGACATTTAGGCATGGCTTTGCATGTGGTTAACCCTGTTTTTTTTTCCTTTTTGGGTCATATCTGGTGATGCACAGGGCTTACTCCTGGCTCCGCACTCAGGAGTTACTCCTGGCGGTGCTCAGGGGACCATTTGAGAAGCTAGGAATCGAACTCGGTCGGCCGCGTGCAAGGGAAACGCCCTACCCGCTGTGCTATCTCTCCAGCCCCAGTTAACCCTGTTTTGACTGACCCCTTGCACCGCTTATGAGCTCCCAGCACAGGCAGGAGTGATCTCTGAGCACTGAGCCAGGAATAAGTCCTGAGCACCGCTCTTTGCAGCACAATCGCCCACCTCATGGCAATGTTAAAGATTTAAGGGATGGAGAGGTAAGTGGGGAAGGTACTTGCCTTCTGTGCAGTCAACAAGGATTTTGATGTTGGTGGGCCCCACAGGGGGGTTATGTGAAGCCGGGAGGAGAAAGACAGTCACTTCCTCCCGATTCGCCTCTACCACCCTGGACCCAGGGTTAGTGGATTCTTGTCTCGCCTCAAAGAAATGGATTTCAGGAATGGACAAGCAGTGAAGTAAAACAGATTTTATTTGGAAGGTTTTGAAGGGAAGGAGAGAGAAAAAGTGGGGGAGAGTGGAGAGTAACATGCTTCTCCAAGCGCGGATAGAGCCCCTACACACATTCCAAGATTAGACAGGAAAACATGAAAGTCCACATCTCAAGAGGGGAGATGAGGGTGACCCATGTGCTTGGGTACCACAAGTGCTCGGCTACGTGGGCACATGCAGCACTCTTCCTTGGCTCAAGGTGGCTTTTGTAAGGTATCTTCTTAGGGTGTCTTGGTCTGGAATGTTTTGAAGTTTTCTCTGGGCTGAATTGCTAAGGTTAATTGGATTAAGGGTGGGGGGGTTGTTCTGAGGGTGTTTGAGGAATTTCCTTTATGGGGAGGGGTCGAATCTCCTCAGGATCCACTACTGAAGGTCTTATCTCAGGTCTTGTCAACCTTAGGACTTTTACTTCCCAGAATTTTTTTTTTCTTTTTGGGTCACACCCGGCGATGCTCAGGAGTTACTCCTGGCTCTGTACTCAGGAATCACTCCAGGAAGTGCTCAGGGGACTGACTACATGGGATGCTGGGAATCGAACACGGGTTGGCCACATCAAGGCAAATGCCCTACCCATTGTGCTATCACTCCAGGCCCTTCCCAGGAATTTCATTGTCAATTCTGGTGGCTTTCTTCCCTATCCTTGTCTGTCCGACTGCTTACATCACTGAGTGCACTGTGAGTGCTGTCCAGCTGTCTGCAGTGCGGCTGACCAGGGGCTGAGATATGAAGACAGGTCACTTCCACCCCACCCCTGGTGTACAATGGTCACACAGGCAACTTCCAGACACAATTAATGAGGGCACACAGGGGCACAAATCAGCAACCCACAGAAATGCTCAGTACTAAGCAAATGGAAACTTAGTTTCTTCCAGTTAGGGTTAGGGTTGGGGTGTGGGTCAGGGAAGAGACAGCAGGTCAGTGTCCGGAGGGCCCTGTGGGCCAGTGGGCCTGACCCCCCACCTCCTCACATGATCTACAGGATAGCAGACATCCTCAGATCTCTTGGCAGAAGATGTGCGAGTTCACAAAGTGTGTGGGTGATACATGTGTGATGACCGAGACCACTTCCTGTCCTCCCTAGACCTCCCCAACAGAGAGATGGGGGATCACAGTCTGATGGTGAAAATGACCCGTTTAATGCAGAGCTGCTAGCATACTTACAGCGCATCTGAGGGAGGTTGAGGTATATAGGACCTAGGTGTGGTTGATCATTTACAGAGAAAACATTTGGCAGATTGCAATTCTCTTGGAGAGATTAAAGCAAGGAGACACTGTGTTTCCCAGGGACATCTACATTGCTTTTGTCTTTCCCTCTAATTGTATACATTCAAACAATTAAGTTTACTTAATTGGATAAACACACAAGAGACAAAGATCCCAAAACTTAATTCTCTGGACTGAGGGCAAGGCAAGGCTTTTACTGTAAATCCCAGACTAAGCCCTCAGGGCAGTTCAGCTTGTCCTTCTCCATGGGGGTCCTGTCTCTTATGTCATAACAGCTTGCATCAAGACCAGGCATTCATGCTTTCTAGACTGTCCCATTTTGATGCCGGGGTAGCTTTGCCACTGGCTCCGGGTCCATCTGAGACCCACGGCGGGACGTCCCTTTTGGGCTGTGAGGAACTACAGCAGCTGAAGTCTGAGTCAAGTAATTATGACGGATGCCCAGGAGGAGACATATTTCAGAGTCAATCAACTTCCAAATATTAGGAGCATAGCATTAAGGTCTTTCTGTGTTTAAGCAAAGAACATTGCTCTATAGTAAAATATGAAAAGGCTATAGGGGAAATAGAAAAGCAAGTAATTCCATTTATATACAAAATCCAGAATTACCAGAAAGTCTTGGCTTGTAAGTAACCAAGACTGACTTGGGGAATGGTCACAGTGAGAGGTAAAACATAAAGGAAAGGTTAAAGATAAACTCTTTTTTTCCCTCTCTGGTAGTGATTTTACTATAGTCTTTTTTTAAAAAAAATATTTATTGAATCACTGTGAGATCCTTACAAAGCTGTTCATGATTGGATTTCAGCCATACAGTATTCCAACAACCATCCCTCCCCCAGTGTATATTTCCCAGCACCAGTATCCCCCAGTTTCTCTCCCATCATCCCCCACCCCCACCCCCTGCCTGCCTCTATGGCAGGTGCTTTTCCTCTCTCTCTCTCTCTTTCTCTCTCTCTCTCTCTCTCTCTCTCTGAAGATAAACTTTAACTAAACACTGTCAGCTTCTCTGGGAGGAGAGGAGGAGGAGGAAAAGAGGAAATTCACTGATGAAGCCTAAAACACTTATTGGTTAATATTCAGCAGAAGTCACAGACGGAAGATGGGAGGAAATCCTGCAGCCCTGGGCCTCAGGCAGGGTAGCTGTCTCACACTGTGAAGAAAAGAATAATGAACATACTGAGCTAAGTCACAGAACGGGGACACCCTGAAGATGCCCAACAAGTCCCCCAGGGCCCATCCCAGAAGGATGCAGCATGTGCATATATGTGGGGTCTGGCTTTGACCCTGGCACTGCATGGTCCTCTGATTACCTTGGAAGTGCCCCTGAGCACTGCCAAGTGTGGTTCCCAGAACACAAGATCAAAACGAAACAACCCCAAATACAGGTGTGCATTTGCCCAATGCCTTTGCCCAATATCTCCCACTTGGGCCATCTAGAGTGTTACCTTCAGGGTCCATGAGAGACACGTCAGAGTCCCCTTCGCTGTTCCTGTCTGGAGTACAGCAAATAAGGACAGGGTCAGAGGCCACAGCAGATGAAACTCAACAGAAAGCATGGGCCGAGCTCCCCCACAATTCCACAACCCCCCCAAAATGTCCCCCCACACTCCATCCTAGGGCTCACAAGGTCACCGAGTCTCAGCACTGACCTGCAGCTGGACCATGGCCTTCTTTCTCACCTGTCGGGGGGACACTGGGTCATGAATTTGTAGACAGACTGGTCTGGAGCCCAGGAAAAGTACGGAACTCCGGACTGACCCAGAAAAGGATTAGGAGGGATGCAGAAAGGGGGTGTCCCTGGGCTGAACCCACACCCAGCGGAGGTCTGCGTCAGGAGAAAACTCCCCATGGCCTTTGCTGCTGGGATCGGGTCCCTGTCACCAGCGTATCCAGGAGCAAAGAAGTCTTTCATTTTCAAGAGCCTGAGAGTGTCATGGTGTCAGTGCGACGAGTCAGTGCGTCGTGTGCTCCGCCAGACTGCAGGCACACGCGTGGATGGTGCAGCCCACTCACTCAAGTCAACCTCCTCTGTGGGGCCGAGGCCCCTTCTAGTGGACCCAAACCTCAGACCCCCCACCCAGCTGTTCCTACCTTGGCTCCTCTTCCTGATGATTGCTGCTCTGGCCAGTACTGCACTAGCTACCATGAGTCCAAGAAGAACCAGGACGATTCCCACGATTCCCACGATTCCCACGGTGGGGAAAGCAAGCAGAGGAGGGGTCTCTGGGAAGGGAAGGCAGGAGAAGGGCTGACGCCCAGGCCTTAGGCCACCCTCTGAAGTTCTGACGGGGATGTCTCAGCCCCCTGAGAAGAGTCTCTGTGCGCATCCCCCCTAATGCCAACTCAGGGTGCCCATCCCCCTTCACCCCTTCTCAGGGTGACAGGCTCCATGCTCATCCCCCCTTACCCCTTTTCATGGTGACAGGCTCCATGCCCATCCCCCCTCACCCCTTCTCATGGTGACAGGCTTCATGCCCATCCCCCCTCACCCCTTCTCAGGGTGACAGGCTCCGTGCCCATCCCCCCTCACCCCATCTCATGGTGACAGGCTCCGGCAGCCCCGGGTGCTGCACATAGCAAGCGTATCTCTGTTCCTCTTCATAAGGCACCACCACAGCCGCCCACTTCTGGAAGGTTCCGTCCCCGGAAGGCCTGGTCTCCACCAGCTCTGTGTCCTGGATCAGTTCCTTCCCATCAAGCTGCCAGGTCAGGGTGATCTCCTCAGGGTAGAAGCCCAGAGCCCAGCACTTCAGGGTGACCTCACGATCCGAGAAGGGGTGGTAGGTTATGTGTGATTTGGGAGGTTCTGAGGAGGAAATGAGAAACCCCCACTGTTTCCCCCTACATCGCTGAAGCAGCATGCATGTGACATCCTAAGAAGGGACGGGACAGTTGCTTGAGGGGAAGGACGCACCAAACTCAGACACCAGATGGCTGGGACGTGGATAAAAATCCTAGCCCTTGGAAAGTTCTAGAATGAGGCTTGGGCAGGAGGCTCCTGGTCTCTAAGGAGGCAAACACTAACCTGGTCCTCACCTAGATGAAGGGTGAAGGACAGAAAAGTCTGACAGAGGTTTCCCAAGGTGTTCTTAGGCAGTCACACTCATGGGGTCACTGCAAGTCACTGCAGAGCTGGGGCTTAGGGTCCTTCCCTGCCCGGGACCCAGGAGGGCATGGGGGAAAGAGTCTGTTTCTAGCCGGTACAGCCTCCCTGGGGGACCGGAAGAGGGGTCTTCTGCACCTGGGCAAAGGGCACACCTGAAGGCCTATTTGCAGGTGACCAGGGTACCTGTTTGCGGGATCTCATTCCTTTTGTTCAGGTACTGTTGAAGCCACTCCACGCATTCCACCTGCAGGTAGGTCCTGTAGATCTCTGCCTCACGGTACTCCTCCCTTTTTTGCTTGGAGATCTGAGCCGGGGTGTCCTTCGCGGTCCAGGAGCGCAGGTCCTCGTTCAGGGTCAGGTAGTCGTTGCCATCATAGCCGTAGCTCCGATACCCCCGCAGGAAGCGCCCGTCAGCGTCCACCTCGCAGCCAAACATGCTCTGGAGGGTGTGAGACCCTGACCCCGCCCCAAGACCCGCCGCATCAGAATCCCGCACGGGTGCAGAAACCCGGTCAAAGTCCCGGCGTCGGCTGCTCCCGCCCTGGACGCCGAGGGCGCGTCCCACACGCCCTCTGGACACTGGCACTGAACACTCGGGGCGGGGGGTGGAGGTGGGGACCGCGCTCACCGGCCGCGCTCTGGTTGTAGTAGCCCCGCAGGATGTCCAGGCGCTCCGTGTAGATCTGAGCGTTGCTCCTGGCGATTCCTGTCTGCGACTCCCAGTACTCGGGCCCCTCCCGCTGCATCCACGCCGCCCGCGGCTCCATCCGCGCGCCCGCCCGCTCGCTGTCAAAGCGCACGAACTCTTCGCCGTCCACGTAGCCCGTGAGGAAGTACCGCGCCTGCCCGCCGCCCGGCCGGGACACCGCGGTGTAGACGTAGCGCAGGGAGTGCGCGCCTGCGGGGGTGGACGCCTGAGCCCCGGCCCTGGGCAGGGGACCCGGAGGGAGGGCGAGGGTGGGCACTAAAGGACTCAGAGGGTGGGCGGGGTGGAGGCCAGGAGGGACCGAGACCATCAGGGGCGCGTCTGGGTTGACAGTCTCGGAGATGCTCCTGCCGGGCCCCTCCCCTCCCGGTACTCACCTGCCCAGGCCTCGGCCAGGGCCCAGGGCCCCGAGAGCAGCAACAGGAGCGACCACAGCTCCATGTCGCGCCCCTAGGAAGCGTCCCAAGTCCAGCCAGGTGGGCGGAGACGTGTGCCGACGGAACGACGGGTGATTGGCTGCTCTAGACACTGGCCAGCCAATGAAACAGACCTGGACCGCGTCAACCGTCTCCAAGCAAGGGGGCGGAGACTTGTACCGACGGAACGGCGGGTGATTGGCTACCCTGGACACCCGACAGCCAATGGAACTGAGACTTGGGGCAGCGTCACCAGTATCCAGGAGGGCGAGGAGCAGGAAGCGAGTGGGCAATGCGCCGTTCCCGAAGGAGTCGCGTCGCGAGCACCGCTCTGCAAGCCTCCGCATGATTCAGGGTCTGCAGCCACACTGGGACCCCCAACCCGGCGCGGCCTTTCTGCTCGGCACCCGCTCCGTGTCACACCGCCTACCGAGCTCTGTGCAGGGAGGAAGCCACCGACTCTCCGGAGGCCCACGGTCAGGGAGGAACACAGAGCTCCTCCTGTACAGGAGTCATCATTTGGGGAGTCATCACGCAGGCAAGAGCAATCAGACCCCCGAAATGAGCTCAGGAGAGGAATAGCCGTCACGCCGCACTCTAGCACTGTGTTCCCTAAGAGACCTGCGACTTCAGTGTTCGTTAAGAGACATGAGGCTTCAGTGGCAGGACTAGGCACACGTGCCCAGGTTCCATCCACTGCAACGCCTGGGTCTGAACCCTGATGCTCAGTGGATGAAAGGACTTGGGTAGTGGTTCCAGGAAAGTGTTTCTCCGAACTCTGTTTTTGACAGCTTTTTAAAGATGGAAAGTATCATGTTAAGTGAAATGAGTCAGAAAGAGAGGGACAGACATAGAAAGATTGCAGTCATTTGTGGAATATAAAGTAACAGTGGGAGACTAACATTCAAGAATAGTAGAGAGTAGAGATAAGTACTAGGAGGATTACTCCACAGCTTAGAAGCCAGCCTCACATGCTGGGGGAAAAGCAGCTCAGATAGAGAAGGGAACACCAAGTAAAGGGTGCTAGGAGGGCCCTTCCGGGATGGGAGATGTGGGCTGAAAGTAGACTATAGATCGAACATGATGGCCACTTAATACCTCATTGCAAACCACAACACCCAAGAGGAGAAAAAGAGCAAAAGGGTATGCCCTGCCACAGAGGCGGGGTAGGGTGGAGGGGACTGGTGGGGGTGTTGGGAGGGATGCTGGGACCATTGGTGGTGGAAAATGGGTACTGGTGGAGGGATGGGTACTCGATCATGTATGACTGAAATGCAAACACGAAAGTTTGTAAATCTGTAACAATACCTCACGATGATTCACTAATAAAATTTTTTTAAAATGGATAGAAAGCGCCCTACCGAGGTCACCAGTTGCCCCCCACAAGCGGCTCTCCAGCACGGCCACAGCCCCAGAAGCACAAGGACTTAATGCAGAACCCAGCAGCTTGGAGCAGAAAAGTGAAAGGACTATGCGTTAATCCAGGTCATCAAGTCTGCCAGAGGGGAAAGGGTGTTGCCCCATTCGCGCTCTCTTCTCTGGAAAGAAGGATGGCAGCCGCATGGGAGCCTTGTGGACAGCAGGTATGAGCCAGGGGTGTGGGGGCGACTAAAACCTCATGGGAAGGGGGGCGTTCCAGTCCGTCCTTCACGCCCTATGGAGGTCACCAGTTGCCCCCCGCAAGCGGCTCTCCAGCACAGCCACGACTCCAGAGCACAGAAACCAATTTCTTAACTATCTGACTTTCAGTAGAAATACTTCCAGGGTCAATAAGTAAAATAGCAGAAATCCAAAACCAACATTTAATTCTTGAACACAGCTGTAGAAAGCAAATCACTTCACAATGCTTTTTCAACATGTCTGATTTGGGGGGGGGGGTAAACTCTAAATAATAGTGGTGAATCTTTTATTGAAACAATGAATCTAATCAAAGCAGATAGAGTGTTAACTAGAATTCATCTGCCTCACAGGGACTGGGAGGGGTGGGGGGTGGGGTCTTATTGGGGTTCTTCATGGTAAAAAATAAGTATTGGTAAAGGGAAATGTGTTTGATATTTGCATGACTGAGACCTAAACCTGAAAGCTTTGTAACCTTTCCCACAGTGATTCAATAAATAAATAAATTTAAAAAAATGGATAGAAAGTATTTTCATTTTGCAGATTATCAATTGACTTCTTTGTACTGTTGAACCAAAAATAAGTGGTTATCTGATTTTAAGATGTTCACAATAATGCACATCTGACTCTCTAGAATTATTACAGAACTCATATGAAGGAAGCAATTGACCAAGAAATGAGAATGTTAAAGTTAAAAATGAAATATCATGGTTTTTAATACCATCAACCATAGCCATAATTTTAAAATAAAGTATTCTTTGTGCTAAGCTATGTTATAGAATTTTAAGTTCCTTGGCACACTACTTCCACTACCCAGCCGTCGCCACACTCCAGGACGCTTTCCGGACCCGCGCGGCAGCTCCGGCTGAGACCCACGCACAACTGAAGACCCACAGAACAAGGTAAGCGGAACTCTCTGAGACCTTGGACTCCAGGCTCAGCGGACCCAGGGACAGAGCTTCTCTGCTTGCTCCCACCACCACAGGTGACAAAGGGATTCTAATCAGGAGCCCCACCCTACCCTGCCCTGTCTGCTTTCATCAACCACCCAGGGATCGAATTGTGCACAGGAGACCCACCCTACCCAGATAAATACCCCACTGGCAGACTTCCACTCTCCACACTACTTCCACTACCCAGCCGTCGCCACACTCCAGGACGCTTTCCGGACCCGCGCGGCAGCTCCGGCTGAGACCCACGCACAACTGAAGACCCACAGAACAAGGTAAGCGGAACTCTCTGAGACCTTGGACTCCAGGCTCAGCAGACCCAGGGACAGAGCTTCTCTGCTTGCTCCCACCACCACAGGTGACAAAGGGATTCTAATCAGGAGCCCCACCCTACCCTGCCCTGTCTGCTTTCATCAACCACCCAGGGATCGAATTGTGCACAGGAGACCCACCCTACCCAGATAAATACCCCACTGGCAGACTTCCACTCTCCACACTACTTCCACTACCCAGCCGTCGCCACACTCCAGGACGCTTTCCGGACCCGCGCGGCAGCTCCGGCTGAGACCCACGCACAACTGAAGACCCACAGAACAAGGTAAGCGGAACTCTCTGAGACCTTGGACTCCAGGCTCAGCAGACCCAGGGACAGAGCTTCTCTGCTTGCTCCCACCACCACAGGTGACAAAGGGATTCTAATCAGGAGCCCCACCCTACCCTGCCCTGTCTGCTTTCATCAACCACCCAGGGATCGAATTGTGCACAGGAGACCCACCCTACCCAGATAAATACCCCACTGGCAGACTTCCACTCTCCACACTACTTCCACTACCCAGCCGTCGCCACACTCCAGGACGCTTTCCGGACCCGCGCGGCCGCAAGCGGCCGCGCGACACATCATGAAACACTAAATACCCGTCCTCTGGAATTGTCGTACCATATTTGATAAGGTTCAAATATGGTAACACCTACAAGGGTGATTAGAGGTCACCCCAAAAGTCTCTATACCTCTCGGAAAGACTGGCAAGCTACCGAGAGTATTCCGCCCGCACGGAAGAGCCTGGCAAGCTATCCGCTGTGTATTCGATATGCCAAAACCAGTAACTACAACTGGTCTCATTCACCTGACCCTGAAGGCTTCACCGACATGGCAGCACTGAGAAGGATGAGAAAGGAGAGGCCGACAAAATCTCAAGGCCGACCTAGGCTGCCACAACGAAGGAAGACAAAAATGATCGTCTGTACTTTCAATGCACGTACGCTAGCATCAGATGCATCCATCGAGGACCTGATGGTACAAGCGCGAATGATCAAGTACGACATCATTGGTCTGACCGAGACAAGAAGACACGAATCTCACCATGCCGTTTTCGACACTGGAGAAGAATTGTTCCTCGGAACATGCGATAAAAGAGGTGTTGGAGGCGTCGGTGTCCTTATCAACACAAACTTGGCCAAGAGCATTGATTCATTCGAATGCCTAACAACCCGAATCGGACGTTTACATTTGAATAGATGTGGCTCACTGCCTGCAGTTTCTATCTTCGTTGTCTACGCACCAACATCTCATTATGATGAAAGAGAAATCGAGAAGTTCTACATGGAGCTAGAGAAGTTCTATAAAGAAGACCACACCTTCTACAAGATCATTGTGGGTGATTTTAATGCCAAGATAGGACCGAGAAGATCAGCTGAAGAACTTCACATCGGAACCCATGGCCTAGAATGGAACGAACAGGGTGAGAGACTATCTGAGTTCATCATGTCGACCAAGACCATTCATGGTAACTCACAGTTCCAGAAGGCAGAATCTAAACGATGGACATGGGAGTCTCCCGGTGGACGATTCCACAACGAAATAGACCACATCATATTCAATCGACGGTTTTGCCTGACTGATGTCGCTGTTGTCCCAAAATTTCGAACGGGATCGGACCACCGTCTCCTTCGTGCAAAATTCTACTTCACAGAGCGGGGAGAAAGGGCTGCAAAGTTCAAAAAGAGAACTCCCAGAACGACCACCAACTGGGAACTCTTTGGTACTATTGCGGCAACATGGGAAGATGCCATTGTTGACAACATTGACGAGGAATACGATCGACTGGTTCAGCACCTCCATGAATGTGCGAGGAACGCCAAGAGAGAGATAGCCACAAAAAGTCGCCTATCTTCGAAAACTCTTGAGCTAATTCGCCAGCGAGGTTTGGCGCATGCCTCAGGCAACCGGAAGCTAACGTCCGAGCTTGCAAAGCAGTGCAGAGATGCGATCAAGGAAGACCTCAAAGAGAGAAGAGCAGAAGTACTGGTAGATGCGGCAGAAGCCGGGAAAAGTATTCGTAACGCCCGCCTGTCCTTCGCCAACTATAAGACCAAGATGACTGCCCTCCGACGTCCTGATGGATCCATCACATCCTCCAGAACGGCAATGGAGAAGATTATCCATGACTTCTACTCAAATCTCTTCGATAGCCATGTCCACTTGCCGACATACCAAATTCCACAG